CCACCAAGCTTTCCGCGGTTCACATCAAAGATCATGAAGTTTGCCACTCGGGGTGGCCGTTACAATCTTGTTGTCCATGACTTGCGAGGTTAGCGTTCTCTTCCATCTGCATTTCTCCCGCAGCATGTCGCCATCTCACGACCGGTACACCCAGTCGACGTCGTTGACACCCTTGCCAATGGCCCAAGACCCCTTCCAAAAGTTGACCACCTCGCTGACGGTGACGCCGCCGGGTCCACGAGCAAAGGGAGTGCCGGCCTGACGAATGGATTTGGGTGAAGAATCCTTGGGTGAATCGTCTGCCGGGTTTGGAGATTTCTAGTACTCGCAGGTCTGGAGTGTCAGCTCGAATTGCGCGTTTTCGCCGCGGTAGCTGCTCACACTGTCCTCCACCGACGACATAGCGGTCCCCCGGGCCCTTGGCCATGCTGTTCAGCCGTCCACCACATGCTGGTGCAGGCATGGTGTTTCGTGCTTTGCCCTTTGTTGGAATCTGCATGAGGTTGACGCGGAGACTGCGGTCGACCCGCGCGCCCGTCGAGGAAGGCGAGGGGACAACGCCGCCGTTGCGCTGGTACTCGTCCGTCAGGCGGCGGAGAAGGTCTGGCCGTGCAGGGATCGGTGTTTGTTGTTGCTGCAGCTGCAGCTGGTTGTGGTGTATCTGATGTTGTTGCTGCAATGCCGCGTTTTGCGTACGATAATGGGGTAGGTTGGTTTGTAGGCGTGGCTGCGAGCGTACTTGGTCCACTTGCGCGACTGGCAAGACCGCCCGTGCCGCCGACCGAGTCTGAGTGTGCCCGGCTGGCCTGTCCCGTGCCGGGCGCAGGGGTAGGGAAGCGTGTGGACCGTGGATCATCGTAGATTGACTTGGCAAGGTTGAGCGTGTGGATGGAGGACAAGGGTGCTTCGGTGGGTGAGTCGCCGCGAGCAGAGTCCTGAGGAGTGATGTTGGTCGACGAGCCCTCCGAGCTCGAGCTCGGTATCGATCTGTTGCCAGCCCGTCAGCTGACGACACCATGCCAGCTGGCAGGGGGGGAGGGGCACTTACGGATACAGAGCCGTCGCAAAACGGTTCATTGTCGCATTCATTGTCGCGTTCATCGGCATCGCATGCTTGGCTGTGGTTTGGTGGCGAACGGGATGACGGACAGATGGGCAGCGGGGGGCGCGCACTGATCCACTGATTGTTCGTTCCGTAATGACGAGATTGACGTCGTTGGGTGGATAGAGCCCATATATGGCTGTTATTGCCCGCGTCCTAATGGTCACGTGACCATGCGACATGCAGCGCTGCAGCCATTTCGGCGGCAACCACACACTCTGCCTCTGCGTCTCGGCCGCCGTACGCGGGCCATTCTCCTCCACTCTCCCACTCATTTCTTGTAGCCCGTCCTTCTCGTCTGGGAATTCACGCCAAAAGCCACAACAGCACCCTCTAGACTTCTTCCCACCGAATAACACATCCAATAGTCCACCATGCCTCCTCCTCCTCAGACCACCCAGGGCGGCTCCACCTTTGACAAGAGTGAGTTTGTTGCTTTTGTGCCGTCGTCGTACCTTTTCGCGGCCTCGATCGTCCTAACACGTTGTCCAGTGAAGATGGGTGCCATCATGGGTACCGGTGTTGGCCTTACCATTGGTCTGATCTTTGTGAGTACTGAAGACTCCTAAGACCTTGTACATGCTCATACTGACCCACGATCGTAGGGCGGTGTCTCCATTCTCAGGTGAGGAAACGCACGAGGTGCCTGCCAGTGCCATTACAAGCCGCTGCATGTGTCGATGGCATGTGCCATCTATCTATACATTGCCTCGAGGCGCCGGATACCTGGAAATCTATCGACATCTAACACTCCTGCAGCCGCGGTCCCGGCCCCCGTGGCACCATCGCCACTCTCGGCCAGTACATGGCCTCGTCGGCGGCCACCTTTGGTTTCTTCATGTCGATCGGTTCGGTAAGTGTCTCGGTTGCTCCGCACCAGGCAGGCAGTCCCAAGAAAGGCTGTCCACCTAGCGCAGTGGTAGGTGCCAGTGTTGCTGACACTGTGTCCTTTCAGGTCATCCGTACCGACTCGCGCTACGCCCTGCCTCCCCACCTCGAGGCTGCGCGTCGGAACCTGCGTGTGGAGATCATGGACAAGCGCAACTAGAAGCGCCACGGAGAGAGTATAGCAGTTTCCATTTTTACGTCCCTCCCATTGTTGCTGCATGCTGCTGTGCTTGAACCAGGGTTTTTTTTGCTTGCCTAGACGTCGTGGGGACTGACATGGACTGATACTTGTGTTGTGTTGTCTGACGATGGCAAATGGCTGAACAAAGGTGAAACTGCCCAGCTGACGCCCGGCACCACCGTAGTACCGTAGCAGTAGCAGCTCGGCCTAGCCGTCTTGTGCCATCGTGAAAGGTGCAACTTGGCGATAGGGATGAGCAGATCAGGATATCAGCAGATGGAAGAGCACAAAAACTCCAATGACGATCAAACACCGAGAACACAGCCTCTTCCTCCTCCCTTCTGCAACTTCCAGCGGGCATCGTACAGTCATGCATGTGTATCGTCCGGGGCCCGGCTATGGACCAGTCATGATCGTGGAGATACGTCAAGATGCGTAGGCAAAAAACGCAAAACGCAAAAGAAACGCATAAAGACGCATCGCTGCGCTGCGCACAGAGAGGTGGGGGTGGGGGTTTGGGAAGGTTGGGTTGTTTATAAAAAGTCCGTTTCAACGCTGCCATAGGAGGGGCACTTTAGTTGCCGCGGAAGCGAGCACCGGGGCCCGCGGCGGGGGCGTTGTGCTGGTTCATGAGGAGGACCTCGGAGTCGTCGGTGAACGAGTTGGAGCCCTCGCGACGCATGTTGGGCGGGAGGAGGGCATCCGAGCGGGCAGTGGAGAAGCCCTGCGAGGGACCGGCGTGGTTGCCGTTGCCGCTCTCGTCCGTGTAGAGCGAAGCACGCGCGAGGTCGGGCGACGTGCCCTGCGGGAGGGACAGGAGCGAGTTCTTGGCGTGCGACATGGACATGATACTCTGGCGGTATGCAATCTGCTCGTTGTAGTACTGCTCGAGCTTGACCTGGTTTTCCTCACGCCAGCGACGGTGGAGGAACCAGAGGCCAACCATGACGCCGACGATTAGGATGACAATGGCGAGACCGATAACAACATACTCCCATGCCTTGGGCTTGAGAGGCTCGTCAGCTGCCTTGCCGCAGGTGCCGTTCTCCTGGCAGTTGAACGAGAAGCACTCCTTGTCGGCACTGCACGCATCGCCACGGTGCTTCTTGGACATGCAGACGAGCTCGGTACCGTCGCAGTAGAAGTATTGCGAGTTACAGCTGGAGAAATGGGTCAGCAAACCGTCTCTGCAGTGAGAGGAGGAGGCGGGGTGGATACACACTTGTCACGCGAAACCATGTAGGCAAAAGTAACGTTGCTGTCCGACGTGCCCTCGTAGTAAGTGTTGTCGACAATGCAAGGCTGGCCAGCGGTAACATTGGCCCAGTAGCAGGTGAAGCTGAGACAGATGGAACCGTTGACGTTGAGGTAAGAAGCGTAGTCCTTATAGTTGGAACTGGGAGCACACTGGTCTGTACACTGTGTTAGCACCACTCCACACACACATTGCACAGCTTGCGGGGGCTGTGGGTTTTTCCCAGCTCACCATCACGGTCCTTCTGGCATGGTCCTCCGATCTGGTTCTGGGAGAGACAGTGGTCCATTTCATCGGGGCAGCTGCGCGCGAGGTTAGCCAGTGGGAACTGACGTGTTTGTGGGTGCGCTTTAAAACACTCACAACAGGCCCTCGCCGCACAGAGGTGGGAGGTCGGCGAACGCAACGTCCGAGTAACCGACGGGGTACTGGTTGTTGGTCAGTTTCACACACGAGAGGGAGAGCACAGCAAAGAACACGGCGCGCCCGCTGGAGGATGGTGCAAGGGTCCGACTCTTGCACGGTGGGTAAACTAACAGTGTCTCGACGGCATCCGCGGTGCGCGCAAGTGGCGTTGGCGTCACAGTAGGTGGTCTGGTCACAGTCGGACGTAAAGGTCCAGGTGTCCGAGTCGAGGTGGTTGTTGGCCTGGCTGCAAAACGTTAGCTCGCGGACGATGCAAGCAGAGGGGAGAGGCGAGGAGGTGTGTTGGAGGACCGCCATGGTGCGTGTGTTTCGCTATTCCTCTGGCGGTCGCAGGCGTGACGCGCGCTCCCTCGATCGTTCACTCACTCGCATGCTTCACCAAAGGCAGCCTTTGCCGAGGCGACGGAAGCCAGGGAGGCGGCAAACGTGAAGAGGGCGAGAGGTCGCAAGAGCACCATCGCGAGAAGAGAAAGAGAGTGTGTGTGAGAGTGGGAGGGAGAGGGAGAGAGACGGAGATGTAGAGCGAGGGAGAGAGAGTGAGAGAGCGACGACGAGATTTGAAGTGTTGAGTTTGCCAGGTGCCGCCGCGCCCCTTGGTGTCTCTCTCTCCCTGTGTGTGATGAGAGAGCTGCCTCCCTCTCTCCCTGTGGTGCATCCCCCGCCGCAGCGCATCCGCCCGCCCGCCGCCCCCCGCAGCAGCAGCTCTCCCACGTCTCTTGTCTCGTTTCTCCCCCGCCCTGGCCAGAGAGCCCTGCCGTGGCCCAGGCTGCTTGCCTGCAGGCAGCTGCAAGGCCTCGTGGCTGTGAAACCCAAACAGCCCAACAGAAAGGAATATTGTAGTTTAAATAACCCCCCCCACACTGCCACTTTTGGCATGGTGTGCGTGCGTACATGGCGTCTGGCTTCTGACGAGGCACACACTCTGGTGCACTCTGCAGACGAGGGCTAGACGGGCCCTCTCCCATCCGTGGCCCTCCACTCTTCTCTTCTCCATGAACCGCGTTCCCCATGTGAGGCAAGATGTAGAATCCTCCTGGTTAGGCCACATTGTCGAGCAGTATGCTGTGGGCTCTTTACCATTGCAGACACCCAGTGTACCCGTGTGTGGCAGTGGGCAGACGCAGGAATGGAGCAGGCGCGGGGGTGTCACTCCACACACTCTGCACCCCGCCGGAGAATAATACACACATATGGGCTCGATCTGTAGTCTACATCTGCGCGCTGTCGAATTCTGGTTCCGTCCGTCCGGGTCTGGGTCGTTTGCGAGCCGTCCGTCGGCGCGCGTTGAGCGACGTCGATGCAGAGAGGGTGGAAAGCCCATACTCCGAGCAAGACGGCCAACCCACACCCCCCAACGCCAAACCACAACCCACGCACACCCCGTTGCTTCCTCCTTCCTCCGCCCCACCCACCACCCCCCACCCACCAACATCCATCCATCCATCCACAACGCGTAAACCACTCAAAAAACAAACAACAACAACAACAAATAATATCGGCCCCCCAAAGCATCGTGCACTGTACAGCGCGCGCCCTCCCCCCCTTCCCCCTCCCCCTCCCAGACGACAGCAGGACAATGTTGTCGTCCTTAATCAACCACACCACCGAACACGGTTCGACACCAAGCTCCCCCACCGCCATCCAACGGCACGGTCTCGCCGGCAAAGCGCAAAGCACCCGCCATGACTTCCTCTACTCCTCGCAAGCACATCTCCTCCCCAACCAAGGCTCCTGCAACCCCCCACACCCCGGATGTCGCGCTCAGCGTGGCCACGTCGTCCGTGTCACCCACCACGGCTACCCCGGCACGTGCCGCGCTCGGCAATTTACTTCACCCCACGGACATTCCGCCTCGCCCGTCCACAGCTGGCAGCGTCGATGCCGACGACGCCGACGACGTCGAGGCTGACGTGAGCATGCGTGACCCCGACGACGAGGCCATGGAGGACGTGACGTTTGACGTGACCTTTAACGAGCGCGCCGACGGAGACGAGGACGAGGACGACGGCGAGGATATCGACGACCCCGAGGAAGGCGAAGAAGGCGACAGCGAAGATGACGAGGACGACGAGGACGATGACGAGGACAGTGGTGATGACAGTGACAGCAGCGAGGTACGTGTTCTCGAACGCTTGCTTGCTTGACCTCCACTGACGACCAGGATATCGTGCTGCTCGACGGTCCACCGGTGCCGGCTGGGGATGTGGCACTCGGAACCAGCGTCAAGACCGAGCCCGTCGACGGCGGCCAGACCGCAGACGCCGTTGGCAAGGAACAGGGCGATGAGGGCACCGAAGAGGCGGTCAACACGCTGGTCCCCAAGAAGAAGGGCAAGCGTGCTCGCCGCTCGCCATCGTCAGAAGAGGATGCCCCTCCTCCCCCTCCGATGCCGACTATCCGCATCACGACCGAATTCAAGCCCGACGTCGAGACTCTTGACTGGAACTTCCTCGAGCTCGCCGCCCAGGCTGGCTACCACGTCACCAACGCGTGGGGCGAGGAACCTCCCGCCCCCCCTCGTAGGCGAGGAAGGTATGGCCACCGATACTCCTGGCGAGCCCGAGGTCCTCGGCCTTGGCGACCTTGGACGCCCCACGCCTCTGGGCATGTCGGCCGACGACGAGGCCCGTGAGCTGGAGGAGATGGCTCGCAGGCTGGAAGAGAAGTACGACAAGCCCACCAAGACGAGCAAAGTGGTAAGTACGCAAACGTGCCATCCTTGCTGACCGACCAGACCAAGAAGCGCCGTGTCATCGACTACGACTTGAATGACCCCTTCATCGACGACTCGGACCTCAAGATTGACGCACCCACCCATGTTGCCCGTCCCAAGAAGGAAGGTTTCTTTGTGCACATGGGTCACCTCGAACTCTTGGAAGAGTGAGCTTGACTGATCGCGCATCTCAGCTGACCCCAGGTCGCCTGCCAAGAAGCAGGCGCGCAGCAAGCCCAAGACCCGTGGCAAGGAAATCAAGGAGCCGCGCAAGAGCCTCGCCCAGGCCATTCGCGTTCGCTATTCCGATGGCCCGGGCGTCTCGCACATCGACCTGGTCGACAGCGACCTTGAGACCATTGAACCTGGCCCCTCGATTGTCAAACGTGGGTACTCTCTCGTCTCGGCAAAGCTGACATTAGGCTCGCGCTCTCCCACCCCGACCGGTGACATGGAGCAGACGCGCATCGACCGTACTCTTTTCAAGAACGCTTCGCGTGACCCCAAGGTGAGTTTGACCCCCATCCATGTGAAAACTGACACAACAGTACCTTCCTCCATTCAGCGAGTTCCCCGAGGAGGTCGGCCACGCCATGCGCACTCTGCGCCGCGAAAGCGCCCACCGTGAGTCATCAGGTCCTTGACAGCAGCTGACACGCAGATGTCTGGGACTTGAACAACAAGGGCAAGTTCCCCGAACACCTCAAACCGCCTCTCAGGCGTGCCGGTGGGGCCGCCATGCAGCACGAGCTGCTCTGCATCGCCGACAAGGACCCCACCGACAGCGGATACGAGCGCTACCAGGACAAGTGGTTTGTCACAGCGCTGTGTAGCATTCTGCCGTACAACAGGCTTACCCTTGGGGTGGGTTTTCCGCATTTGACGCAGGGCTGACCTAGCAGAAACTTGTTCTCAAGCTGTGCTACCCCGACTATTGGAAGTGGCTGCAGGCATGCGAGACCGAGGGTATCCGCCAGTGGAAGGAGCTCCTTGACCCCGAGATTCCAGGCATGTTGGAACAGTGGGAGCAGGCCAAAGCACATCAACAGGCTAATGGTAAGCTAGCCACTTCGTTTCATAGCTGACAAGTAGGCGAGGATATGCTGGACCCCGAGCCCGGAGAGGACGCGGAGGCATCCAAGAAGGCCGCCGAGGCGCGCAAGACTCCCGTGTTCACCGCAGAGATGAAGGACATCTTCAAGCAACTCGTGGAGAACACCCAGGAGATGGTCGACATTAACAAGAAGATGGAGTGAGCTCTGAACAGTGCCTTTTGAAGCTGACAATCAGGGAGTGGCACCAGAAGATTGAGGGCCAGTCGAGTGAACTGAACATGCGCAAGCTGCTTTACACCAAGGTGGGTTACCAGCGTCCAGTTGGAGGCTAACCATGCAGATTGGCAAGCTGTATCCCGACAACTTCATGACGTCTCTGACACTCTCGCGTGCTTGTGAGTGCTTGGGACCATACAATGCACAGTGCACAGCTGACAACCCAGTCACCAACTACAAGCGTTCAGGCGCGGGCGCCAAGGCGGCCAAGGAAGAGCAGCCGTAAGCGCGCATGTATGTCTGTGTGCGGAGGTGAGGAGAAGCAAGAGAAGCAAAGCATGAGAAGTATTGGCGGACGTGCATGACGGTTTCCTGGCATAATAGATCCTGTGTTCCTGTATGTAACATGTGTGAAAGGTGCTACCGGCGGCGGTGGACGCTGCGAACGCAGTATACTGCCAACGGTGGCCGCGCCGGTCAGCGATACTCCGTTTTGGGGCGAAATGTTAACGCAGTATAAACCCAACAGTCGTCGCGCCAGTAGCAATACTCCGTTTTGGGGAGTGGTGGAAACGGAGTAAAACGGTAGTCCTCCCCGTTGGAGATCACATAGTGTGTTTCTCGAGTGAATGTGGCGGTCTCACACCATCAACACCATCAGACACCCGCGAGCTTCCAACTCGTCCGTCCGAGGCTCCATGCTCTCCACAGCACAGCGTAGAGCATGCAGAGGCCACGCACAGCCACCCAATCTTCCAAGAACGGCAAAAACAACACCACCAGCCGCCTTGCCGCCGGTTCCCCCAGACAAGCCTCCATCCCCTCTTCGTTGTCGTCCTTCTCGGCCTTCCTCGACGTCTCCAACAAGAAAAAGTTGGCTTGGGAGTAACTGAATACTCTTCTGACGAGAGTGGGATTCGAACCCACGTCCGAAGACTGCGGATAGACCTCTGCGAGAAGCAGAGGAAAACCTTAACACAGCGCCTTAGACCGCTCGGCCATCTCGCCGGTGATAAAAGTTGCAGCGCTGCGTTGAACGCGAGCGTTCGCAAAACACCTCAATTGCTTGCCCTCTTCGCTGTCATACACTTCTTCTGCCAGAGATGGTTAATGTCTCTGTGAGGAGATTTCTGACAGGAAGACGTCGAAGTATGCAGCCATGTGTCATGAGAGAAACGAGGTTGGAGCTCAGCAGGTCCCCCAAGTTGTGTCTAAAACTTCCCATTTGGTTCCGCCGGCCATTGCCGGGTCAACCGGCACCGCGCAGCCGGCTACTCCAATGTCGTTGCAACCTGTGTCCTGTCTTCCTCTCAGTCATCCACTTCACCACAGCATGCCCGCGTCGACCCCCACGCCTCTCTTCCCAGAGGCAGGCCCGTCAAATCCGCACCTGAGACCGCACCTTGTCGAGCTCATTCCGCAAGAACAGTTGCGGCTGGTCCTGCACCCCGTGTTTCGATATGTGTTGACAGTAAGTCGGCCCGAAGCGAACTGAGTTCTCCCCCATCTAACACGGTTCCCAGTATCTCGCACAACACTACCCGCGGTACTTTCTTCGTATTGTCAACCGCCATGAGGAAGCGTTTGCGCTAGTTCTTGCGCTCGTGGAGAAGCATCACCTCTGGAAACATAGTAGGTTACCATTGGGGAATCGGGCATATCCGGTCGGTCATGGCCGGCCGACGATAGTTCTCTCTATATGTCCACCAGCTAACAAGACTTTCAGATGCCTCACTCTCAGAGTACTTTTACGGACTCAGGCTCGTTCCCACTCACATCCCAACCCCTCGGCTGGGCCAGCTCGCGGGCCCCCAGCCCCGCCTGTCGAAGAGGCAGCGATGGGGCATGCTCCTCGTCCTTGTCGGGCTGCCGTATGTCCGCGCGCGTGCCGACGACGCGTTCGACCGCTGGTCGACCCAGAACGACCCCGACCTCGCAATGGCCGACCACGGCGCACCATTGAACCGCATGCAGCGCCTCTTTGTCGCCACATACCCATACGCAGTCACGACGTTTGAAGGTGCGCTCCTCGCTAACGACCTGGCGTACCTCTTCAACAAGACCGACTACTACCGGCCCTGGCACAGGTGGCTCGGCGTCCGTGTCGAGCGCAGGATGAACGAGGACGACCCCTCTGGCAACGGCTTGTGGTCCAAGCTGCCGCCTTTCCTGCCGCCCCTCCTCCTCGCGCTCAAGTTTGCACAGTGGTGGTTCTCGCCGACGTCCCCGCGGTCGCTGCCCACCACGCAGGCCAGCACGTCGCTGCACACCCTTGTACGCCCACCACGCCCGCTCTCCATCCTTCCCGAATCGGGCCTCCTCACGCCCCCTCCTTCCCCGCCACCAGGGGCCAGCGACGACAGCGCGGTCCCCGCCGCACCCACCACCACTATCACGCCGGAGGCATACACCATCGATGTCGCGGGCTTTGGCCACTGTCCCATCTGCAAGGGCAAGTGGGCCAACCCGGCCATCCTCCCCTCAGGATGGGTGGTGTGCTGGCGATGTGGGTGGGACGCTATTGCCGGTGAGGGCGAGGCGGGCGAGGCGGGCAAGGGACGGTGTCCGATTACCGGTGTCGAGGTGCACCCGGACGAGCTGAGGCGTGTGCTCGTGTAAGAGGAGGTAAGGTGACAGGGGCTGTTTAGGGGCAGAGGGGGGATGGCAGATCTTGCACAAGGAGGCCAGGATAAAAATATGCATGAAGGACGTATCACAAACATGGCGACAGTGGGGAACCGCGTGACAGACGCTGAGAGCGGGCCTGCCCGCACCAGCCGTCTTCGCTACTGTGCTTCTTCTAAAGCGAGCCGATGTCCGAGCTCGAGCCCGTAACGAGACGGTAGGACGCCTTCCACTCGTCGCCCTCGGCGTCGAGGTACACGATCGAGATAAACTGGAACTGGGGGGGCCCAACAGTCAGCATCCAAGAATGATACGAGCAGCAGTCAGATACACGACGTACCCGTGAATCGGCACGCAGAGTAGCGACCAGGTCCGCCGCCTCGGGAGCGGGCATGGTGAGGTCGTGGCTGTTGACGCGAATGTTGCCAGCCGACCAGAGGTGGAGAGTGGTGTTGTCCTGGGCCAGGCATGTCAGCTTCTCGTCTGAACAAGAATGTGTAGCTGGGAACGTACCGGGTGGGTAGCGATACGTTCGAGCATACCCTCTGCGTTGCGCGAGTAGGCCGACGACACCGAGCTGGTCGCGCTCGAAAAGGATGTGGTGTTGTTGGAGCGGGACTTGTTGTCGAGGCTGCTGCGGAGGGACAGCGACTGCATTGTGGTGGCGACAATTGTAGGAGTGGTGTCTAAAGCGATAGGAAGCGATAGGAGTGGCGGACGATGTTAAGAAGTGGCAAACACGCAGCCAACGTGAAATCGCGCTGCGTCTTCTTGAAGGTGGTAAGAACTGACACCACAGTCTCTCTCAGCACGTCTTTATACAATGTCTCAGCTAGTGGCGACGAGTCTCTCGTGTAGTGGACCTGGGGTGATTCTGAGCAGCTGTAGTGAGGGGCACATCTTGGCATGTGGGGCATAAGGTGCTCTGTGCCGGTACCGGGTATCATTCCATGTTGTTGTGCAAGTGCCCCCCCCCCTCCTTCCTCTCCCTCTCCCCTCCCTTATCCCGCTTTGGACAGGACACCCGTGCGCACAACACAGAACCATCGCGAACAATTCTCGCGTGTGGTGCCTAATGTTTGACATCCACACCATCACCCTTCCGCGCCCATCTTTCTCGTTCAATCACCTCAGTCCAAGATCCAACCTCCACGAAATCGTTCTTCATGGACTGTACAGCATATTTCGGCGTGTACGCACCTGGGTCTTTTGGATATTGACTGCTTATATGTTAATTTTGCTGGACTTGTGGCGCTCGTTGGTGCAGGCTCTCCGGTCGAAGGTAGAGGCCCCCGTTGGACCCTTTCGCACAAACACACACGGATCACTACCTCAGTAGCATCTTCCAACGAAGTGCGCAACGTTACAATGCTCGAAAATCCCTCTTGGCAGGAAGGTATCGTTGCGTCATTGGGGAATCTGGTTCTGTCGATAGTCTACTGTTCCTTGAAAATCGCGCGTGGGTGCGCGAGCAACAAGAAGCATGTGGCCGGGTTAGTGTCCCGCATGTCCCGCAGGGCACCAAGCCGGTCAACACAGGCTTTAGATCTAGGTGGTCTGGTTTCATGGTCTCTAGGCTACTGGCTGTGGAACATGTAAGCCTGTCTGGTGATATGAATTCTGATAACTCTTCAAATAGTTGCCAGTGACTGCTGTACCGCTCGCTCCTCCGACACGACCCGCAGAGCATCCTCAGATACGCAATATATTATTCAGCTGACCCCAGTGTACCACACAATCTATCAGTGGTCCTTTTTATCCGAACAGTAAATCCGCTGTTCGACCTTGGCGCGATGAGTGGACTGGGGCACCGCCACACCGCCCAACATGGTGCACATGTGGAAGCCGAGGAAACATTGTGCCGTGAGAGTGTGTCTGAGGATATGAACAGCCCTTCGCAAATGGCATGGGTGTGTCCAGTGCAGTAGGAACGCACAGGCGTCGGATCGTGAGTCGAACATCGATACCCACCTGTCTTTGTTTACGCCTTTCCCATGGCGTCATGCGACCATCATGATTTGACTTTTCGCTGCGCGGCGTGTGCTCCTATTCGAATAACCAGAGTGAGCCAGTGATCGAGTGACTGGCCGCCAAGGAAAGGCCTCAACGGAAACGGAAAACAGCCACCAGTCCAGCTTATAAATTGCGGACCAACTGCGGATAAAGGACGGATTCGCCGGCGGTTCCGCAGGGCTCGCAAGTGACGCGGTAAAGCGCGGTGCATTTTCGGGCCGAAGGCGGCGTCCACAATGGTGTGGGGGGTAACCTCAGTCAGCCAGATGGCCATGTCGACGTTGCGCTTGGCATAACAGCAGTTCAGCAACTGGTACACACACGCGTTCTTCCCCATAACACATCACACACATCATGGCTACTCCATACATCGCAAAGTGGGGGTAAGTCTCTCCCCAGTGTGCCACTATACCCATGTCATCACCGCCCTGACGCGCATCTCCAGAATCATCGGCGCAGGATGGATCTCGAGCATGTTCGTCGAGGACATCGCGCTCGCCCGTCCCGACGTCACAGACGTGGCCCACGCCGTCGCTGCTGTGGGATCGCGCGACATCACCAAGGCTCAGGCGTTCATTGACAAGCACATCCCCAACGGCGGTACCGCCCAGCAGGCCGGGCTTGCTCCCCCTCCCGTCGCCTGTGGCAGCTACCAGGAGGTGTTTGACCATCCCGTGAGTGGAGCAGTTGGAAGGAAGGGCCCCAGTTCGTGGGGATGGGAGGCGTCGGTCTTTTTGCCTTGCTGGAACGGCGGTCTTTCGATGAGATGGCCTGTGAACGAGCCGAGCCGTCTGTGCTGCACGCCTTGGCATCGCTGTCGGCCCATTACTGACGCCCTCAGGATGTCGATATCATCTACATCGGCACGCTCCACCCCACGCACTACGACGACGCCAAGGCCGCCCTCGCCGCGGGCAAGCACGGTGAGCACGTTGTGGTTATTGAGCACATCGGGGCAAGTGAGCTGACATGTTCTTCAAGTGCTCGTCGAGAAGCCTGCCACACTCAACGCTGCCGAGTGGGCTGACCTCGTGCGCATCGCGACCGAGAAGAAGCTGTTCATCATGGAGGCGTTCTGGACGCGTTTCCAGCCCGCCGTCCAGGCTCTCTGGGACAAGCTGCACAAGGACAAGGTCATTGGCAACGTTACGGCTGTGCACACCGACTTTTCGGTGCCCAACTACAACGGTGAGGATGCAAGTGGATGTTTTGCGATGACAGGCAACTGACAGGTCAGTGCTTCCCGACGACCACCGCATTGTCGGCCTCGCGGCGGCCGGTGGACCCCTCCTTGACCTCGGTGCGTACACCATGGTGCCCGCGCGCATCGCGCTCCACGACAACCCGGACAACAAGGGCGCCGTCCCCACGGTCACCTGTGCCATGAGCAAGACGCGTATGGGCACGGACCTGTCCACCACCATTGTCCTCGACTACCCCAACCTGGACGCGCGCGCGTGCTGCAACACGTCGTTTGCCACTCGTTTCCCGCACGACACCACGGCCACCATTATCGGCACTGGCGGCCAGATTATCATCCACAGCGTGCTCTGCCGTATCACCAAGTTTACCATTTTCCGTTTCACGCCCGGCAAGACGCGCGAGGAGGACAAGTGGGACACGCCCGAGGTGGTCGACATCGACTTCCCCGGTACGGGACTCAACCTCGAGGCCGACGCTGTGGCGCGCGATATCCGCGACGGCAAGCTCGAGGACCCGCTTGTTACCCACAAGTACACCCTTGAGACGCTCGACATCTTTGACGAGTGTCGTCGCCAGGGCAAGTATGTCCTTCCCGAGGGTATGGAGAAGATTGGTCGTGTCGGTGCTTGAGCGGACGGGTTGTTATTGTCGTTGCAGCAGCGTTAAACTTGGGGTTTTAAGTGATGAATGCAAAAGTTGTTTTCCTAAGGGTCGCCACGGTGGCTGCAGCTGTCCATTCTGCCTCTCGAGGCGTCATTGTCAAGAACAATGCACTGATCCATACACTTATTTCAAGATCATGGTTTTTATGCCAATCCTAAATGTCGACTAAACTACTGCCAATACTGTTAACACTACTGCTGTCCCCTGTCTCTGGGTTTCTTTCTTTTTACAACTTGCCGGCCACGCGCTTGACAAGCACGGGCGAGTCAACGTAAGGGTCAAACGTGAGGTTGTTGACGGGGTTGGACGACGCCTTGGCGAACATGTCCTCGTAGACCTTGCCGTCGGAGCGGCCCAGCGACGAGTTGAGGAAGAAGTCGGAGAAGTTCCAGGCGTCGACGAGCGAGACGGCGTGGGGGCGCACGCGGTCGAGCAGGTTCGAGATACCCTTGGTACGGGCAAGCGAGATCTGGTTGGTGGTGACGGCACCCGAGGTGAAGAAGTCGGCGGCGTGCTGCTCCATGGTCTGAAGGGCGTACAGGCGGAAGAGGTCACGAAGGACCTCGCCGGTAACGTCACCGACAGCGCCGGCGACGCGGGCGGGGTTGGCGACGACGGCGTCGTAGAAGTTGCGGACAACGAGGAACTGCGACTGGGCGGTCGAGAGGCGCCAGAAGTGGACAAGGAGCGAGTTCCACGACTGGTGGTCCTTGTCACGGAGGCGGAGGGCCTCAAAGGTGAGGTAGGCAGTGCGCCAGCCGTAGGCGGCGACAATGTCGGCGTCGTTGTTGAGGACGTCGAAGGCGGCACCAGTGTCCTTGCGTGAGAGGTAGAACTGAAGGGTGGTGGTGGTCTCGTTCTTGGGAGCGTTGCCGGCGAGAACAGCACGGGCCGACTTGAGAAGGTAGCGAGCGACTTGCTGGGTAAGCATGTAGTTGTCGCCCTCCCAGGTGGCGGTGGGGAGGTAGTCGGCGTACCAGGTGCCGATACCCGAGTACGACGAGTAGCCGTGGCCACCACATGCGCGACGGCACATCTCGAGACCCTCGACGGCAATGGTCGAACCCAGAGCCTTGAGACCACACGAGGTGGCGTGCAGGTCGGCGAGCTGCTCGGCACCAGGGTTGAGGTCCTCGGGAGCAGCGCCGCGAATCTTCTTGACAGTCTCCCTGTCGCCAATGTCCTCCTTCTTCATGCGCTCCTGGTTGGCCTCGTACATCTCCATCATACCGCGACCGGTGAAGTGGAGGGCGTAGGTGGCAGCGAGCAAGGGGAGGAGGCGGACCTGGACCATCTTGTAGTTGAGCACGGGGGTCTCGCCAGTGGCACCGGCAGCCTCGGCATCACGGTCCTGGAACTGGCGACGGATGGCGCAGTAGCGGATAGCAATGGCAACACCGCGAGCGAGCGACGAACCCGAGTCGAGGACAATGTTGGAACGGACCCAAACCATGGTGCCGTAGACGAGCGAAGGCGCACCCACGCGCTTGTAGACACCGGTGGCGGGGTCGACGCGGTTGAAGCGGGCAAGCATGTTGACGTGGGGGATCTTGTACTGGTTGAAGAGCAGGAAGCCATTGTCCATCGAGCTGCGCGGGGTGGTTAGTCACCGGTCACTCGTACTCTTGTCATCATCAACAGGGACAGAGCTGCGCCCGCCACTACTCAGGACACCGGCGGCTGACGTGACAGCCAAAAGTGCCGACGTGTGCGTGTTGTGCAGAGGGATCGCCCGAGAAAAACTCACCCGAAACCAAACTTGGGTCCAATGTCACCGACGAACACGTTCTCGAGGGGCTCGTGGGTCTTCAGGTCACGGATCTGGACGAGGAAAGGGTGGGGGCCGTAGTTCTTGCCGTCGATGTAAAGCTGAGCCATGACAGCGGCGTGGTTGGCGGTACGGCCGAGCGAGCCAATCCACCACTTGGAGGCAGTGAGGACGGGCGAGTGGATGATGAAGGTCTGGTCGGCCTGGTTCCAGGTAGCAGTGGTCTCGAGACCACGGACGTTGGAGCCGTGACCAAGCTCGGTCTGGGCGTAGCATCCAATGATCTTGTTGTTGACGGCAGGCTCGAGGAAGAGCTTGTGCTGCTCCGGGGTGCCCTGCTCACGGAGGGTAACAATGAACATGCCATCGTGGAGGTCGTAGACAGTGGGCTCGCCAGCAGCCTGGTGGGCAATCTTGTACTCCTCGGCATCCCAGCCCTCCTTCTCCTGGAGGCGCTTCATCGCCTTGCCGCGGGCAAGCGAGCGCTGGATCTTCTCAACGCGGCCCATCGACAGCAGCTCAGTCTTGTCAAAGGTGGGGTCCTTGATGAGGGCTGCCTCGACCCTGCTGCGCTTGTTGATCAGCTCGCGGGTGTGGAGGAGCTCGCTGAGGCGAGTGACCTCGACACCCGAGCCGGCGCGCTCAATAGCAAGGAGATCAGGGCCACGGGGCTCGGAGGGGACGAGCGCGTTGACCCAAGCAGGTGGTGGGGGAGGCATGGTGGAGAGTGTTGAGGAGGGGAGGAAGAGGGAGAGGATGAGAAGAGAACGGGGTGTAGGCACACAGGTGGGCGGACGTGCGAACGGGGAGGGGTGTGATAGACGATTCCAGCAGAGCAAGGTCACCTGGATTATTATATGGGTAGCCCGAGTAGTGGGCCATGTCGTCCATTGTCACCAAGGGGCCGGCAGTAACCGAACGACCCCCAAGCAAAAGTGTCATGTCCGGCTGACCGCTCAGCACTTAGCCGCCCCCGGCTGGCTCTCGGATAAGCCCGCGGCGCCGTGTCCGCCGCACCGGCCGAACAGGTCATGCACCCACATTCTGGACCCGGCGGCCGCAGCATGGTCTGCAGCTCAGCGGGGAGGGTTGATTGGAGCAGCGGCGCTTGGCACTGGGGCGGCAGGTGCGGAGACCCCCGGGGCGGCCAGGCGAAACAGGTTCAAGACAACTAGCAGGAGCGCAGGTATGGGAGGCCGCCGCATGGTGATCGCAGGAGGCCGGCTGTACCGGGGGTGAGGCGGGAATGCAGGGCCGAGAAACGCAATCAGTGGGACCAGTCGGCCATAGTGTCTGCTTGTTGGCAGCTGCTTTCATCCCCCCCTCACATCGCTATAAACATGTCTGCCTTGCAGACATGGTCACTCGAGACTTTTTTTTTCGCTGCGCCACGGGCGCAAGGCTGTTTTGCTTTAGTGCGGAATAATTGACCGATCTCTGATATGTGTTTGTGACGATCTTGCACGGATCCCAGACGGATCCCACACGGATCTTGGTGTACACGCATGCACAGCACACATCGATCGCAGCTATCCAACGGCCCAGTTTTAACCGGATGTGCTGAGATCAATAGCATGCAGAAGCAGCGGCGCTTGAGGGTGAAGGCATTGTCGACTGGGGCTCGACAGTGGGGCACGCAACCACCTCATTGTGTCATTTTCTTGCGCAGGCGGTCTTGTCCGCCTCCAGCCGGCCGGCGGGAGCCTCACGCCGAAAGCCGACAGCCAAACGATCGCCCGCGGCCGCAACAACATTCTCTGCAAACACATTCGCATAGTGTGTACGTTTGTCGCGCTTGGCCTTGGTATGCACGTCAGTGTGGGTGATGAGAAGTCGTACATTGCATGCTACTCACACCCGCAGAGCAGGTGGCGACGCCCTCCTGCGTTGTCCCCCCCCCCAACGACACGACCAGCGGTGGGGAGGCATTCGTCTCGGACTTTGAGCCTAGATCTTCTGCCTGGACCACCTTGCACATGGCCCAGTCGCCAGTGAGACCAGTGATCCAGTGTAGTTCCACCTGCAGACATGCGGCCCGAAGCACCTCTTGGGAATGTCAGCACCTCCCGCAGGACGCTCAGGTGCCGCCCACGGACGTCAAAGCCAGTCCGTGTTGAACGCGAGCCGGCTGGCCCTCACCGATTGCTTCGTTGATGGCCATATTGGAAAGGCACCGACGGTTCACTATCCCACGAGGGTTTCAGGTAGTTAGAGATGGCTGTAGAGTCAGTTGCTGACCGCCAAGTTGAAACAAGTACGTGCCACTCCTCTCTACACAGCTGGATGGGTATGCCCTTCTGTCACGTCCCTCCTCCCTCTACTTGACGAATCCTCTCGATTTTGCACACACGCACCCTGCCATCACGCGCATGGGATACCGACCTACTGATACACTGCATAATCTAATAACCCTAGTCCTCCATACCCAACCGCCTCTTCTCGGCCACCAGCTCCGCCTCGCGCGCGCGGATCTCAGCCTTTGCGACCGCCGAGGCCTGCTGCTTCGAGGGCTGGTGGTAGAGCACTGCGCAGAAACATCCTGTCAGCCATCACTCCATACACGTCGTTGTTGCGACCAGGAAAGAGTCCACGCACCGACAATGTACCTCTCCATGAGGTGGAAACCGTTCAGGTGGTTGATGGCCTCCTTGGCGTCGTCTGGGCTCTCATACACGACATATGCGGTGCCCTTGGTCTTGAGCTCGCCGTTGTTGCCTATCCGCACTTGACGGATGGGACCGTACTTGCCGAACAGGTCGTACAGGTCCGCGCCGGAGATGCTCCAGTTACTGTCTGTTAGTTGAGCTCGTCAGAGGGGAGGTGTTGGCTCACAGGTTCTTGACGCTGCATAGTTGTCAGCACAGTATCAGATGCGTTGAGAAATAACTCACAACAATGTCCGCGCCGTCAGGGGGTCCCTGGGGGCCTGGGACATGGTGGCAAGAGGGAAGAGTAAAGTAACTCGGAGAGATCGAGGACGAGCTTGATGCCGGACGGTTTCACGCTTGCGGTGACGGCTCCTTTTGGGGATGGAATGGGAGAGCGGAAGAGGCTTATTCTGCCTGTGCTGGGTGCTGGGTGTACAGACTCTGGTGGATGGGTTGAGAGCTGACGGACGCGTGTTGTAACTGTTGACTGTTGTTGCAAGTGTACGTTAGAGAGCATATGCGCATCCTAGGTGGCGACCCATCTGGGATAAATTACATAAAAACACCCGCGAAGATATTATTTCCTTTCGCATGCCGCCCGATCGCCAGCGCGCGTGTGTGCCAGGCCCAAAGATTTCCAGCGAGATTTGCTGACGTTTTCCTTTCCAGTTAGACCACCTATCCACCACCAAAAATGGCCACCGTCGTCGCCCTCCCCCTCACCATCCCCGCCGCCCCCGCCGGCTACACCAAGGCCGCCGCCTCGGGCAAGCCCACCGCTCCCGTTGAGCGCCAGGTGTACCCCGCCGGCCCCTCGTACATCTCGTACGCCCGCCGTGAGCTCCTCCAGCTCTCGTTCGAGGAGGACGACAAGGCCACCTCGTCTGCCCGCGCTGCCGCCGCCGCTCTCAAGCTTGCCAACGCCGAGGAGGTCCTCTTCCCCGGTCTCGGTGAGGAGCAGGAGCACAAGGACCTCCTTGCCGCGGACCCCAAGGAGTGGAAGAAGCAGGACCACTACGGTGTCCTTGGTCTTGGCGACCTCCGTTACACTGCCACCGACGACCACATCAAGGTCGCGCACCGCCGCAAGGTGCTCCGCCACCACCCGGACAAGAAGGTCGACCACGACGACGGCTTCTTCAAGTGTATCCAGAAGGCCCACGAGACCCTCACCCACAAGGACAGGCGTCGCCAGTTCGACTCGGTCGACTGGAACATTGCCGACGACGTCCCCAACCCCAAGACCGTCGCTGCCGACAAGTACTGCGAGGTCTACGCCCCCATCTTTGCCCGTGAGGGTCGTTTCTCCAACATCCAGCCCGTTGCCCAGTTTGGTGACGACGCGTCGTCCAAGAAGGAGGTCGAGGGCTTCTACGACTTCTGGTACAACTTTGACTCGTGGCGTTCGTTCGAGTGGCACGACAAGGAGGCCAACGAGGGTGCCGACTCGCGTGACGAGAAGCGTTTCACCGAGAAGAAGAACAAGGCCGAGCGTACCCGCCTGAAGAAGGAGGACAACACCCGTGTCCGTGAGCTCGTCGACTCGGTCCTCGCCAACGACCCCCGCATCAAGCGCATCAAGGACGAGGAGAAGGCCGCCCGTCTCGCCAAGAAGAAGGGCGGCGCCGCCCCCGCCGCTAAGAAGCTCTCGCCCGCCGAGATCAAGAAGGCCGCCGAGGAGAAGCGCAAGGCCGAGGAGGAGGCCAAGAAGGCCGAGGCCGCCGCCAACACTGCGTCCAAGGCCGACCGCGAGGCCGCCAAGAAGGCCAAGGAGGCCGCGCGCAAGAACCTCAAGAAGTGGAAGAAGGCCGTCGCTACCGTCATCGCCGCCTCCAACTACTTCCAGGCCGACGGCGCCGCCCCTTCGCCTGCCGTCATTGAGAAGCAGCTGGCCGAGCTCGACGCCCTCGTCGAGCTCGCCGAGCCCGAGGACGTCAAGACCCTCAAGGAGGAGGTCGAGAAGGCCGGCAACGGCGAGCCCGCCAAGGCCGTCATCAAGGCCAAGGTTGCCGCCCTCGGCGACAAGGCCGCCGGCAAGTTTACCGAGTTTGCTTAAACAGAGTAACACCTTGTTGTACCGCCACTAGAGGCGCTAGATCCATGTCATATCTTGTCCCCTCGGTACCTACCAACCATCCACTGGCACATGGTGCCGTTGCTGCTCTTGTCCCTAATATGCTAGGTGCATGCTGATCTACGAATACAGTGTAAAATGTCACGCCGGACGATGGGGGATGATAAACAGTGGAGTGTGTGTGGCGAGACGGCAGGTGGAGGTGGTGGTTGCTGGGGACTGGGGTCATCGGCTGAAACGGGTGCCGTCAGTGTGCTGCAACAAGAGACAATAAACAAGACCACTTACAGCTTGCTCGGCACTTTGCCCTTTGGCAGGGGACTGGCCGGCTCGACTGTCCCAGCCGCACCACCACCACCCATCGCGTTGAGCGACGTCGAGCTCGGGCTGGCCGCCAGGTGGCGCACGCGCGGTTGCCGCCCTGCCATGGGTTCGAGGCGTTTCTTAATCTCCCGCAGTGCCTTGGTCTGCGGCTTCCACGCCAAGATGCTTTCGCGCAGGTCCTTGAGCTCGGCGGGAAACAGGTCCTTGACTTCGGGCGCGTCGACGAGCGCGCGCATGATCCACGGCAGCTCAAAGTCGTTGCGCGCGTCACGGGCTTGGAACGGCTCGATCTGGAGGGGTGGGAGGGGCTGGGCGGCGGGGCCGGCGTGGAAGAGGTAGTTGACACAGAGCGAGTAGCAGTCCCGCTCTTCGTACGGCGACGAGTGGCCGACGCCCGTGAGCGATCCAGCCGTGGCTTCGGACAGGTGCTCGATGAGGCGTTGGTCGTCGATCCCGGCGTTACGGAGCATGAACGCAAAGCAGAGGAGGTTGGTCATAAAGTCTGATGCCGAGTATGAGGCGCCGTCGACGAAAAGTGCACGCAGTAGAAGTGGGTGCTCTGCGTTGGCAAACGAAGCGCCATAGATGGGGACGACCTGGTCATTGAGGCTGGCGACGAGGAGCACGCGGACCTCGTTCTCGAGGATCATGGACAACGAGCGGTGGTATGCCTGCGCAACAGCAGAGTTGGTGTCCTGGAACTCGAAGAGCTCACGTGCAGCCGCGTTCTCAAACCATTGAAGGTATGGTCCAATGACACTGCTCGTGCTGATCGAGTACAGCGGACCAAGGTGCACACCACACATGGCGAGCATGGCGACCTTTTGCCGGCCTCCCTCCGCACCTCCGAGAGCCGCAGCGAGACGACGACCCTTCTTTGAGTCCTCCGAGGGCACAATGGCAATAGGACCAAACGCCCATTCGCACCGCGCGACAGCTTCACGGTTGTGGGCTGTGCGAATGTGACCCTGGGCAATCATGCGCGAGATGAGGTGGGTCGTGACGACGCAGCCTTGCGAGTGGGCGGCAAACAGGATGGCGTCGGCACGACGGAGGTCGTTGATCCACGCCGGGTTGGACAGGTATGCCTTGTACAGCTTGTCGACGCGGTCGTCAATCACACCTTCGCCTTCGAGCGGGATGAGAGTGAGGCGAATCTCGTGCTCGTCAATGTCCTTGTCGCGGAAGAACTGCTTGACGGCCTCGCCCATCATGTTGGCAAACTTTTGCGACGTGCCGGTCGGCTCACCGATGACCGAATTGAGCATCTTGGCTGGGAACCATCCGTGCACGCCAACAACAACAACGCGCTTGACATTCTTCCATCCGTCGTCTGCGTTACCTCCGTGCAGGCCAATCCTGCGTGGGAGATCGGCGCCAACGTCCCTTCCTTCCTTCTTGCCACGCGTCTCAGTGTCCTTGTCGAGACCACCATAGACATAGCTGAACGCGCGAAGGGCCGTGGCAGTGACGCTCTCTGCGGATCGTGGAAGGAGCGAACGCGGCGGGCGATCAAAGGTGGTGGCGAACGTGGGGACGAGAAAGTTGGGCTGCTTGGAGGGTGCCTGTGGTGGGTTGGGAAGGGCTGAATTGGCTTTGGCGGCACTGAGGGCTGCCTGACTACGTGGCGACAGCGGAGCAGGCGGCGCACTCGAGGCAGAGCGAACAGACGACGCGATCGAGCCACGTCGCACATCGAGGGCGAGGTTTTGCGAGCGCTTCGTCGACAGCTGGGTCTGAGACTTCTTCTGGGCCAGCTGGTGCGAAGTGGCTGCTTGCGCAGCAGATGGTGGAGGTGCTCCCTTGGCCGCATCCTTGACCGCATCCTTGGTGCCCTTTATCGGCTCCGTGGACACGCTGGGCGCCTTCCCCTTGGGAGCAGAAACTGCCTTCGGGTCGGGTTTAGCCACCACTGCAACGGCTGTCGACGGCGTCTCGGTCGGGAACTCGGGATCGGCTGAAAAATCCATTACCTCTTCACGCCCAGTCTCGCCGCTCTTGCGCAGGTCGCTGTACTCGGACGCCGCAGAGTCGGTAATCTTCTTCTGGCTCGCCCTGAATGCCAGGTAGCTGAGCCATCCCGCAGTTGACGAGGTGGAGGACGCCAGTTTGGGATGCGAGTTGGACGGTGTCGACTCGGTGTCAGCAGGGCCGAGGGGCGGCGGCTGAGGGGTAGGGGTAGGAGTGGGAGGAGCAAGTTGTGCGGACGGAGCGGGCTGTGCAGGCGGAGCAGGCTGCTGCATGCCTTGGGCGGGGAGCGGCGGCGGCCCCATCGACCTGGCAGTAACAGGGGCCGGTGACGGAGTCGGAGGAGCATCGTCTGCTGCTGGCGCAGGCAGAGGAGCTGGATCCGCCTTCGGCGTCATGTCTGGCGCATCGGGTGCTGGGGAGTCCATTTGTTGCTCTGGTGGACGAGTTTGGGAGGTAGAGTAGACGAATGAAGCAAAGTACGAGCCCCAACCTGGAGGATGGGTTAGATGGGCGGCGACGACGACGAGCTGCTTGTCCGACGTCGGATCTCGGCTTGACGTGGTGGACTGGGTGGGCGACGGGGGCGCGGGCGCAGTCGCAGTCGCCACAGAAGTCGCCGCGGTAGGTGAGCGTGCCGTGGGTGTCGTGGGCGTGGCAGCCGCTCGTTCCGTGACGATAGGACTCGGGACTTCCACCTTGCGCCGCTTCACGCTGACGTTTGCGCTGCCGTTGGTGATGACAGTCATGGCTGTCTTGGCCGAGCCGTTCGTGCCGTTGGGCAGTGCACTGCCGCGAGACTCAATCTTGGCCAGCGCAGGTGGGTCGGCGTGGTCGGCCGCGCCGTTCTGGATTGGGGGTTGATGGGGCGCGTCCGTGGCCATGTTCTGCGTACTGGTGATGTCGCTCGCGGGAACCACTGGAGATGGGGGTGCTGATGACTTGTGAGCCTTGACGTCAGGGGCGGGCGTGGGTGTGCTGGAGCCACCAGTGTCGCCTCCTGGCCCTCCTCCCCAAAAGTAGGTTCGCCACCCACGACTTGGTGTCGGTACGTCCAATGCTGGTTGTGCCGGCTTGAGCATGGGGGTAGTAGGCTCTGGAGCGTCCGATGGAGCTGTGGATGATAATGCGGAGGGTGTGGGTACAGAGATATCAGAAACTCCCGGGAGCAACGCGGACACTGTTCGTTCTTCGTCTGGGAGCGGCGGCGCTGGCTTGAATGCTTCCCGTGTCGGACGCGTGGGAGCTCCGGATCGCGCCCGTTCAATGTCTGGCGCAGGCGCAGGCACCGTCGGTATTATGGCAGGATCAACGGCGGATGGCGTCTCGATAAGAGCGGATGGCGGCACGGTGGGTGCAAGGAGGGGAGAGGGTAGTGGAGAGATGTGGTGAGTGTCGTCGCGCTGCTTGCCCTTCTCCTTCTTTGGGAATGTTGGAGTGGGGCTAGTCCAGCGCAGCCAACTGCTCGAATTCTTGGGGTTGAGGTGGCGGCGTTGCGGCGTGGTGGCCCCGTCGCGCGTGGGTAGAAGCGCGGCGAGCGACGCGTCCGCGCTAGCAGCGACACCAGTGTTGGGGATGGGGGAAGGTTCAAGGCTGGTGGGAGGATGGTACGAAGCCGTCGGCGAGTGAGTCGGAGTCTGGCGAGACGGCCCGGCCACCGGTTCCTCGTCGATCTCTTCTTCTTGCAGTGCTGGTGAAGCAAGAGGATGAGACGAGTAGTCAGTACGCACCGATGCGAGTGTTGCCGCAGAACCACGCCGCGATCGGAGCGGCATGTGTTGTCCGTCCCGATCCAGTTGGCGGGAGAGAGCCTCCTCACTCGGACTGGCACCACATATGGCACGGCGCAGGCTTGGTTCACGAGGGAGCGTAATGGAGGCATCACCATGTGCAAAAACAAGCGTGACATGGGGTTGGGCTCTTGCTGGCCGCACGTTGCTTCCCCGGAACGCGGGTGGCGCACGACGCAGCGAGGGAGCGGCACTCGCCGTGGAGCGGGTTGAGGGGGGCCGGTTGCTCATGGTGAGAAGGGTACAGTCTACGCCATGACCAAGGGGAGGTGGTGTGTGGGCATGTGAGGGATGGTGTGTTGTGCTGGCACGATGAGGGTGGGGGGAGTGACAAGAGAATGCACACCATCGCCGCTTGGGGGATTGGGGGAGAGGCTGGTTGTGCGCGCTGGGCGGAGGGGGGGCATGACGTCGCCTGGGTGAGGGGGAATATGTTTCCGCTAATGAGGCAAGGGCAAATAAGGGTAGGCATAATTTCAATTTCTAATAATGGCTAATTTCAGTGGACTGTTTTTTGCGTCTGCCCTCCGTCATAAGGTTCGGACCAAGCGGTGGATAACAACTTTCGTTACCAGACTGGTTTAGGGTGTTTGGGCAACTCGGCAAAACATGGATTGACCCCTGATGTGGTTGCTGGAGTGCACGCCACCCACGCAGGGCGAGTTTCCACTCTACGGGCGTTCGAATCCACCAAAATTATTCGGTGGACCGGACTGCTAAACACCTACTCACGGGCTGGCAGGATGGATTACAGGACAACTTGGAACTAACAGAGGGTTAACAGCGCGCATTAACCTGGTTGGCAACAGGCGGGACAGAGGTAACGGCCGCGCCACTCTGCCACCGACCACTACAAGGGGAGCAATCGGTCATGAAATTACTCAACGAGAGCTCCAAGTCGCAGGTCCCATCCGCCAACGGCCGAACAGCTGTACAAAGGCAAATCTTTTTGTTGGCCGGTGCTCTCGTGCAGAGTCGACTGTGCAGGGGCACACATGCTGTACTTCTTCTGGTCATCTGGCGTTGCTGGATTGCCAGCCCAGGGTTGGCATATACCGATTGTCACAGCAAAGGTGGAGGCTCTGTTGCCGATGCGTGTCGTCACTCCATGCCTCCACCTTGGTACCTTGGCCTGTCACCAGATCACCCATACATAACCCACACCCACCCAGACAACGTTCTCTCCCCCATCTCATATCTTCCATGCCCGTATTACGCTCAGCCTCGAAAGCGTCTAAAGCCTCTGAAAGCGACACCATGCAGAAGTGTGCGTTCTTCCACCTCTGACACTCATCACAGGCGCGCTGACGTCAACAGCACTTGGTACTGCAGCGCGTCTCTCGCTCGACAGCGCGGTGACACTTCGATCAGGACACGCCATGCCCCGCCTAGGGTTTGGCGTGTACCAGGCCCGTGGTGACGAGTGCAAGAACTCTGTCACCACCGCTATCAAGGACGGCTACCGCCACAGTGGGTCTGCCGAGAGTGATTTCTAAGCCTTGCTGACCGCCGCAGTCGACAGCGCCCAGGCGTATAAGAACGAGAAGCGTGCGTAGGCATAGTAGCCCACTGATCCACTGGCCACCGCTAACCAACGGCAGTCGTCGGTGCCGGCGTGACCGCGTCAGGTGTTCCGCGCTCGTCCATCTTTCTCACTACAAAGTTTATGCCGGGCCACAGCGTGCCCACCGAAGACGAGGTGTACGAGCACCTCACGCGCTCCCCGAGCCGTATCGACCTCAGCGCCGCCGCCGAAGGCCGGGAGGCGTACATTGACCTCATGCTCATCCATGCCCCGCGCCCCAACGAAGCTGCGCGTACTGTCCACTGGGCCGCGCTCGCGCGGGCCCAAAAGGAGGGCTGGATCCGGGACATTGGTGTGTCCAACTTTGGCGTCAAGCACCTGGCGGCGCTGCCGGGCCCCATCCCGGCCGTCAACCAGATTGAGCTGCACCCGTGGTGCCAGCAGCGCGACATTGTAGAGTACTGCCAGGACAAGGGCATTGTCGTGCAGGCCTACTGCCCCATTGCGCGCGCCGAGCCGGGCAAGCTCAGCGACCCGACGCTCGTGTCCATTTCGGAAAAGCACGGCAAGAGCGCGACGCATGTTCTCCTCCGGTGGAGCCTGCAGAAGGGGTGAGCTGAGGTTATAATGGCCGTGAGCGAGCTGACAATGCAGGTTCGTTCCCCTGCCCAAGTCGGTCACGCCGGCGCGTATCAAGTCCAACGCCGAAGTGTACGACTTTGAGCTTGACGCAGACGACATGGCGCGCCTGGACGCGCTGGACCAGGGCCGTGCCGGATGCGTCTCGTGGAACCCCGTCGACACCGAGTGAAAACAGGCGGGCGATCAAGTTTGTACCCCCCCCCCCCCCCCCCCTCCAGAACTCCTATCCCCATAGTGCTCCGCGTGTCAGAAGTAGTGGTGTTTAAACAGGCACTGGAATCCATGTATCTTGTTCTAACAAGTACGCGGCGCCAACGCATCTATGCTCTCTATGCCTACAGTGCGGTCCGTCCGAGTATGCTCTGCGCTACCTGCGTCGGCGTCGTCCAGGCCGCTGGCGTGTCAGTTGAGAATCTCCGGTACGTTCTAACTCACCTCGTCCTCGTCCGTGTCGCCCACACTTGACCGTGCGCGCTTATTAGCCGCTGCCGCTGCCGCAGCCTTCCCCTTCGCCGTTGTCGATTTACGCCGTGTCGTCGTGGTGGTGGCCGGCGGCTCGGCGTCGCTGCTTAGCGGGCTCGTGTCGGGCTCGACGCCTGCCCCGCTCGTCCGTCGACTGCCGCTGGCACTGGCGCTCTTGTTCGCCCGCCCTCCCTTCTTCCCGCCGCCTGTAGCCGCCGGTGTAGCTGCTGCTGCTGCTGCTGCTGCCGCCTCTGTTCGTGCCAGTTGGGCCTTTACGCCCGCCTCCCACTCTTCCCCTTCCTCGTCCCCGACAGCGCGGGCGTAGACCAGGTCCATGAACTCGTCCTCGTCGTCGCTCTCGCTCGGCGTCACTGCGCCTCCGCTCGTGCTCGCCGCCGCACTCGCCGTCCCGTTGCCGTGGCCGTGGCCGTGACCGTTGCCCGTGCCGTTGACATCATGCCGCCACTGGCCGATGCCAGGCAGCTCGAACGGGCGGGCAAAGTGCGCCGAGTCAATGACCCACGCGCTCCGGCTCCGGCTGGGGCCTGGTGAGCCCGAGCGCGAGGGGGACGGGGACGGGGAAGGGGACGGCGAGGAGAGGGACGAGGCGGACGCGGCGGACGCCGAGCGCGGTCGTGCCCGTGCCCGTGGTCGCCGGCGCTTGGCCGGGATGGGCGAGAGCGGGTCTGGCGAGGCAGGTAGCGAGGGGGTGGACGACGACTGTAGGCGAAGGGGGAGAATGCGTCAATAATGAACCAACGGGACAGCGACTGCCAGGACCCACCATGCCGTCCAGTGCGTCCAGGTCGTACAGCGCCCGCAGGTCGTCCCACAGCTTGCCGACGGGCACCCATATCCCCGTCTCTTCGTGTACGTCCGACTGCAGCGCAATCATCAGTACGTGCTTGTGTGGGCCCACTGCGACATGTCAGCTTGGGCTCTGATCCTCTGGCCCAAAAGCCGCCATCAGTCAGCCTCGACACTGGCGAAGGGCCCTTGTGCTCGAGGCCGACGGCGTGGACGAGGACGTACCGGGCCGATGGGCGGCGACGCCGCGGAGGATGGCGGACTCGCTGCGTTTTGTGTCAGACAGAGCTCGCTGGGCCGGCTGGGGATTAAGCAGGCAAAGAAAAGGTGGGCTCACAGCTCGAGGTCGGAAACGAGTGGGGTGGCTTCGTGCCGTGGGCTGGCGTCCACGGTCATTGCCGGGGTGGACGGTGAGGAAAGAACGAGGGGTGACGGTTGAGGAGAGAGTAAAGGGGTAGTGGGTAGCAAGCTCGTGTCCGTGTCGAGTGCTGCTGATGAAGAACGAGAGCCTGGTACTGTGGAAGCGCCGTAACGGTCGATGGTTGAAACGGCCTTGGCGAGTCCTGGGGTGGCAAAGTGGAGGTCCATCAGCGGATCAACGGACCCAACTCGGCTTTGCCCTTTGCTCGCGACGTGTCAGGCCAACACCGGGCCACAGCGTACAAGTCAGGGCAGATGAGGGGGGATATGATCCTCATCATGGAGGACCCAACGACGATGCGCATGCTGGGGGCTCTCGCGGGTCACAGCCACATTGCTCATTGGCGCATGCATGGCGCTGTGGTGTAGATCGTCTTGGCGCGAAAATCAGTGGGGGTAGCTTGCGAACGCGGCGAGCTGCAGCTGCAGCTTTCACGAAGCCAGTCTCTTGAGCAGAATGTATCCATCCGGAGATATTCTACGGTTGGGGCCAGTGTCCAAATCACACTGGGGAGGCCCCTCGCCTCACTAGTGGTACGGGGGAATGCTATCTACAAAACAAGGACGCGGGGGGTCGTCTGCATAGGACGACCCCAGCGTGCGCTGAGGGGGTGGTGGGGGGTGGTGTTTGCCAGGGCAAGACGTTTAGACGTCGCCCGAGCCGATGGTGACGACCTTGAAGCCGATCTGCTGGAGCTCGGCGCGGTTGAGCATGAGGCGGCCGTCGAAGACGAAGGCGGGGCGGGGGCAGGCCTCGTAGATCTTGGCCCAGTCGAGGGTCTTGAACTCGTCCCACTCGGTGCAGATGACAATAGCCTCGGCGTCCTTGCAGGCCTCAATGGCCGACTTGGAGATCGAGACGTGCTGCTTGTGGTCAACCTCGTTGGTCGAGGTCTCGTCGAGGTCGAGCCAGATCTGCTCCTCGGTGACCTGGGGGTCGTAGACGTTGACGCGAGCCTTCTCCGAAAGGAAGTGGTTGCAGATCGAGATCGAGGGCGACTCGCGAGTGTCACCAGTGTCCTTCTTGAAGGCCCAACCGAGGATGGCAATCTTCTTGCCGGTGATGGTGTTGAAGAGGGTGTCAACAACCTTGCGCGAGAAACGGTCCTTCTGGTACTCGTTCATGTCGACAACGGCCTTCCAGTACTTGGCGACCTCGGGGAGGTGGAGCGACTCGGAAAGGTAGACGAGGTTGAGAATGTCCTTCTGGAAGCACGAACCACCAAAGCCGACCGAAGCCTTGAGAAACTTGGCACCGACACGCGAGTCCTTGCCGACGGCAAAGGCGACCTCGTCAATGTTGGCACCGGTAGCCTCACAGATGGCCGAGAGGGCGTTGACCGACGAGATACGCTGAGCAAGCATGGCGTTGGCAGCGAGCTTGGTAAGCTCAGACGACCAGAGGCCGACGGTAAGGATACGGTCACGGGGAACCCAGTTGGCGTAGACGTTGGCGAGGGCGGCGCAAGCGTCCTTGCCCGACTCGGTCTGGAGCGAACCGATAAGGACACGGTCGGGGGCGAAGAGGTCAGAGATGGCGGTACCCTCGGCAAGGAACTCGGGGTTGGAGAGAATGTCGAAGCGGCAGCCGGGCTTCGAGTTGGCCTCGAGGATGGTGCGCATAGCACTGGAAAAGCGCCCCGTCAGTTTACTGCACTGCACTGCACACACAAGGTGGCACAGGTCAAAAAACTCACTCGGCGGTGCGGCAGGGAACAGTCGACTTCTCAACGACAATCTTCGACGAGGTCGAGACCTCGGCGATGCGGCGGGTAGCACGCTGGAGGAAGTTGAGGTCGGCGGCGTAACCGGCACCGACACCCGACTTCTTGGTGGGGGTGTTGACCGAGACGAAGATGAGGCTAGGAAAACGCGTCAGAGGGAGGAACTAACACATAACACAGCCCAGCAAGCAGCACTGCCGCGGGAAGAGGGGTGTGCGCGGCGGAAACACTCACTCAGCCTCGGCGATGGCCTTGTCAACGTCGGTCGAGAAGAAGAGGTTCTTGCCGCGAGCGGTCTTGACGACCTCGTCGAGACCGGGCTCGTAGATGGGGAGGTTGTCCGAGTTCCAAGCGTCGATACGGGCCTGGTTCAGGTCGACAATGGTGACCTGGATGTTGGGGCACTTGAGCGCAATGACAGCGCAGGTGGGGCCACCGACGTAGCCGGCACCAACTGCAACGAGTCAGTGTCACGTTCAGACGCGTTCGTGGATGGCTGGAGCATGCTCGGAGCCATGTCTCTGGGGAGAATCGCTGGTCCGACGTGGAACGTGTCTGTCTGTTTTGGACGCGTCCTCGCGGCCACGCGCAGCGTGTTCCTCGCTCCCAGTGGGGTGTTCGATTGGGTGTTGCGAGCTGCAGGCTGCTGGGGGGGTGGCCTGCTTTGACGAGAGTGTGTACTTACTGCAACAAATCTTCTTGACGGTGATGGGAGCCATGATGTCTAGGTCTATGATGGGATGAAGAAGAAAGGAAAGGAAAGGATGGGATGGATGGTGGTAAAGAAGAAAGTTGGGGGGGGCGGGCTCTGGCGGGGCGGGGAGGGACGGAGCAAAGGGGGCGGAAGGGGGGATCGCACAGCCTGGGCGGTGGGAGAGAAATGAGAGATAGCGGAAAGACGGAGGCAGAAATGGGCTCTTGCTAACACACTCTCACTCTGCTCGACGCGCGCCAAGCGAGGAAACGGCCCCTCTCTCTTCTCCCGTCGACGCGCCGCGCGCGCGCGCACGCGCTGGCTGCAAGCCCACAAGCCTGCAGAGCCTGGCTCTGGCGCTCTGGGCCCAGCTGCGCCAAAAAAACGGCTGTCGAAAGCTACCTGAATAAGGGGTGAGACGCACCTAAAAGGCCAAAGGCCTAAAAGCTCGCAATACTTTTTCAACGCCATGTGGCTCCACCCTGACGATGACCTGGGAGATATTGCAGGCTTGTTGCCGTGTCGAGAGATGTGTCCCTCATCGCCTTTGAAGCCTCGGTGCTTCCATTGAGACACATTGAGAGACACGGAGAACAAGCCGGGGACGGTCGAAGGCTCTCTGTTGTCCTGCCTCCAACGCCAGCTCCCCGTTGGCAGAGGACGGGGAGAATGGCTGGGAGAGGCTGGGTGTATAGTGCCGTGTGCCTTCTCAACGCATCCGTAATGAGCCGCTGGTGCTGCATGTCTGGAAGCACCGGCGGGACATTGCACCTTTTTTTTCCCTTGTGGGACGATCCCGCAACTTCAAACATCCCGACCTTCTCGTCATGATCGATGAAGCGAGACCTGGAAAAAAGTCGAAACAAAACAAAACAAAACAAAACAAAACGTTGTCCGGCCGCATGTCCCCCCGAAAGACACCGCTTCAGCAGATGCTTTACCGGCATCACCCGAATGTGTCGAACGAAAGGATGCGTCTCGATCTTGAAGATAATGGCGAGAGAAGAATTGCGAGGCGTGGACACAGCAGTACAGCAGCGAGGATGCGGCAACTGCCGAGAGGGGATTGCGCTGCCTGGCTGATGCCAGAGTGCAACGTTTCTACCAAAGAGGGCAATTCGCCTAACGCCTCTGAGGCTACTGTTGTTGTGGGAAGGAGGGGGTGTGGCCAAAGGTCAAAGGGTACATGGCAAAAGGTGCACAGGGACCGGCCGCAAGCAAATCACACCGCCAAAGGGTTTGTAAAGTGTGTGCAGTGTGCGTAACTGGAAAGGTGGTGTGATCTTCATGCCTCACGGCGCTCCGAATGACGTACAGGACCAGCGCCAGCGATATCGGGGGAGTCGGGGAGTCGTATGCAGGAGAGAGACCGCAGCGAGTAGGCCCTTCCAAGTGCCCAAACGGCCCCTACAAAGTCCACGCGCCTGATCTTGTGTTGGCGGCCTGGCGGCAGGTCCATTTCAGCCTTGGCACATTCAACTGGACGCGACGCGTCGCCTTCGCGTTTGGCTATATCTGGCGATCCTCCAGGTCTATCTGTCAGGCATGTCAGGTCTATCGCTTTCTAGACTTGCTTCTCAGGCCTTTTCGTACGCGTCGAGCACGTCGAGCGCGTCGAGAGCCACCACATCACACGTGCATTCATTCCACGAACATCACGTCCAAATTGTCCGCGGTACGCCACTTCTCCCACCGCTCAACCCACGGCCTGTCCAGCTCTCTCTCTTTGTTGTGTTGCGCCCAATACAAAGCCAGCGCGCGGAGCAGCTCGCCCCCCACCCCCCGCCGTCGTTTACTGTGCAGTGCAAAGCATCCGGCGCACAGACTGTCCGACTGGCATATTACAGCCTCGCAACCTCAAACAAGGCGGTTGCTCATCGCTGACCACACCCTCGTACCCTTGTAACACACACGCCCCAAAGCAACCGACGCCACGGCCGCCAAGCGCCAATGGCCCAGCGACGCCGCACCTTGTGGTATCCTGACCATCCCAGGACGTCAGGACGCGACTGTTCAAGCCTGCAAAGGCCACATGGCTGACGGCGTGCAGGCGTGTACAGGCGTGTGTATACCGGCGGGCAGATGGCATGGCGGCAGGGGCAACTGGAAGCTACAGACCCCTTTTGGGCCTTGATCTGATTGAGCAACCGCAGGCGCTGGAGGCGCATGCCAGCTGGCCCGCTGTCAGTCTGCCAGCCTGCCGAGCCGAGAACGATCGGGGCGTCCGGCGATGGTCTCGGGATCGCAGCCGGAGCGAGTAGGCGTGTACCACAGCACGCAGCCAGCAGAGCTGGCTGGTCCCAGCCCGCGGTGACGAGGTGCACGCACACGCGTATGCACGAGTCATTGGCCAGACCTCGCGATCTCGCCAAGGCAAAACAAACAATCAGCGCCCTCGGACGGACTGTATGTACGGGCGGTTTTACATTGTACATGTGCCTGTGAACGCGCGGCCGTTATCGCGGTCCCAACCATCACCTCATCCACAAACGTCACTTGCTCCTGGCCTCGTGTCTTCCCTGCCCTCTTCTCTTCCCTTCACTACAGAGCGCCGAGTGCGCCGAGACCAGACCCCCCGCCCAACATTGGTCTGACACGGCGCTTTTCACTGTCGTCGCGTTCGTTCGTCTAGTTGCCGAGGAGCTCGTCCATCTCCTTCTTGAGCTCGTCGTACTTGGTCTTGTAGTCCTCGAGCTCGGCCAGGCGCGCCTGGGCCTCCGCAAGCTCGTCCTGCATGGCCTTGTACTTTTTCACAAAGTCGCCAATGCGCTCGCCGACGCCTGCGTACGGCTGTGTCCTGCGTCAGCGGTGCGTCCCATCGTCCCCCTCCCAACTCTACGAATACGTACGCCGGTGGCGAGAGTTGCAGGAGCGGTCGCGGGCGACTCGGCAGTCGCAGAGGGCGTCGTGAATGGCCTGCAGGTCAGCTCGCAGTTCGCACCTCGCAGATCGTGGCCTGCATCAAGCGAGCTCACATGGTGAGGATGGCCGTGAAGAGTGTGTTGAGTGTGTTGAAGACCTGGAAGAGGACGAACAAGGGCAGCCAGACACAGAGGCCGGTAGCCGTGACTTGTTTTTCTTGTTCTTGTTCCGCGGGCGGCCGTGTCCTGGACGGCGTGGGAGTCGGGCGTTCAGAAGCGTGCGCGAGAGGCACTCTGGCAACTGGCGGGGCTGCAATGGTGAGACGAGACGAGACGAGACGATAAGTGGGCACACACCACACCAATGACGACGCTGGGCTGGATGACAGTCATGGGTTGTGGTCGTGGAACCCGCGGCCCCAGGTAAAGCCAGCCCTGGGCAGGGTTTCCGAGGTTAGCAGGACCACCGCCTCGAGCTGCGTGCTGGACGTCATGTCATTCCACGAGACGGCCGGGAGACATGCTTCTGCATCCGCGACGCGTAGACTGATGGCGATGGGATGGACATTGGACGTGCGGCCGCACCATTCTCGCGTCTGTGCAACTCTTGGACTCCCGAGCGAAACCTCCAACTTGCGTATTCCAGCCTGTGCACGGTCGTTGACCAAATATGTACACTTGGCAAAATCCCGCCCTTCATGGCCACTAACAGCTTACAGTCCAGTGCATGTACATCGGCTGTGCTAGGTAACGTTAGCGGTTCTCGGCAGGCAGCCGGACGCAACAGGTCGTAGGATCTATGACGCTTGTCCGGTGCTGCGCACCACGAATCGAACAGTGTACAAGCTACAAGACTGGTTCGGGACGAGCTGGAGGTCTGCGAGCCATGGCGATGGTAGCGGGCATGGCCAACAACTGCGGCATGCCAAAGCCACTTCTGACAAGGCCGTGCACACGCAGAGGTGCGTCATTTAGGCCAATGTCAATCGGACACTCCCAGAGCAAGAGTCCCTCCGCTACATTGCCACCTATGGCACCTCCTCGGTCTCCAGTCGAAACTGCCTCTCGCCCACCATGGCCGTGTACTCGTCCGTGGTCAAGTACCGCACGCGCTTGAGAGACTCGCGCACGTCCTCGGCCGTCGACGTGTTTCCATCCCCGAGCCGCCGGCGACGGAGGATCTCGTCCGGTAAGGCATCCCGCAGCTCGTCCGTGATGCCCGTACACTTGTCCATGCCGACTAGAAGGCATGCCGTGTCGGGCGAGAGCTGGACGAGCGCGTCGGTGATGCCGCGCCACAGCGTCCGGATCCCGAGCTCACATGGCGGCGCAAGTGGCGACTCATGCTCGCGCCCGTGCTCGTCGCTGTCGGGCTCACTGTCGCTCCTGCGGCTCGCAGGATGGTGGAAGATGAACACGGTTTCGGCCACGTCGATGCCGATGCCAAAGTTGGAGCTGAGGTGGAACTGGTTACAGGACGGTGTCCCTGCTTGTCTGTCCCCGGCCACATTGATGACGAGCTTTTGCACACCGCGCGGCAGCGCATGCGGCGCCGGCACAATGAACGCGGGTTTGCGACACTCCTCCTGGCGGTGCAAGAGCACAAACGTGTCTGAAGCAGCAAAGCCAGGCGCACTCCCCCACAGCTTGGGCAAGTGTTGCCGGATCATGGTCGGGGCCGGCGGTCCAGCAGCGTAAATGTTGCGCACTTGCTTGTCCTGCAGCGAAATGACATCGAGGATGCGTGTCTTGCTCAGCGCAGCCTTAATGCGCTCGTCGCGCGTCGACTGGTCGAGGTTGTGGAAGAGTGCGACCTGGCTCCCGTCAGGCGTGCACACGCCCAGCTTGCGTCGCGGCCGGTCGGGCACGTAGCCATCGGGCGCGACGAGGTGGTACGCCAACATGTCGTCGACCTGGGCACGGAGCGAATGGCATGTCGACCGCAGCACCAGGAGCGAATCGTGCGGCGCAAACTCGACAATGGTGTCCAGTATGTGAGGGTAGTAGGTATGGTCGAGCGCCGCCATGGTGTGCTACCGGCTCTGGGCCAAGAGACTGTGGGTTTGCAGGAGACGAGGGAATATGGGAGTCGCCGAAATGAGAGGATCTCGAAAGTGGAGGTCGTGTCGGAAGCGTGGCCGCCAGAGTTGTCGTGCTGGCCGCTGGCGTGGTGCCATCATGCGCGCCACAGGTGCCCCAATGGAGCGTCCAGCACATTGTATGAACCTCCGTTGTCGTGTCTCTGTTCTCAAACGAACACTGGTGCTGCTTCAGCAACTGGAGAGAGCAGGAGAAGCAAAAACGATCCGGAGCTCGAAGCGACACCTCCAGGGAAAACACCATTGTGGCCTTCTTAGTTCAGTGGTTAGAATTTTTCACTAGTAGTGTCCTGTTCATTTAGGCTTGCTGTGCAATGAAAGGGTCACCCGTTCGATTCGGGTAGAAGGCAGAAGTGGCTCTACGAGTCTCTTCCTTTTGCTGCTCGAGGTATGTACTGTACATGCTGTTTTGATGGAGGAGGGAAAGAGGCAGCTGATCAGCCGACGTGAAGGCTGGATCAAACCAAGATGGACGCGTATGATTCTGATCGGCGCGTTATTGGCAGCGCCACTCTCGCGGAACTCAACAAGCCGCACCGATGGCTGGAGAGTGTCCAGGTCTCACGTTCGTTGCACACAACACACGCAACACACGCCTAGACTTTCGGTGGCCGTGAATCCGCTCCACTAATGCTGCCCCATGTCCCTCCGGATCTTGACATGGCGGACATGACGCTGTGGCGTTCACCTGCTGTTCACATGCTGTCCGCATGCTATCCACGCCGCGCCTCGCCATATCGCTATCTTTAAAGCTTTGCCCAGAGGACGATTCTGTTAAAATTCCAACTAGGTGCGAGGCAGTGCAGATTGGACTGTACTAAGGTAGTGGGTCGCTCTAGCCGATAGCCCAACTGATCCGCACCGACATTATGGACATTTTCCATATTTTCATGCCACCTTTTGTGACCACCTAGCCGCTCAGCCTGACATTATAGGTTGCATATGGGAACTAGAAACTATCTCTCTACAGGGGTCTATGGATGCAGCTATGTGTCATTTAGATCTAGACCACTCTCACTCCTCCGCCTCGAGGCTAAACTGCTCCTCCTCTACTTCGGCCAGATACATGCGCCGGGACACGAACCGCATGCTGCCTTCGAGCTCGCTCGCCTTGACGCGCGGGTAGTTGAGGCGCGTCTGGAGGATATACTCCCTCCCACGAGCTGGGGTACACATGGCATCGGCGTCGTCTCCCAGGAGGCGGAATCCCACAATGGTAAAGTGTACGTGGGCCCAGTTGTGACGCGCCGCATTGGACACGACGGTCAGGACGTCGCGGGATGTAACGTCCCACTTGGGGTTCCAGCCTGCGGGGTCGAGCAGGAAGACGACCTCCTTGAGCGTTGCTGGCATGGGTGCCTCGAGGAGGTTTTGATGGCCCAAGTTCAGATAGGGCGGGCTCTTCGCCGTGGCCGTGCCGGCCGGAAAGCTGATGTTGACGACCAAGCGGCTGATGGACGGCAGAGAGGGAAACCGGAGCGACTGGACTGGCCCCATGTCGCTATCTACACAGTGGAGAAAGAGCACGAGTGACGCTGTGGGGATCTTGCACAGGCTCGGCCAAGCATGCGGCGGCAGGCGGAGGAGACGAACGATCAAGAGGTTGGTATCGGCCTGCCGCAACGTCGGCGCAAGGGCGTTGAGCGCCGTCGGCGTGACGGTCGGGAGAACGTCGAGGGTGAGGGTCTTGGAGTGGAAGCGCCGGGGCAGAGACGAGCCCTCTGCATCCTCGCCATGGACCCCCAGATGAAAGAGGCCACCCCGTGTCTGCCGAGGACCGCTTGGGTAGATGACCACGTGTCGAGCGCGACGGTTGAGAACGCCGTCCACTTGCTTACTGACTTGCCGGCTAGTGGTCCTGAAACTCAGGAGGCTGGATACAGACGTATACCCCAAGATCGTCTCAAAGATGTGTGGATAGCTCTGGTGATCAAGTGTGACGCGCGGGGTAGAGGAGGCTGGGTAGAATGGAGAGTGCGGCGTGATGGGCGATTCGACCGTAGACGCGCCACTTTCGGTGCTGGACGTGCTATCCTTGCGTATCTGGATAGGAGTCGGGCACATGACGGCCTTGACGCTCTGGTAGGGTTTGGAGAAACGAATCATGAGAATGAGATGATTGGTGATGAGAAGTGAAGGCGACCGCAGTAGAAATGATGGGTGTGTCTGGTGGCAAACACGGCCCGGCGCAACTCCGCTCTTCGCCCCACTCCAAAACAAAGACGAAAAAAAAGGAAGCACACTGGTGTGTTGTGGTTGTGTCATCATGCGGCGCTGGCTTTTGCATCTGATCAGAACAACGCGCGTCATAGCCCCTGATCAATGCACAGCAGTGTTGGTGGTAGTGTACAGCACAGAACAGGTTGACGAGCGGCCATGGAACTTTCCGGCGATAACACTGGGTGACACCCGGGGGTGCCATCGACCAGGCCGGCGGACACGCGTAAGCGGTGCCCTGGCTGCATAAGCACGAATCCAGAGCTTCGTTGCCGCGAGCTCTGTCCATGTCGCATCTCTACTGAGGTCGTACCCCTAGTGGTATTGTCATAGACATTGTGGAGGAGTTATGGAGCAGTGGTGGGTGATGGCAAGTGGCGCCGCGTGCTATACTATGTAGCGGCGCTCGATTACCCATCAGCGATGCGGCAGCTGACCGGCCCAAATGTAGTCTGGTGATGTGCCGTTTCTGACGCGCTTTACAGAGCCAGCATGGCACCATGTTGTGTGCATTCGCTACCAGCAAACCTGGGCATAAGCGTTCAGGTTGGCGAGAAAAGTGGAACCATGTACTGAAAAGACGGTTCTCATGGCGGTAGCTGGTGGCGGTTTGACCCATACATGACATACACAATACCAATATCTACTCCTTTCTAATTCTGGGTTTCAATTGCATACTGGCGGGGACCTACAAGCGCCCGATACTCGTCAGAAGTGAGATAGTTGATGCGCTTGGTGACGTTGTCCTTGACCGTCTGATCCCAACCCACCACGTCCATCGTCGACTCGACCGCGGTCGTAACAAGCTCCTTGGCGTTAAGGTGGTCATTCGGACGCCGCTGAAGCGCCTTCGCATTCACGAGGGTGACGTTGATGAAATCGCGGTGCTTGGGGTCGTTCATGAGGCGTGCGATAAGCGCTCCCACAAAGATGAAGCCAATGTTGTGGCAGTTGAATGTGCACCGTTCACTCCCAAATCCAGCATCCTCTGTAAAGTTGACGACCAGGTCATCGAGGCCTGGGAAAAAGTCGATGAAGGAGTGGAGGTATGCCCAGGGGAGGTTGTGCTGGCCACAAACGTTGAGGACAACCTTCCTGGTCTCGTACGGAGTGACGATCAAGGAAGCGAGGGTCGCAGGGGGCTGGAGGTCCGCAGGGCACGCCAAGATGGTGGGCATGAAGAAAACATAAGTCGCTGCGGGGATGGGCGACATGGAGGGCCAGCCCTCATCCGGAAAGTCAAGGACGCGCACCGCGTTGAGAATGGTGGGAGTCTTGTCCCAAGCGGCTGCAAGGTTACGCAAGTCCCTGGAGGTCACTTTATCCGCGTGAATGTCCAGAACTGCAGTGTCTCGAAACAGAGTAGGCATGGTGTACAGCTTGGGGAAGATTGTAGGCCGGGTAGTGACAGAACACAGCCTTCCACCATGGGAGCGTACTTCGATCCTTCCTGGCTTGGGAGCTGCGGTGATTTCGAGATGGTTCACAAGGCAAGGAGTGAGCCTGTCCCTGTAAAACTTGGATGTAGCGCGGAACGACATCCACATCCACACCTCGTTATCGGCGCTGGCCAGGATGGCATCAATGATGTGAGGGAATCCCAGGTGGTGGATCGCACCAACGTCGTTGGTTGGCGGCTGGGTGTTGTCGTACCGGCGAGTCTTGGCCTTGTGGAGGTGGAGGAGGCGAACCTGTTCCACAACATGACGGATGTGGTGCTGGGCCTTGGTCTTGTCCATTAAGGCCTTACGCTTGTTGCGGATCGCTGTGAGCATCGTTAGTGGATATGAGGAGTGTGGTAAGAACGGCTAGGTGGTGACTTTGCCCCGTTTTAACTGTTCATCGACTGCAATGATGTGGTTGGCGACAGCAGTGCGGACACGGTGATGGCAGTGAGCGGAAGTTGACAGCAGAAGCGTTCCCATCACTGCACTGCACAGGTTTCCCATCGGCGAACATGTCATCAAACGTGACACTAGAGTTTGGCTGCAGCCGCCTCTGGCGCGCTCCACTGGCCGTCACGGAGACTGCCGAGGAACCGGCGCAGACAGTCCGCCAGTGCTTTGGGATTCTCCTGCGTAATCTGAATATGAGCTACGTCCTTTGGATGTACAGTTGTACAGTTGACTCACAAGATGTGCCGAATCCATGATGCGTTCGTTGCGAGACCGAGGTGACCGCCAGCACATCTCCTGCGTAATCTCGTCGCCACGGGTACTGACCGAGTCGCCGGCCATGAGCCACCCGATAGGGATGTCTAGGTTTGGCAACTTGTCCCAGCCGCGAGCACAAGCGTCCGGCTCGGTGAAGACGGCCGCCTCGCACCACGAGGGCGTCGCCAAGGTGACGGGCCCGTCTGGATTCGCAGAGTCGACAGGAACGATTCCTCGTACCATGTATACGTCAAACTGCTCGTCGTCCCATGGCTTGAAGAATGCGGACCCACGGAGCTTCTGGCAAGCGGCCGCGCTCGAGGGCCAGATATCCCGCCGCTTCAGCGCAACCTGGGAGAGAAGGTATCCCTCAACTGGTCGAGCATAGTACGAGTACCGGGGGACAAAGAGGGGGTGGACCATCGGGTCGACGAGGAAGAGGGCCTCAAAGAGGTCGGGGCGTGCGTGGGCTGCATGGACCATGGCGCTGCCGCCGAACGAGTGGCCCACGCCGATGACTTTGGGCCCCTTGCCACTCGCAGTCCACTCGAGTTCCCATGGGCTTGTAGCGGCCACTGTCGGGAGGACGTGCTCGACAAAGTTGAGAATGTCACGTCCAGTGTCTTCCCACGACTGGACATCTCCAAGCCTACCAGCATTCAGATCCACCGAGACGCCGTGGTGAAGGTCGTCTACCATCCAGATATCGTCAATCTGGGCATCGACGTTGTGCTTGAGTGGCTGACCCGTGCCAAACGACAGCCCGCGAGCTGCTGACGGCTTGGTGATTATATCCCTCATGACCGTATGCCAGTGCTAGAGGTCAGGTCTGTAGTGTTTCTTGCAGCTTACCTCCTTCTGAAGACCGCTGGCGTGGTTACACACGAGCGTATACCCGCCGAGGGGAGTTTCACGCCGCCATCGTTCAACTGAGATCCACTGCTTGCACGGCTGGGCAACCCGAGCCTCCTCCAGACTCCACTCCTTGGCATCATACCGCTTGTGTGCCATGTTGCCCGTCTCATCATTGAGACGGGTCTCCTTGTCGTGGGGTGACTCTGTAGGGGACACTGGCTCTAAACGGAAGGCATGGCTGTCTCGGCTGAAGGTGCCGTGCGACTCTCGCAGCTGTCGTGGGTACGCTGCTGGAACGGCATGTACGCTGCGGACAAACCCCGCTGGTGGGGGTGGGAGATTGGCTCGTACTGGTTTTGCTGGTGCGGGTGTGGCTGGAGGAGGAAGAACTCCGAGGAGAGGCCTACGAGGTAACACTGGGCTGTGAAACACCTCCGATTTGCCTGTGAACGGTGGGTAGATCGTTATGCCATTCCCAACGTTCTTGAATATCGTAGGCTTCACTGCACGTCGTACCATGGCTGCAAGGGCTAGTCAGAGTTCAGAGTGAGTGTGTGGTGGCTAGAAAGAGCAGACGAGGTCGACGGAACATCGTCTGCCGTCGGCTTTCGGCATCCATGACAACCAACACATCTCTTCGGTTATCGCCGGCTGTTTGTGCATCGTCCACATCATTCTCCCCGTCCATGCCTGTTATCGTCGTTCCGTACTCGCCAGAGTGGCCAGCGCAGTTTCAGCGTATCGCTGCCGAGCTGCGGCCCGCTCTCACTGGTGTCCCCGTGATCGCCATCGAGCACGTAGGCAGCACCTCTGTGCCCGGGCTTGCCGCCAAACCGATCATCGACATTGACATCCTGGTCGACGAAACCAACCTCGATGCTGCCCTCGCAGCCGTCCAAACGATTGGTTACAAGCATGTGGGAGACATGGGCGTCCAGGGGCGACACGCCAACAAACACCTCGCCACACATCCCGTCGAGCCCGACGCGCTCGAGACCGCTCCACGTCCCGCTCTCGGCCCCGGACAAGAATCATGTCGGCGCAACCTCTACGTCTGCGTTGACGGCTGTCTCGCGGTCCGCAACCACCTGGGAGTACGAGACGTGCTCCGTGCCAACCCGGACCTGCGCGACGAGTATGCGGCAACCAAGCTCCGGCTCGCGTCTGACCCGACAATGGAGATTCCGGAATACTTGGAAGGCAAGAGCGACATCCTCCTCCGCGTCCTCGCGATGACTGGCAACATCACCGATGAAGAGAAGGCAGAGATTGCAGCCATCAATAAAGGCCCCACTGCCAGCGCGAGGCTAGCTTCCATCGCATCTCAGCCTGGATCCCAGTAGACTGGCAAGAGACAGGACTGCTGTTTAGGCGGCACGAGATGGACAGGGATTAGACAACAACACACATTTGTGAACCACGCTGCCAGCTACTAGGAAACCATACAGCCCCCTGGCCGGCCAAGTGTGCCGGCAATGTACACCTCACTCCATAGGTCCTCCTCGCTCAACGGTGCTTGGGGACGCTGGGACGCTGTATCGCTGCATTGCTGCATCACTGGTCACTGACCACGCAAAGCCTAGAGGCTTCCCGTTTTGGCGGGCGGGGCGGCGATGACCGATTCGGTGTGGGTGACGTCAGGGCGCGAGGGAGCAGACCATCAACGCGTGGGGTGACACGAATACCCCGCATTTCAGCACCCACCCCGGGGTGGATAAGACACTCAATCAGTCAATCTCTCGTTCTCACATCTACCCATTCCAGCACCATCTATCCACCATGGCGACAGCAGGTGAGCTCTAATTTCCCTCTCGTGAAAAGCTGACAGCAGCGCTCCAACGGTTCTCGGCATTCTACAACCGCAAGTTTGACTCGCACCCGACCACGACCCTGGTGACAGCCAACGGTGCGCTGAGCACAATTGCCGATATGTTGGTGAGTTGATATACATGCGAGGCCACTGCGCCGTTGACTGTTCGCAATCGCGAGCTATTGTATCGTTCATGACGAGCTCCGCAGACAAGGGCCGCCTTTTAGTACAATGCTAACACACTCTCCAGGCCCAGACATCTGGTATTGCTGTCAGTTGCGTGCAGTGCAGCGGCTGAACTGACCGGACAGCTCGCAAAGGACAACCCGCCAGAGTATGACTGGGCGCGTACAGGTCGCTTCCTCGTCTTTGGTCTCGGCATGGGACCCATTGTTGGTATGTGCTGTTGTCGTGCTGGTGCAGGCGGAGCTGTCAGCTCCAAGCTCCAAGGTTCCTCCGTTCAACTTCAGCTGGATAACAGCTCCGCCACCACCTTCCCCGGCTTCCCTCCCTTTTGTCCTTCTCTCGGCCCCTGCCTTCCTTCTATTATCTCCCATTTACATCCTCCTATACCCCCTCTTGTGGTCACTGACATCCACAGGCGGGTGGCTCCGCCTGCTAGAGCGCGGCATCCCCATGCCCGCCGGAGGAAGCCTAGTCGTGACTGCGAAGCGTGTGCTCGCCGACCAGGTCGTCATGTGAGTTAGATCCCGTAAGTGTTGATAACTGACATCAGGGCACCCATTGGAGTAAGCTCTGCATAGTCAGACCAGGTATAGCTTACACCCAGCTCGCAATGTTTACCGGCTCGATGGGGCTGATGGAGGGCAAGACCGTGCCCGAGCTGCAACAAAAGTTCAAGGACGTGAGCTCATTCCGTCACGGGAGATAGCTGACCCTTCCCCAGGTATACTGGAGTATGTCTTTCGCCAGCTTAACAGACCTCACTACGGCGACTAGCTGACACGGCGCAGCCGCACTCAAGGCCAACTGGAAAGTGTGGCCGTTCATCCAGGGCGTCAACATGGGCGTCGTCCCGCTCGCGTACCGTCTGCCGTTCCAGCAGACGTGCGGTATCGGATGGAACATGTACCTCTCCTTCCTGAACGCGCGCGAGAACAAGAAGGAGGAGGCCATGGCTGCTGCCGAGCTCAAGGCCAGGCAGTAGTGACCGTTGTTTAGCGAGCAACACACCATTCTATAGAAATCTACTTTTGTACAAGATAGACCAGCCACCACACCCTGCATGCACACACTGTTCCCCCCCACACAACTCGCCTCGCCGACGTATTCGTAGGTACAGATATGCATAATGGATTAAAGGTCGTGAACAGTGAGGCGGCCATATATCGTCCCGGTCTTACAAGCTCTCGAACGTATACTTTGATGAGGGAGTGGGTATGTAGCTAAGCAGTGATGGGGAACGGACACATTTTTACTCGTCCTGTGGGTTTCCGTCAGCACACTGTTTGCTTGTTTACTTGGTTTGAGAGAATCCGCTGCTGTGGCCACAGCAGCGGCACCGTGGTGTCTCGCCTGGTCTCAATCTGGAGCCAAAGCTGGCTGATCGTGTTCTTCAACAGTGCAACGCCGTGCACGCCAACGGCTTCTCCCGCCTAACTCTGACTCACGTGCTGGACAGCGGAGGCCTTCTCACGCTCAGCCTTGAGGAGCTCCTCGAGAGCGGCAATGCGGAACTCGGACTCGGTGGTGGAGGACGCGTGCTGCGCCTTGAGGTCCTCCATAGCCTTGTCAAACTCTTCGCGGTTCATCTCGAGCATCTGCGTGTGTTAACATACCATCCGCGGGCCGGAACACTCACGAGGTTCATGCCCTCGAGCTCGTCGCTGCGGGCCTCAATCTCGCGCTTGAGGGTGGCCACTTCCTCGTCGTTCGACTTGGAAGGTGTGGGAGGCGGAACGCTCTTGGCCGCGGCAACCTCCTTGTCGAGCTGCTCAATCTTCTCACGGAGCTGAGCAACAACAGTGTCCTTCTCCGAGGCGGACACGCGAGCGGCCTCGAGGTCGGCAGTAGCGGCGGCGTGGCTGTCCTGAGCCTGCTTGAGCTGGGAGGCTGTTGTCTCGGTGGCGGTCTGGGCCTCGGTCACAGCCAGAGTGTGCTCGGCAGTCAGGTCCTCGACCTGCTTGGCGTGAGCGGCGACTAGGTCCTCCTTGGCCGCAGAGTGCGAGGCTTCGAGAGACTGGATGGCGTCGGCGTGCGACGAGGCAGCCTCAGTGGCCGCGGCAAGCTTGGTCTCAAAGTCGGCCTTGATGGACTCGACTTCCTGGGCGTGGGCAGCGGCAGCGGCAGCCGACTCGCTAGCAGTGGTCGAAGCAGCAGCAAGCTTCTCGTCGTACTCGGCCTTTACGGACTCGAGCAGTGTGGCGTGGGCAGCCTCGGCAGTCTCCTTGGCAGTAAAGGCAGCGGCGATCTGGGCCTCCAGGTCGGCACGAAGGCTTGCAAGCTCATCGGCATGGGCTGAAGCACCCTCCTCAGCGGCCGAGCGACTGGCCGAAGCGACCTTGTCCTCGTGCTCGCTCTGGAGAGCAGAAAGCTTCTCGTCGTGCTCAGCCTTGAGGGCAGCGAGCTCGTCTGCGTGGGTGGCCGAGAGGGTCTCGGTCTCCTTTGAAACGCCGGCAAGCTGTTCGGCGTGGGCGGCCTTGAGCTGCGCAATCTCTTCGGCATGCTGCGACGCAATCTCGTCGTTGGCGCCGCTGGCAGCAGCCGAGATTTTGCCCTCAAACTCGGCAGTCAACTTGGCGACCTGGCCCTCGTGCTCGGACTGAAGGGCAGAAATCTCGTCCGTGTGCTTGGCCGCAAGAGCACCCTCGGCGTCGCGGGACGAAACGAGCTGCTCCTCGTGGGTAGCCTTGAGGGCCTCGATCTCGGCCGCGTGGGTTGCGACCAGGTCCTCGTGGGCCGACTTGGTGACGGAAGCGAGCTTCTCCTCGTGCTCAGTCTTGGCAGTCTCGAGGTCCTGCTGGAGCTGGGAAATCTGGTCCTGGAGGGACTGCTCCTTGGCAGACGAGGCAGCGACCGCATCCTTGAGCGAAGCGGCCTCCTTCTCGCCCTCGGCAGCGCTGGACTCGGCAGCCGCAACCTTGGCCTCAAGGTCCTTGAGTGACGCACGGAGCTGCTCTGCCTCGGCGCCAGAAGCCGAAGCAACGTCGGCGACGGCTGCGTCAGCCTGGCCCTTGGCCTCGGTGAGCTGGCGGTTGAGGTCGGCCACAGCCTCCTCGTGGGCAGCTGAGCGGGAGACGAGCTCGGCGTGGGTGCCGTTAAGCTTGTCGTGCGCCTCCTGGAGCGACTTGAGCTCGGCCTGCTTGGCCTCTGTCTCAGAGGCAGCAAGTGCAAGGACTTCGCCCTGGCTCTCGGCCTGGACCTTGTGGGCGTCGCGGTCGGCAGCGAGGGCCTCACGCTCCTTCTCCCACGCAGCCTTGTCGGCGGAGTGAGACTCGCGCTCCTGGGCGAGCTCGGCCTTGATCTCGTCGAGCTCCTCCTGGAGCTCCTGCACCTTGCCTTCCAGGTCACCAAGACCGCGAACGCTCTTCTCAGCCTCCTCAGCGCCCTCGGAAATCTCGGCCTCGAGCTTGTCGTTCAGCGCCTGCAGCTGGGCGAGCTTCTCCTCAAGAGCAACACGCTCGTCGTTGGCCTGGTTGAGAGTAGCCTGGTGCTCGGAAAGCTTGGAGGCAAGTTCCGCCTGGACGGTGGCAAGCGAAGCAGCCACGGCAGAGTGCTCCTCCTGAGCCGACGAAAGGGCGTCACGGGCAGTCTGGGCATCGTTCTGGTGCTGGTCACGGGCGACACTGAGGCTGAGAAGAGTTAGGTGGCAGTTGGCCATGTTAACACTCACTCGTTGATCTGGGCCTCGCGGTCGGACGTAGCTGCGGCGTGCGACTCGCTAGCAGCGGCAATGGCCTTGGAGTGCTCCGTGATAGCCTCGTCCAGCTTGGCGCTCGCAGCGGCGTGCTCGTCGGTCTTGGCGGAAAGGCTGTTTGTCTGTCAGCAATGTTGCAGTCGATCTCAGCTCACCTCTGCTCGAGCTCTTCCTTCTGGGCAATGAGCTCGGCAATCTTAGCCTCGAGGGCAGAAGTCTCCTCCTCGAGTTTCTTGGCCTCGGCAGCCTCAATCTCGGCAATACGAGCGTCGACGGCCTCCTTGTCTGCAAGGATCTTGGCCTCGAGGGTCTGGCGCTCCTCGTCAAACTTCTTGGTGATCTCGTCGATCCTGGCCTGGGTCTCAGCCTCGGCGGCGGCCTTGCGGGCCGCAAGGCTCGAGGCAGCAGTAGTGGTGGCCGTTGTCGAGCCTGGGGCGAGGCTGGCGCGCGACCTCAGAGGGGTGGCGGCCACAGCGGGCTTGGTGACGCCGCGAGTTGACGCAGAGAGCGAAGCCTGAGCCGGGCTGGCGCGGAGCTTGGGTGCGGCCGACGACGTGGACGCGGCCAGGCGGGAGGCAGTGGCGGTACGGACAGCAGAGGTAGTGCTGGGGCCAGATGGGGTGGTAGCGCGAGCGGCCTCACGAGCGGCGCGGGCCTTGCGCATCTCCTCTGCCTTGGCTGCACTGGCCGACGCGACCGCTGTCGGGCGAGCTGCGGCGCTAGCACTGGGGATGGCGGGCTTGGTGACAGCGGGACGAACGCGCGGGGTGGGGGTGGTCGAGGGAGCGAGGCTCGGGCGCGCCTTGGCCGCCGTGGCGCTCGAGGCCGTTGCGGTGGCCGACGAGAGCGGGCGGGCAGTGACCCTAGGCGAACCGGGGCCAGTAGACGACGAGGACGCCGTCTTGGGGCGGGGAGGGTGAGCACCACCAGCAGCTGTAGCAGAGGCGGCCCCAAGGCGAGCAGCGGACGCGGCAGTCGGGGCCGTCAGGGGCTTGCGGTTCGCGAGCGACGCGCGGGGCGCGATGGCAGGCTTGCCAGTGACACCGCCAACGACCTTGCGACCGGGAGTAGGGACGGCCTTTGGCGAAGCTGTGGCTCGTCAGTACGTGTGTACTGGGGGAAGACACAAAACGTTGTTGTCCACTCACCGCCAAAGACGCCGCTCTTGAGCACCTTCTTCACGCCTCCTTCCGACTTTTGCCCGTTCTCCTTGTCCTCGCCACGGTCTTTAGCCTTGGGCGCAGCAGGCTCAGGAGCAGCCTCCTTGTCGCCGTCAGCGACAGCGATGGGTGCGGCGGCGTCGTCGGTCTCGTCGCCGTTAAGAGTCGACTCGGCGTTGTCAGTGTGTGCCGTGTCGTCTGTCTGGGGCTCGTGCTCCGAGATGGCATCACCGAGCACGTCCTCGAGGATGGCTGCGGTGACACCTCCGTCGTCGAGGACGGACGAGTCGGCGTCGAGGCCGAGTGCGGCGGGGGGCGGCTGTTCTACGAGGGTCATGTGTAGAGTAAGAGGGGGTATAGAGTAGAGGAGTGGGATGCGGAGAAGAAGAAGAAGAGAAGGAAACGACACTTCAGAGAGATGTGGATTCCCGGGGGGTGGGCCAACGCACCGGCGGCGGCGGGACGAACACAGGGGTTGGGTGGTGCGCGACGGCTCGAAACGGCACGGGCCCATTCCCCGCCGACGCGTCGAAACAGCTGGACGCGCTGGCGCGCAGGACGCGCGGGCTGGCTGTAGCGCGCGTTGTGCGATACACGTTGTGGAGTCTTTCCGCTTCCCCGGTCTCACTCTGTAGCATGCATCGACACGTTTTTCTTGCTTTCAATCGCATCGGAATGTGTGTTCTTATCTACCAACCCCCCACACACCAGACCGCCAGAGCATCCCCACTCGATGGCAACAGTGTGACAGGCATGCACAGGTGGAGACAGAGGGGGGAGCAGACGCTGGGGCCAGCGGCCACCGCTCAGGCGGCGTCAGTGGCGTCTCTCGCTGGTTCTCATACCTGTGCGTCACGCTGTGGAAAAACAGACTCTGGGTGGAGCCATCGAACAGCGTGCAGCCAGAGCACATTGTGATGCACGTGTACGCACACAGATCACAGATCCAGCTCTTCTCCTTCTTGTGCAAGGGGTGGGGGAAAAGGCGATTAGAAGCATCTCACCAATTACCAAAAGACACGGTGCACAGTCAAAAGAGACCCTATAGCCCCCCATTCGCCCCTTTGAAGGACAGTCCATTGTCCAAAGGTACTGGCGTTCAATCTCATCCAAGACCGCACGTCCGCCGGCAGGTAAAGTTCGTCGCTTGTGGACTGCCCCAACATGTAGCAACACACATCAACCCAAGGTTCACTGAACGACAAGATTGGCCCGTTCCTTGGTCGAGGGTGCGGTCACGGCTGGGACGCTGGTTGCTGTTTGACACAGCGGTCACAGATCACAGAACGGCGCTGTGGCAAATCGATGTTGCCACCCAGAGTCATACAACGGCGGCCACTCCAGCCATTACGCAGTAATTGTCCCCCAGTCGCCCACGAACGTCGAGTGAAGCGTTAAAGCCATCAGCTTCGCGTGATGTGTGGGGAATGGACTCTAAAGCCCACATCGCAGCCGCACGCCACATGCCACAGATACGCTTGTGCGCTTGTGGGCGACGATCGTCTTCGCAATGCCTGTCCCATGAGTGCTCCTGAATGCTGTAGGTCACATCTGCGCGGACGAATGCAAGAATCGCGGGAGAGTGGCAGTCCCGGCTGCATCTTGGCTCTGACATACGGGCACTGCTCGTCTCTTCATGCATTCGCCACCAAGGACAAATGGGGGCGGCAAATGATGGGGGGGTGGGGGCTGCGGCGGGTTCCTGCCCCGGTGCCGCAGAATCCGCCACCGAAAGCAAGATCCCTCGTTGCAAGCGATACAGGACGAGAGGGGGTGCGGGGAAGGGAGTGGTCGGAGACCAGCGAGCCAGCGGCCAACGGGAGTGGCGCTGGGAGTGACGGGGGGTGACCGACTCTACGCACGCTCTCAGCGGGACACAGTATGGTGTGACTGGGGTCCCATAAGACGGTCAGTTACGTTTTGCTCGGCCAGCAATGTCGACGTCGATAGTAGCACTCTCCACCGTCGCCTGCTTCTGCGCGTCTAAAGTAAAGTGCATGGTACAATCAGAATGAACAGCGGAACTCCAATACCTGGTACAACAAAGTGAGACGTAAACCACCATGGAAGCCTGCCTGCCCCGTTCAGTCTGCCCATGAATTCAGCGGGCGTCTGCTGGGGCTCTCGGACAGTCCCAATGGCATGCTTATGCTTTTGTGTTCTCTGGTCACCATGAGGCTCTTCCTTGACAGGGACAGGTTGTGGTGGAGGTCAACCTGGCCGTTGTGCAGCTTCTGCTCGTCGACGAGGAGGGCAATGGTGACGGCAATCCACTCGGGCATGACGAGAAGAACGTCGAGCGCCAGCGAGCCGCGCCACCACGAATGCGAAATGTGTGGCTTGATCGTCACCTGGACGAGGAAGAGGCGGTAGATGGATTCGATAAAGAGCATGGTTCCCAGCACCTCGAGCAGGATGACAGCGCCAACCTCGCTGCCGCCCGTGCTGTCCACAAACGTCGCCTCGCGGACCATGGCGGCGACGGCCGTGTGGTCGATACCGTCCACGCGTGTGCGGCTGCGCATCCTGGCCCGCATCCAGGCCGTGTACGGGAGCACGATGAGAAAGCACCCGGCAAACGCCACGGCCGACGCGACACTTGCGCGAGCGACAAACGTGGCGCGGACCCACAGTGTCTCGTTGACGATTCCCGACTCGCCACGTTCTGTGAGGTGGGCAGCAACGAGGCGGAGGGCCAGGCCAACGACGGACAAGGCGGTGAGCAGGACGGGGATCAGGTAGAGCCCTGCAGCCTTCCATGGCTGCGGCTCGTCGGAGAACTGAAGCATGCAGTAGCTTTTCGTACCGTCAGCACGATGTATCACACGCGTGGGAGTGAGGGCAAGGAGCAAATGTGTCATTGGTGTGTCAGACGCGGTCGCGAGCGACGACCGCCTCTCCTTCTTCCCGTATGGTAAGTGGGCACTCACATGCAAGGGATACGACCACTCCAGCTGTACCCGATAGCAAAGACGCCGGCGCAGAAGAACGCCCAGCCGACAGTCGACACGAGGTCGTAGGCCATCGCCATCTTCCACGGTGCTGGCGAGTCGCCGTACGGTTGGTGGTGGCCGATAACTGCGCCGAGGACAAACATGCCTACGCGACCTGCAATAGGGTTTCGCGTTAGTTGGCGGCTTCTTGCAGTGCACGTTTCACCACTACACCCCATTGTGCGATAGTAGGGCTATCCCGGCGTTCTTCTCTTCTCCACTCATGCCACTCACAGACACAGAGCATGACAAACATGGCTTGCACGGCGATGGGGTGGCCGCGCACAGGCCTGTACGAGGGTACGGTCAGCCTACTCAAGGCCAACAGGCTGAGCAGGCCGTAGACTGCCGCAAACGCGATACAGTGCCGCGTCCACAGTTCCTGCACCGACGCGCCCACGAGGAACGAGTCGGTGTTGACGACTGGCGATGTGGTCGACATCGAGGAGAGAGGGCAGTGGCCGCGCGCGTGGAAACGAACGAATGTGGCGGTGGCGCACAGCAGTTGGATGGTGAATCAAGAAAATGGAGGATTGAGGATCCTTCAACAGACCGTTGGTGTATGTATACCTCGTTTTCCGTTCGCACAGGTCAGGTTGCACGCGGTCTCTGATCTCTGATCTCATCTGTCTTCTCCCTGGCCCCCTTGAAAGAGAGACTGACGCCGCGGCCCGCGGGACATGGTGCTCGCGGTATACGGGAGGTCTACCCAAAAGTGCCTGAAGGAAAAAAGAGCCCACGACCCATTGTCGCGGGTCCCATTGCCCGCTCGTCGTCGTCGTCGTCGTCGTGGTTGTCGTCGTCACTCGCTCAGGTGTCCCGCCAAGTTCTGTCGGCCTTGACCTGATCGCCGAAGACATCGGCGGGTGAGTCCTGTAGATTATGCCGGGAGTTGGGCATATGAGTCTCGGGTCTGGTGCACCGTTGGTTCGAGTGTAAACTGTAATGTGCCATTCTCTCGTCACCATTGCCGTGTCGAGGCACTCTCTACTCTTCTCTTGAGCTCCCATCGCGCCAAAATCGATGGACAAGGCCCCAAGTCATGATACAAAGTGCATCGCCCTCACGCAGAGTAGACCAGGGCCAAGGTATCTCATCGTTCCTTGTCGTCGCACTGACTGGAGGACAAGCAACGACTTTTGGACTCTCCGACGTGCGCACATGGCTGGACCACATTCCTCCAGTCCGCGTTGCCTAGGCCCTCCGCATTGGTCTCCGCAGCACAACCGCTCGGCAACAACCACGACACTGAGGCAGGCACTCGTGCAAGGGCCCCCTGGAGGGGGTGGACTATGCAACCGTGGAGTGGACCTCCGCTGAACCTTCCGAGGCCTGTTGGCATTCTGTGTTGTCTCGCGAAGCAAGTTACCTGTGTGCACCTCAAGGTTGGGGCTCGTGTAAGGAGGAGGACGTGATCTCGGGTGATCGCCAAGAACAGGTCGCTGCGCTCTCCAGTGGGGGGTGGTACTGTACATTGTGTTGGTGCAACGGAAACATGCACCACCAGAGTTCTAACAGGCCGATCACCACACCATTTGGTGTCCATTGTGGGCCAATGGCAGTGCTCTCTGAAAGACGATTCACTCAATTATGGCAGACTAAACCGACAGTGTGCGGTGCCTTCCTTCAGCCTGGCGCATAGTGGACCCGGCGCAGGCAAGACAAAGAAACACATGCGGGCGTGCCAGACGTTGCCGTCACTTGAACCTTGGTGGTGTTGCCAGCGTTCCGCCTTACTGCCTCACGATCTGTGGAGCAACCAGTTAACCTCTGATCGAGCCATCGCGTCGTGATCACTTTGTGGGCTCAGTTACCACATGTTACCGTCAGCAACGACCAGTTTGGCTCTGGGTCCGAAACCGCAGCAACGTGAAAAGAATACACACAAACGCGTCTGTACCGCGCGGGAAGGTCGATGGATGTTACGAGGTTGCCGCAACTGGACTCTTTGTGTCTTATCGTTACGTAGCTGTAGCCACATGCACATGCCCTCCTTATCGTCACCGTGTACCCAGTCCCGCCCCGGCAACGGTGTCACGGCCACGCAAAGTGTCAAGTGCGCGCGAGCGACCCGAACCTGCTGCTAGGTGGGACGGGTTTGTTCCTCATGGCGCGACGGGGCTTTAAGGAGAGCCGGGTCGCTGCGCTGCCTGGCTTTCAAGGCGTTGGTTGACGACCACGCGGTTGACTTCATTTGCAACGTGAAACCGTTCACTGAACCTTAACGTATACAGCCTTGGTCAAGCGCACGTCCTCGCAAGCACCAACTAGTGCCAGCTCGTGTTTTCGGAGAACCTATGGTCGTGGCGTCTGCCTCGATCACGGGAGCGATGGTGGCATGGTATGCAGAGGATGCGCTCACCAGGCGGGGGAAAGGTCCCCTACTCTCTGAGACGAGACACAGACGTCGACCACAGGGAAAGGCCAGTGCGGGCCAGGTGAGAAGACGACTGCGGCGGCGGTAGGAGTGGCGCATGGGAGAAGCTTGTTAAGCTGTCAGGATTGAAACGAGATAGGGTCTGAGCTGCGACTGATGCCGGAACACGGGCATCGCTGGGTTCATATGTTTATGATCATTGCCTACCAAAGGTCAAGCGGGGGTGGCTTAAAAGAGTTGCGCCACATTGACAGACCACGCGCGTTGGGAAGAATGTGGGTGGGTCCTGGGTCGAGGCAACACGCCAGTACGCGTTCGTGCTCTCTCAGATCAGTACGCTCCAAAGGGTGGCAAGGGAAATCCAACGATGCATGCCAGCATGCACAGGCGCTATGTAAACAGGAAATGCTTTCCCATATATGTGTCGTGTATGGCCGTGAATTCAAGTCAAAAGGGACGGTTCTACTTGCCAGCGGCACTCTTGATGGCAGCAAGGTACGTGTTGCCCGTCTCGGTGAGGGTGGTGCCGTCGGACTGAACGGCGGTCCACGCGTCGCTGAGGCCGACACCGGTCGAGATGGCGTAGGCTGCCACACGCGAATCAGCCTGGAGGAGCGCCACAATGTCGGTGATGAAGGTGTTGATCTCGGACTGGTCGGTGCAAGGAGTCCAGGACGGCGAGTCACTGACACAGGCAAACTCGGAAACCCAGATGGGCTTGCCATACTTGTTGTAGTAGTAGTCGAGTTCCGCCTTGACAGCGTCCATGTTGTTCTTGTTGATGTGGACGTTGGTAATGTCCCACGGCGTCGAGATAGCCTGCTCGAAGGGCGTGAGCCAGGTCTCGTCGATCTGCTTGCACATCGAGGGCGAGACGAGCTTGGAGCCAGCGGCCTTGAAGCGGGCCATGTTGTCGTCCCAGGTCTTGGCGGCCGCGGCCTCGTCGGGCATGTTGGCCGAGCCATAGGACGAGCAGTCGGGCTCCTCAAAGCCAATCACGTAAGGGGGAGTGGGGTTGGTTGCCGACAGAGCCTGGAAGGCCTGGTAACGCGTCTCGTCGGGAACATCCGAGCTGGGGTTACCGAGGTGGCCATCACCCCAGAGCATGGGGACGGCAATGGGCGTGCCAGAGTGTCCCGAGGGAGCAGGCGACCAGTCGTACCACCTGAAGAAAAAAAGGTTAATAATAATGCCAAAAGAAGAAACGATATTGGGTATCTCATTGCCCTCATGGTACGCACCAGCCGATGTAAGGAGAGAACGAGTCGAAGCCGTTTCCGCCTGAGATACCAGCCTTGATGCCGTTGGGGATGTCGCCAGACGAGCTGACCGGGCCAGTGGCAACAGGGGCCGACGAGCTCGTCGGGGTTGCGCTTTCGGCGGGCGAGGTCGAGTCCACAGGGGCGGCCGAGTCGGCGGTCGGGGTGGTCACAGGTGTGCCACTGGCACCAGTCTCGCCGCCACCTGCAGAAGGTGTCTCGGCGGCACTGGATGCGACAGTCGAGTCTGCAGCCGGGGTGGCAGAGTTGTCGCCCTGAGGGGTCGAGACTGGGGTCGAGACTGGGGTAGACGCAGCCGTGGCGGGGCGAGGCTTGCACTTGCCACTTCCGCGCTTCTTGGCAGCGTTGCGGGGGAACTTGATGGCATTGCCGTGGTCGCGCGCGCCAACATGCTGCTCGTGACCAGCACGACGCTGAATGCTCGATCCAGTCTTGATGAGACCCGGGGCGTTGGGGGCCGGGGCGGCGTCCACGACGGCCAGCGCGGCGACAGCGGCAAGGAGGGAGGCGACCTTCATTGCGAAACAGAAGAAAGAGAGTGTGTATGTGAAGCGAGGGAGAAACGAGTGTGGGGGAGCCGGATCAACGGGCTTGTAAAGGAGTGTGAGAAAGGAGACGAGGAGCGAGAACGATACAGAGATGAGAGATGAAAGCAAAAGATAAAAAGAGGAGAGTTTGGAGACGGGAACAAGAACGCAAAACACCCTCCCCCCTTGTGCTCGAGCTGGTCCTCACATGGACCAAAGACGGGTGTGTGTTGGGTGGGGGCGTTTGTGAGGCCTAGGCACCCTCGATTCTGCATATGTGTGTCGTCATCGTGGCCAGGTGCGTGCGCTGCATGCGTGTTGCGCTTTGGCTGTGCGCTGGCTCTGTACTGTGTGTGCGGGAGAGGGGTGTGACACGGGGGGGCGAGAACGCGCCGCGCCGCCAGGAAAGCACCAGGTGAGCTTTTTTTGTCCCTTTGAACGCGACGACGACGCGCGCGCGCGCGCGACACAGGTTTGGGAGCGCGTTCTGATCTGGACGCGAGGCACAAGGGGGAACAAAGAGGGGTGCTCGCGGCCAGGCTGGGAGGAATGCTCGTCTCTGTTCTCGGTCCGTCACACAACTCTCCCACGGGCACCACATTGTTTGGGTCCAGGCCCTCTCCCTCCTACAGCTCGTCTGCACCCCCCAAGATGCCCATGTCCTGCATTTCACTGGAAAACGCCTGCAGGACTGCGCAAAACAAGGTCCTCGTGAACAACTACCACCACCATATCAGACATCAGAGATCAGAGACACCACCACGCATGGCAGCCTCGTAAAAATGCATCAGCTTGCTCTCGTCCATTGCGCTGACGCGTCCAACGCGTGGGGTACATAGGAAAGGGCGCCAAAGAACACGTTGCCCGCGACACGTCGCACAGCACAATCCGCTGACCGTTGGCTCCGCTGGAACGGGCAGCTTCATGGACAGCTTCCAGTAACGCTTGCAGAGGTGGGCGCCAGTCTCTGATCTCTGATCTCTGACGGTCTATTTTTACAAACCCATAGGCCATAGGTGAGTAGTACTCTCCACTGGCCACTGCATTAGCTGTGTCCGAATTGTACCTCTGCCATATGAAACATGATACTCGACATCAGACGGACACGGCCCACTAAGCTGTTACTGTACTCTGGTCTGCTGAAACAACATGCTGCGCCGTGCCCAGAGCATCACGACTAACCCAAAGGGTAAGCGGAAAACACTGCACCACATCAAAGCCCAAGCGAGAGGTGCATGCTGAACCCATGCAGCTGTTCAATGGAGATCCCACCCTGCCGCCTGAACTGGCTGTACAAGTGGCTACGTGTGGCGGCGTGTAGGGGACCTGAGAGGGATCCGGATCTGGGGTCCAAGTCAGAAAATCAGAAAGAGTCCGGAAACCCCGCAACCGTGACGACCCTGCCAATGTCCTTGATGCGTGCGCTCCCGCCGTGAGGTGCATGAACCTGGTGACATCTGTGACAAGGTCAACGCAGACGACGTCCTTTGCATGTATCTCGTTGGCACTACATGAAACCAGTAAACTAACAGCCCTAGAATCAGAAGTGATACGTTCAAGCGGAGCATGGCCATATGCGCTTCACCTGCCCTTTCCGTCGTCCTGGACGAGTCGTGCCACATCCTCAAACGTACCATGTCGATAAACTGTTCGTTTCTTGGGTTTGTAACCCGTTTGAGATATCGCACACACCGCGTAATTCAATAGATCCTGCAAAACCTCGGCCAAGGAGTGGAAGCCACTCACGCCACAGTTGGCCCAACGCGCCGCGCTACGCCATCGTCCTCCTCCCGTTGACTTGGCCCGCAAAGGACGCGTCGCACTTCCAGCCTGCCAGCTGCCACACCCGTCGGGACATGGATGAAAAGCAGCCCAAGGTCAACCCGGTAAGCGCGCCAATTCCCGACGTTCCATCCACCCATCGCTGAACGGCGGCTTCCCAGCCCACACCTGCACCTGCACGTTGCTTCAACTGCTTCATATTCCGTTTCGCTAATGCCACCTTGCCCTCCCGGATACAAGACTTCTATCTAGAAGACACCTTCTATCCTCTACCCAAACTACACACGTAGCCCAGGCTCCCCCTCCCGCCACTGCTCGTCTACTGCTTTCCTGTTCTTAGATTCTTTAGATGTATCCCCGCCCTTGTTTGCTTTCACATCCCACTGCCTAGAGCCTCGCTGCGTCGCGCATGCGGCCGTCGGCCCACACCGCGCGGCCCCAGACGAGGTCCAGGACTGTCTCGACAGTACGCGCATACTCGATGGTCATGCTGCGCGTCGAGGCCGGCAGGTCGTGGGCGTCCTTTTCGTTGGCGGCGGGCATGATCACGCGCTGGATGCCCGCACGGTGCGCGCCGAGGCACTTTTCGCGGATGCCGCCCACGGCAGTGACGGCGCCGCGCAGCGTGATCTCGCCCGTAAACGCAATGGTGGGGTCGACGGGGCGGCCGGTGAGCAGCGAAATGAACGCGAGGAGGATGGCGACGCCGGCCGACGGGCCGTCCTTCTTCACTGCACCGGCGGGGAAATGAAGCTGCGTGGCTGTCAGCCGAAAATGATAATAATAAACAGCTACTGGTTGATGGGAGGGCCACACGATACTTACATGGATATCGTTGGCCGCGAGAAGCTCCTGGCTAATGCCAAGGATGTGCATGTGGGCACGGACGTACGCGAACGCGAGCTCGGCGCTCTCCTTGATGACATCGCCGAGACTGCCAGTGAGGCGCAGTCCACCCTTGCCAGGGACGAGCGCGCTCTCGAGAAGGAGGATACCACCGTTACCCGAGCCCTTGTACGCAAGACCAGTGACCACACCTGGACGGACGGTTTGCTCGCGCACCTCGGCTTCGTACTTTGCCATGCCGAGGATGGTCTCGAGGTCGTCAACAGAGACTTCGGGGTTGTAGGGTGATCCACCGTCGCGCGAGGCTGAAAATTCAACTGCCTTGGCACGGCACAGCTTGGCAAGCTCGCGCTCGAGGGAGCGTACACCTGCTTCGCGCGTGTAGTCGGTGACGACACGCGTGAGGACCTCGTCGTCGGCAGACACACCACCGTCACCGAGACCGTTCTCGACTGTCTGCTTGGGAAGGAGGAAGCGGCGCGCAATGGCGAGCTTTTCATCGGTGACGTATCCGCTGCACTCGATGACCTCGCAACGGTCGAGCAGGGGGGCGGCAATGGTGTCAAGCGAGTTGGCTGTGGCGATGAACGTCACCTGCGAGAGGTCGACGGGCACGTCGCCGAGGTAGTGATCGTGGAAGGCCCAGTTTTGCGCCGGGTCGAGGGTCTCGAGGAGCGCGGCTGACGGGTCGCCGTGGTAGTTGGACGTGCCGACCTTGTCGAGCTCGTCGAGGAGCATGACGGGGTTGGACACGCCGACGCGACGGAGGGCCTGCACAAAGAGACCGGGAAGGGCGCCGACGTAGGTCCGGCGGTGGCCACGGATCTCGGCCTCGTCACGTACACCGCCGAGCGAGATGCGGTGGAACTTGCGACCAAGAGCCTGGGCGATGGAGCGCGCAATAGACGTCTTGCCAACACCAGGTGGGCCGACAAGGAGGAGAATGGGCGCCTTGTCACGGAAGACATCGTTGGGGGGCGAGTCGTCCAGCATCGCGGGGATGACTGCATTCTTGGACTCGGCTTCCTGCTCGGATTCGGCAGTCTCCTGTTCCTCCTTGGGAGCTTCGGCAGCGTTGGCGGCATCCACTTCAGCCTTGACAGCGGCCTCTTTCTTCTCCGCCTCGACTTCCTTGACATGTTTGTCCTCCCAGAGGTCACGCTTCAGGCGGTACACGGCGAGGTATTCAACCACACGGCGCTTGACGTCCTGGAGTCCCTCATGCTCGTCGTCGAGAGTCTTACGTGCAGTGTCAAGGTCGACACGCTTGCCTTGGCTCACTCGCTTCCAAGGAAGGGAAAGGAGCCACTCGCAGTAGGTCTTGGACACACCATACTCGGCTGCCTGGGACGGAATCTTGGCCAGTCGAGTGAGCTCACGCTCGAGTGCCTCGGTAGCCGCGGGGCTGAGCTCCTCGCGACGCTTCTGGAAGAGGGCGTCGAGCGGCTTGAGGTCGTCGGGCAGCTGGGGCTTGGGGGGTCCTATCGCAGCCTGCCCTGCGGGGCCAGCGGCTCCGGCTTGGCGGCGGGGGACGAGGGCCATTGACTGCGGCGACTGTGGCTTGCGGGGCTCATCCGGCAGGGTCATACCCTTGTCGAACATGATCTGGACCATTTGGGCCCGCACACGACCACAGCGCTCGTCAATGTTCGGGGTCGCCAGCAGGTCGACACGGAAGTCCCATTCGAACCGCAAGGTGCTTGCGAGCAGGTCGGCCTGGACGCCTGGGGGAAGCGCGCCGAGCTTGGGGTGGAGCTCGGGAGGGAGGAGCTTGGCCGCCACCGGCATCAGGTCGACGCTGTGGAGAGTGGGCGGTGGGACAGGGAGCGCATACGGCACAACTGGGATGGGCAGAGGAGGCAGAATCGAGAGCGTAGGTGGGAGCGCCCGGGGAAGGTGGATACGAGTCTGCGGTGGTGCGTCAGTTGACCGGTCATCCGGCGCCCACTTACGAGGCCCTCAAGAACGCAGGTCCATTCGTCGCTCGAGTCGTCCTTGCCGCGGAAAATGCGCTTGACACGAGCAGCTGGCGGGGGGGGTCAGACAGAGCACTGTAAACCCAACACTCACCACACGCCCATCGGCCTATACGACGGTCTCCCTCTGTGACGGGAACGGCAGCGACGTAGCGGTCGCGTGTCTCGGCCTTGTGGGTTTCGGTCTGCTCCGACAGGGTGGCGAGGAGGTGGCTCACGACATCGGTAGTGAGTGTGATGGATACCTGGAGGTACGGGTAGAGAACGTGGGGCTTGGGGAGCGGGAGAAGGGCCAGAGCTGGCGGTAGGTACGTCTGTTTAGACATGGCGAGCGTGGAGTGTGCAACAACAAGGAGGAGTAGATGGAAGATGGAACACGGTATCGTTGGTGTCTATTGATCCATCCATTGAATCTCCACGGTAGATCTCGCAAATACCAGCGCGCAAGCGTCATATTAGCAAAGCCCATTCGAGGTCGCGCGTGTGCGATCGGCTATACTAGTCACGAGAGAACCCGGCACGCCTATAGGGCTGGTGAGTTCAAGCTATTAGGAGCGCCAGAGGAAGGCGTGCGTAATATGCATGTTCTTATCGCCAAGGACCGGCCCTGATGCCAGGCTCAGCTACTCATGTTTTGCCTTTCTGCCGGTAAGCACATTGTCAGGCTCTGACCCGTGTATGATGCCGACGGGCTTACCTAAGCGCGGACACTGGCGCACTGGCGCGGCGCACGGCAAAATGAGACGATGGGGGCAAATGGCCGTTTACTAAACCACGCGCGTAATCTCGGCCGTCGTCGTCGCCTCCGAGACCCCCTTGCCAACTAGATTTTAAGCAACAGCGCGCGCAAAAGATTACCAAAGGAGACAACCACAGCCAAACGCCGCCCCCCCGCCCTGGCTTGCCCACTGCCTCTTCCTCTCTTCCTCTCCGTCACTCTTCGCTTCTCGTGACAACCACCGCGGGTCCCTCTTCTCTTCTCACTTGCCCATTCACCCCCTATCCATCCTCGACCCCTCCCCCCCCCCCCCCCCCCCCCCACCATGTCGTCCTTCTTCAAGCGTGCATCGTCATCCAGCGCCTCCCTGCCCAAGGAGGTCGCCCCTCCCACCAAGGAGCTCAAGACCATCTGTCCCACCACGCTCAAGCCCAAGCCCAAGGCCGAGATGACAGAGGAGCAGCTTCAGCTGGTACGTTCCCCACCAGCAACCTGCCGTATACCTTGTGCATCGTGCTGACGCCCTTCCCAGATCGAAGAGCTCAAGGAGGTGAGCATGACCCATTTTTCGCACTAGCCGTTCGCGCCACAGTCCGCCGACGCGCCCGCCGTGTCGGCCTCTGCCGGCGGCCGGAGCGGCCGCCACCGTCCACACCCCCCAATGTCCACCGCCGCCGCCGCCGAAGACGATGGCTAACGTTGTCCGCCCAGTACACCGCGACGCTGTTGCTCCCCGAGTCTGACCCCTACCACGTGTGGGAGAAGCGTTTCTTGAACGATGTCGGCACCCACGCGCGCTTTATGCGCGCGGCCAAGTGGAAGCTCGAGGACGGCAAGAAGCGCATCAAGGCGACCATGGAGTGGCGCCGCGAGTTCCAGCCTGAGATTATCGAGCCTGGAGACATCGCCATCGAGGCCGAGAAGGGCAAGCTGTGAGTCTACCGGGGTGGTTGCGTCGACTGTGTGCGTCGACGGTGTTGTCATCGTCATCGGCAGTGTGTGCCATGCACACCTGGTTTCGCCGTCGGCGATGCGATGTGGATTTCATTCCTTGTCAACTGACACCGACAGTGTCCTCACGGGCTTTGACCAGGACGCCCGTCCAGTCATCTACATGCGTCCCCGTCGCGAGAACACTGAGCCTTCTCCCCGTCAGATCCGTCACCTCATCTACCACCTGTAAGCTGCTCGTTGTCGGGAATGCCGAGGCGCTTGATTGACACTCTTTGCCCAGTGAGCGTGCCATCGACATGATGCCCGAGGGCCAGGAGCAGGTCGCGATCGTCGTCGACGTGAGTACACACCGATCCCGCGGGCGTGCATCACGGCGCCCGCGCTCTGACCATGACGTCGGGTTGCTGACACGCGATACAGTACAAGCAGGCCACTTCCAACGGCACTCCGTCGGTCAGCACCGGCCTCAAGGTCCTCCACATTCTCCAGAACCACTACGTTGAGCGTCTCGGCCGTGGTATCGTCATGAACATGCCCTGGTGGATCAACGCCTTCTTCAGCGCCATCACCCCCTTCATGGACCCCATCACTCGTGACAAGGTGCGCCTCTAAACGCTGTTGGGTCACGGCGCGACGACGTGTACATTTTCTAACATTCCCGTTACAGATCCACTTCAACCCCAAGCTTACCACGCTCATCAACCCGGACCAGCTTGACGTCGAGTACGGAGGCGACTACAACTACGAGTTTGACCGTGAGACCTACTGGAAGACCCTGGTCGAGTTCAGTGCCATCTCCGAGGACGGCACCCGTGTGGACAAGGACGGCAAGTCGTGGATCCCCAAGTCGGGCAACGGAATTGTCTGGGCTCGCGAGCAGTACGCCAAGGAGCAGGCTGCTGGCCTGGCTCCCGTTGAGACGGCTGTTGCCAACGGCAGCGGCGCTGCCACCCCTGTCAGCCCCTCGGACACTGTCGGCTCGTCGACCGACGAGTTTACTACTCCCGACACGGTGGCCGACAAGCTCGCCGACACTGGTCTCGACGAGAAGGTCCCCACCACCGACGCCGTGGAGGCCGACAAGCCTGTTGCCGTCACTGCCTAAACGTGTTCGAGGCTCCCTCTCACCTCAACGGAATATTCTGGACTCCCTTGCTTTGCTTGCTCTCCCGCTGTCTTCTGGCTCCCAGCTATATCTTAGTTTCTCACTCCCCTCACGGTCCGATCGAAAGTGGCCCCCTCACCGCGCCTCATGCGGCATAGATATCATACTTGCACCCCCCCTACCGATGTACCTTATTACGGACCACAACCACCAACAGACCACATTGATGATCCATTGAGTTGACATTGGTGACATTGGTGACATTGGTGCCAAGGGCCAGACCCAGAGCGGAGCACTTGGCGGCCCTGCAGCCGCGGTTGACGCATCGTCGTATCATCCACAGACGCCACCGAGCGCCACTTGAAACCACTTTTTTCCCCATCTGTGGCCTCTGGCCACTCACCTGCGTACTGTGAACCGCGGGTGACTCCACCATGGCACCATCATTGGCCATGAGGCGAGCTGCGGGTCGCCCAGTCGGCTGGGCGAGGAACCTAGAGTTCTTGGGGGCCATGAGAACCAGAACCAGAATCCGAATCCACAAGAGCCTGGTCTCCTTCGAGCTCACGGCCACCCGCGCCACCGGGGTCGGCAACGAGACCGGCAAGTCGCCGCAGCGAGTGTATAGCCCACTGCCACTGTGACTAGTCGTCCCATGACCATCCTCGTCTGCCCCCCCCCCCCCCCCCCCCCCCCCCACCTCCCCGGTGTTCACTTCTGCCGCTGCCACCCCGCGGACATGTCGTGTTGTGTCGGGTCAGATTCTGGCCCGTGCTGTCCCATCTTGTTGGAGCCAAATACCCACTCTGCGAGTTGTTACGAAGCGTTCTCGGTGAATGAAGTAAACAGGAACGTCATGTCGGCGATTGGTATCCGTGTATCCGTGGTCCCAGCTAATGTATTTAGGTATTTTGCCCTTCTGGGACAACGCAGTGGAGCCCAAGGAGTATTTGTGGTCGGTTTGGCGCTGATGGGTATCGGCTGGCTTGTGGCTGCTTTGAGGAAGAGCGAGAGGAGCACCAGGCAAGAAGGTGGTCGTGCTGTGGCACAGTTAGTTTGTCATGGGTACATTCCTCGGACGGCCCTCAGAAACATACATACACATGTAACACGCAGCGTTGTACGCCTCACTCCGGCACTCCCCTGCACCGCTGACAGCCACCTTGGTCCGAAGACCATGTGGAGGCCGTCGCGGTGGGCCGAGCTGGTCCATACGGGACATGACGCCGGGGAGACGCATACCCTCGGAGACCGAAGCGTGTTTTGATTGTGTTTAAATGGTTGGCCTCGTCTCTGCTCTCATCATCTTCTGGTCCCCCACCCACACCCTCACATCAGACACATTTCCTCAATGCACCGCCGTCTCCTCCAACAGTGAAATATCTGTACCACCGTGCAAGCCAAGTACACATCCATCTGGGAATGGCAACTATATAACTGGGACACTGAAGAATACCCGGGACGACAACAACCTTGTACAACAAAACGGAAACGTAGGTCAGGTGGGGGGTGAGCGCGCGCCATGCCCTGGTGCCGCGCGATCATGATTATGGTGGGATGGGTGGGTTTGGGGGAATTGTTTGCCCTAGAACTTGAGACGCTGGTGGATCTTCATGTCCTCCTTGAGCCAGGCGTCAAAGCTCCACTCGTTCGGGACGTCTTGCTTGGATGCCTTGACCAGGATGTCGGGGACATACTCGCTGCGACGTCGTTAGCTTGGACACCACACGGCGGCATGTGGAGGCAGAGGGCTTGAACTCACTGGTTGACGAGCTGCGCCCAAGCGTCCCACCTACACGCCAGCTTCTCGTGCGACTCGAACGAGTCGAACTCTTCGCGTGTCGGGTGCGTGGTGTCAACTGGACGGCGAGCGACCTTGCTCAGCCGCTGCGCAATTTGGTACGGGGTCATGACTTCGGCGATGGCGTGCATTTCTTGGCCGCACCAGCGCTTGGGGTTGCGCAGTGCCGCCAGGACATAGTCGCCCGTCTGCTCGATGGCGAACATGGGGATCAAGACGTCGTCGGGCACAGGAACGTTGAGGCGAAGACCGTTGGGCCCGTCGTCCAGCCACTCGGTGATGCGGTTGTACGGGACAGTCGTGTGCAGCACCGTGTGCTGGATACCGAGGGTGTCGAGGTCCTCGGGGGCTGCAAGCAAGTCAGCATGTGACTCGACCGAGCGACCACGCAGGGAATGCCGACTACTGTTCTCGTCGCGTTTGGCAACTCACCCTCCATGACGACTTTGGTCTTTCCAAGGACGTTTTCCACAACTTCATGACCGCACGCGTTGACGCGGAAGATGACATGGCCGACCTTTGCGCGGGAGCAAGCACGCACGGCCTTGCCTAGTTGGCAGCGGTCCGCGGCGCGTGCGATTTCAGTGCGCTTGGGCTCGTGCTGGTGTTGGAGGATGGCGTGGAGCGCAAGGACTGAAGGGGTTCAGCACCGGTGACAGAACAGAAGGGAGATGGCCGGTGCAGGGATATTGCGCTGGCCTCCTGCCACTCACCATTAGACGAGAGATAGACTGCCTTTGAGCCCGCTAGGTACCGCGCATACGAAACGGGGCTGTCCATATCGACCTGGACGACCTTGACTCCCTGGGCCAGGAGCTCTTCTGTAGCCGGTGTCTTGTCATCGACCATGAGCGCGGTGATGGTGTAATTCCTCGCGTGCAAGAGGGCACGGCAGACCGCCAGACCGGTTTCGGTCTCGGCGCCAAAGATGCACGCCTTGATAGGCTCGGGAGCGCTGGCGACTGCCATGCGGTTCGGGTCGAGAGCACCAAGCATCGAGTCCATGTCGAACAAGGCGCCCATCCGCGCCCATGGCTTGTGAAGTTTCTTCTTCTCTTTGTCTTTGGGCGACGACGGCGACACGGGGGAAGACGGGGTGGCGACTTTTGGGCTGGGAGGAGATGAGGACAGGATGGGGGATGACGGCGGCAAGGTTTTGGGCGAGCTGCCTGTGGTAGGAATAGTGATGATGGAAGAGTGAGGTGGGGGGCTGTACGCGCGTGCTGCACTAACAGGCGTGCCGAGCGGGGTGACGCTGAACGGGGTGTGGGTAGGTGAGGACGCCAGCGGTGGTCGGGTGCAGCTGGGTGCTCTTGCGCGCCCTGCGGGGATGCCTATCGGCGCCGGCAGGACGCGAGGCTGTGTCGGTGCAACGGTGCTCATTGCCGTGAGGGGTCACCGAGGTGAGCGAAGTGCAGGACGAGTAGTAATGATGAGATGGAGATGGAGAAATGATGTATTTGTGGAGCGACAAGGTGGGTTGGAATGTCTTGGAAAGCGGGACGACGGTCAGAGTGGTGGGACGGATTGTCCGCGGCCGGGTGTGGGGTCCTCGACGTGAACGATCGCCCGGGCCACATGCGGCCACGGCCCAATACCGGATGGAGGGTTTTCCTGTCATCAGGCTGATTGACAAAGGGTCATACAACGGCCCGCGTACCCTCTCTCTCTCTGGCTGTCTGCCGCGCTCGGTGCACAGGAGCAACACGCACATGCGCACTTGTGCACTCCGTTGCTGCTGCGTTGCTTCGGAATGTCTCGGTCTCCAGCCGCTCTGCAAACCGAGCAGAGGCTCTGGAAAACTCCATCCAACGCCATAGGCCTGGGCCGGTGCCTCTCGATCGCCTCAACCGATTCGCGGAAACACCGGCGCCCGGACGGCTCTGTCCGCTCTGGCCGCTTTCTGTGCGCTTTGGTTGTTGCCAGGTGGCAGGCAGGCTTTGGAGGTTGGGTCCTCTGACATGAGATGGCTCATGTCATTCACAACATTTCGTACAAATGGGGGCGGTAGCAAAGGTCAGCCGTGACAGGCTCCAGGACGAGCGCAGGCGGAAAAACACTATCCGTGCTGCACCTGATGCCTGTGGCCCACCAGAATGACAGAACGGCCAGAACGTTGTTGCGAATTCCGTCGTTGCTGCACCTCAGCTTCCGTGTCTCTTCCGTATTCCGTCCCCAAGGCCCCAAGCCTAAATGAAGGGCCTTTGAAGTCGGAACCAAAAAGTGTAAATGAGGTTGATGAATCCCTGGAAAGGGGTTCCTTCCGATTAGCCCATTCTGTAATCGGCGGCAAAATGTCCACCTCCACTTGCAGCCCCACCCACACACACACACAAAAAGTTTTTGTTTTTTTTTGTATTCCATTTGTCCTTGCAGGCCCCTTTGGCTCGTCGATGAACTGCTTGGTTGACTCCTGAGTGGGCCCAGGGTGTGCCGTAGCTAGACGACCTTTTACATCCCTGGTACTGGCCGGCTGTCCCATCTCTGGAACTGCCAAACCCACGGTTGCGCCGCGGGAATCGAAACCTGGTTATATAGTGGGGCCTAGTCGCAGGGAATGAAACCCTTTAAAATCCGCAGTCACCTCTCTGGCAGACGCGACATGGTTGGATATTAATGCAGCAATTTCGGCCCCTCTTAAGGTGCTTGGTGCAGCATGCATCTGTTGAGATTACGTAACCACTTGCGCCACTGCAGTGTGGCACCGAGCTGACCGGAGAACGAGGGTACCGCACCAATGCTGCTCTTTCTGCTTCTTCATTGTCCTCATGCTTCTCTGTAGTGCTCGGGCCTCCCTTCTGTGTGCATATAAGCAGCTCTGTAGACGTCTATGCATCCCCATCCTCTTCTGAAAGACAAACTGCCAGCTTAAGACCATCGGTCTCGGGCGCTAAACGGCATCAAATCCCAACATGCATCCTGCCGAAGCCTTCAATTTCGGCCCCTCTTAAGGTGCTTGGTGCAGCATGCATCCTGCCGAAGCCTTCTGAAAACCAGTCTCCGTTCTTACTGAAAACTAGTCTTGCCCTGAATATTAGAAACAGGAAGGTAATAAAAAGTAATTGAGTCACAATGTCATTAGAAAAGCAATTTGTGATGGCGGATTGCTCAAATCTGATTGTACATGCATAAAATCGCATTGATTTATTTATTTCCTTCGGTTCTATGGAACTCCAGAAGGAGAGAGCATCTCCGATAAGCGGGAGCGATGTATAGACAGAGTTTCAGTGCATTGAATAACAGCAGTACAGTTACAGAGAGTAGGAGGCGTGTTGTGAGGCCCCTCGGGACCAAAAAGCTCATTTTACGTAATTCAAATATGCATCCGCTAGTGACCTTTCTAATGACCACTGGGGATTATTAACTTTAATTAGAGTCTTGCTTCTAATGCGCCGAGAGAGACTGGTTTTTAGAAGGTTTCATCCTGCCAGGACACCAGCCTTTCTAATCTTTCTCTGTGGGCTGGTGATGGCGGGCTCCAAGCATCAAACAGTTGATGGGACTAAAACGTCGTCGAAAGGGTATGTTATTAGGCAAGGCGTGGCTATACTGGAACCCGTAATTGGACCTGTCGCGGTGCCGTGGGGTCAAAGATATCTTCGCCGTGATGTTTGCTTGTTGACACGCAAGGTCACGCTTGCCCATGACAGTGGACATCCCCGAGCCAACTCTGATTATGGGAGTGGCCCCACACCACCCTCTGTTGCACATTGTACTATCAGATGACGGAAACGAGCGCCCTGTTGTTGGCTCGTCTCTCACAGACCCCCAAATCAGCGACAGGAAACATGTATCTCATATGCAACATTTATACAAAGCACTCAAACTGACTCAGTTTAACCGACGACATACACGAGGGTGCGTACAGGGCCACGCCTCCATGCGCCTCCTATAACTTTATCCTCGCATTCTTATCCAGAACGTGCCTGGTGATGAGCGTCTACTTCTTCGGCCACAGTCCGACCTTCTCGACACCCTGCACGAGTTGGTCGACGTTTCCAAGCCACTTGCCAAGCTGCGCGATCAGTATGGTGGTAATCGGAAACGCTTGTTGACACTTACCATCTCTTTCTTTTCAGCCACAGAGCGGATTGAACCAGCGGCAAGGCGCTCAGTGGGGATCCGCCGCGAAGGGGTGAGGGGCACAGGGCTGGACACGACCGATGGCAGCATACCACGAGTGAGTTCGGAGGGGAAGCCGCGCGACTTTTGCTGGCCACGAGCTTCCGGTGTGGTCGAAGGGAGGCCAGACTGTGACGACTGGGTGCGCGAGTGGCTTGGGCGAGGTCGGACAGGAGTCACGGCCGCTGGCGAATCCACTGTATCCCCGCTGAGGGGCGACTTGGTGATGCTACCGGCACGCATGCTGGGACGCCGCGCCAAAGACGCTCCTAATGAGCCCGCCTCCGTCGACGTCGATGACCTAGTGACACGCGCTGTCTGCTCCACAGTCACACGGGAGGGTGGCGAAGGACCGACGGATCCGCGGCGCTTATGGCCGGGCGGGACGACGGTGGCTGACGATGATGTTGACGACCCCGAGCTAGCCCGTGAGCCCGCATCCTCGCGTCCTGGTACAAGACCCGTGCGCTGGGCTGCCGCCCACGCTTTGGAGTCACGACGGGTGAGCGAACCATCATCCTCCTCTTTCCTGTCGTCTGGTGAAGACGGCACAGGCGTGAGTGTCGTCGCTGTACTCGATCCTGAGATCCGGCGCATGCTCGAAGGTGTAGCCGCTGAACGAGATGGCGTCTGGAATCCGAGACTCGGCTTCGCTGGTTTGCGCGGCGTCTGCGGCACAAAGGGAAGACCTGTCTCGCCCTCGCGCGTGGAGGCGCGTAACGAGACCTCGGAGGCGGTGCGAGAATGGGCTGGTGATGGCATCGTAATGTCGTCTGTGGTGGCAAAGGACGCGCTCGATGCCTCACCCACAAGGAAGCTGTTGCCCATGGACGAGGTGGAGGTAGAACGCGAAGGCAGCTCTGGCAAGTTGGCACCCATGTCGGGCATAGTGATCGCACCTTCGGGCAAAAGCCAAAAATAGAGGAATTCGCAGCACTTCATTCTGCCCAGTCAGCACTGAACCAAGGGACAAGACCCACTTGACATCTTTTGGCACGTCCGTTCCGCGCAGAACTCGTGTGACGGCCTCCAAGCCCTGGAGATCCTCAAACGTGCGCGCGTGCTCGGGTGAGTCGACGAGAACACAGAACAGAAGGTCAAGGAGGTTGTAGGCCGTCGGGCGAGCATTTCCTTCGGTAGTTTGTGTGCGAAGAAGGAGCAACAGGTCGAGGAACATCTGCATAACAAGTCAGCACAATCACCTTCACCAACAATCCGGTACCCACTTCCATCGCCCATCTCTCGCCGACGGCGGCTTTACAGTTGCGGCTCAGCAGAGTAACACCCTGCAGAATGCTAAGCGAGGTGTCGATCTCGGGTGACAGGTGGCGAGCAAACTCGTCACCGGCAGGCAGCGATGTAATACTCGCACGCTTGGAGAGACTCGCGGCATGCCGGGCGAGCAACGTAAGCAGCGGCGTGTGCACTGTTAGAGTCAGCTCCGACCCCGGTCCAACGCGCATGCGGGTGTCGGTGTTTGCAGGATGGCAGGCCAGAGACCGTGGTGGGTGCGGCTGCGTTACGCAAGTGACAGTGTGACTCACCCTGCAGAGCGACAAACGCTTCCAGTCCGCCATTGCCGCACGCCGAGGCAAGGCCGCGCTCCAGGTCGCGGAGCGCGCGCAGACGACGGCGACCTGAGGAGCGTAGGGAACGAACCTGGGGTCAGCGCTGTACACAAGAATAAAGCTCACATCTTCGAGGGCATCACGGGGGTCCAAAGGTGTATCGCTTTCATTGCTAGACTTCCGACCCTCTGCGACGGCAGCGAGACCAGAGGACGTGGGTTTGCGAGCGGACACGAGACCCGCGATGGCGCTTGTGGAGTGTGACTTGCGGTGACGGGATGGGGTTGATGCTGCGCTTGACATTCTGCGACTGGGTGTGTCTGAACCCGAGCTGCTTGCCATGGTGACGGGTTGAGATGATGGATGAATGGATGAAAGATGGCGGGTGAGACAAAGATCAGTCGCGACGGGGGGGGAGAGGTCAGGGGTCACTGTTTTGTTGACAGTCAGCGACGATTTTGATCCCGCTCCCTCGCGATCGATTGAAGGGACCCCTGTTACCCGTCCGTGGCGCTCTCACCACACGTTCTGCCACTTGATCTTGCATGACTTGCCAGAGCGACGATACTGTTTGCTCTCAAAGCATGTCCATGCAACCACTGATAACGGGCACCATGCACTTCAAAAAATGAAAGCGAATGGTTGTAGGCGCTCCTGGTAGGTTTCCATGTTTGTGTAGTTCAAAACCGAGTCGTCTGCCCTTGAACAGACTGATCGTCCCAACCATTTCTATCGCCTACATCTGCCTCCCCTTCTTTCGCTCAGACACGGGTCCAACGCCTTTCCACAGTCACCCAGTATACTGAATCACCTGACTGTTCTGCAAGAACTGCTGAGAACAGATTCCGGTCACAAGCCCTCATTCCCAAGGGAAGGAGGAACGGAGTCATTGAAGGGCAACGTCGCGCAGCGGGCCTTCTCTGTCTCTTCATGTCCATGGGAGAGAAGCACCGGCCATGGCATGGAACACACTGCCGAGAAAAGCATAGTACATGGCGTTTTGCTGTTGGGAGAGGGGAAGAACGGCCGGGGATGGCTTGTTAGAAACACGTGACCAGATTGCTTCCACCGTATGATGTCAGCAGTCCCCCAAGCGCTACCTATATAAGATGATCTACCGCTAGTATGCCATGCATCTCCGTTTTTCTTTCACTCTATACCTCATACCCTCGTTACCTCGCTGGTACTGTCTGCAGCAGTGCTAGCATCGACATCTGAGGCTCTCTTTTCTTACATGGCTGCTAAACATCAATATATCTGGGCGTGTAGCTCAGTTGGTAGAGCGTGTCATTAGCATCTACTACTTGACAAGGTCTTTGGTTCGATTCCTAACTCGTCCATTTTTGGCCCCTGGGCCGTGCGACATGCATGGGGGACGCCTTGCATTCACAACCAAGGGACAAGGAAGCATGTAGAGGGTTGGGGGCAAGTTCTCCGATGAGGAGGACAGCGAGAAATGGTGGCGTGGCGACATGAAGTGGAACATTCCGGCAGCTACATAACAACGTGGAAGGCAGACGTGGATGAAGCCGAAGGTCGTGTGCGTAGTGTAGTTGGACGGTTCCATGAGTTCTTGCAGTACGGCATCAAGCGCGAGGAGATGGTCCAAGAGAAAGGAAGGAACGAGACAGTGCCGACGTACAGGTGTCTATGGTCGCGGCCAGGCTGCAATATATTCATGGGCAACCTTTGTCCCTTGTCTCGAGTGGATCCTCTTACCAATCATTGATACACAACGGTGGGCTGTTTGCTTACAGCATACATCGCTCGATTATCTTTCAACTCCTCGCTCAAGGTCTCGTCGTCCATGTTTTGCGCGCCGAACAACCACATAGCGTTCCAAGCGCTGCTCGACATAGCTTGAGACGTGGGTGTAACCGATGTAAATCAGAACAATTGAGGATATCAAAATAATCTCAAGGATGCTGCGGAGTCAGTTTGTCTTGATGAGGAGGAAGGAGGAGGCATTTGCTGTTTATCCAGCAGATGACGCGAGCGCGAGGGCATAGATTCAACTCACTACCAGCAGACGAGGTAATTGAGCTCCACCTCTGTGTAGGAAAGAGCGGTTATCACCCCGCTAATACCCGCGACGCCAAGAAACACTAGTAGGAGGTGGAATGCTGCGAAACCTGTTGTCAGTTGGGCACATTTGTCATCACTCACCATCCGAGACGTCTGTCAACGCGATTGCTCCCCGTTGTAGGTGTTCATCGTAAGCACGATTCCGAACCCCACTCCATTCCACCGACAATGGCGGTCGCTGGGAGCGGGGTGGTCTCGGCGCACTGTCGGTCGCAGAACTGGGCAGGAGATGGTGAATTTTACGCCTCGAATCTGTTGGAGTGAGGTGGTTGTCTGGCCACGCGGCCGCTGAGGCCGTTGGAGAAGGGGGTTGCAACTGGAGCAACGGGATGTCCGGCATAAGGTCTCTGTCGTCCACAAAGCTGTCGGTACTCATCGGATGATCTGGTAGGTGGTGGGATTATAGACTGAGTAGTTGGAGGCAAGTGATGATGAATGTGGTGGTGACTGTCGAGCTCTATGGCTATCAGCCTGCAGTAGTGGGGGGCAGTGCACGTTGCGGCGATATAGCGTAATTCTACGGTTAGTGGAAAAAGTCGACGATGGCGAGCGCGCTACGGATCTTTCGGTCTTTCAAATGGCCGTCGTATACATGTTCTGGGATGTGTATGCCAGAAGGACAACGTAGATTGCGGCTTGCACAACCTCCCCGAAAGTGGACAGTAGTGACGTCAGCAAATTCTGTACCACCCGTGAGCGACGCATGCTGCGAAAAAGAAATCAAACGCAAACATTTCACCCAGATCGGACTAGATCTCCAAGGAGGACGTAGGCGAAGTCTCATCAACTACACACATGGCTGTTAAGCTCATACGTCATGGATCATGGAGTAAAGCATTGGGCGGGCCGGAACAAGGGGAAGGTGTAGAAGATAAGCGGAAACAAGGAACTGAGACTGACTAATGGACTTTGGTGCCTCACCGTGGCCACTGGCACCGCTGAATCGCCAACCATAGTACATCTGTATACAGGTCGTGGGTGGCAAAGTTGGAGCGCCTCCCTTCATCGGCATCTCCGAGTCGCACAAAGTCTCTTCGCTGTCGGCCTTCTCATGGGAGCTGTGTACATGGTGATGGAACGGGTATGCGCCAGTCATGAGGTCATCCGGGGCGGCGACAGCGCCGTGTACGTGGGATCTGCAGCGCCGTCATGGACGGTACACAGAAGACAAAGGCTCCAAATAGTGGCTTTATCCCCCGTGCTTCTTCCTCCTCCCACTCCTCCTTGGACTCTATCTTCCCCACCGACCATCACACTACGCTACCGTCCACATGTACTACGCTTGGACCCTCCCCACATCGGTCTACAATGTTGTCGAGACGACTCTGACAAGCCACAAGGTCGTCATCTTCGGGGTCACCGACCCAGAAGGCTCGTCAGTCGCCCACGCTCTTCTCGAGGAACCTGGCAAGTTTCGTGTCATTGGCATCTGCGGAGATGTGACAACGGCTGCGGCCATTGGTGAGCACCGTGTCTAGTAGACGTGTCTAACGTGCAGAACTCAAGGAGCTCGGTGTCGAGTTGAAGCAGTCGGACCTCAAGAACCCCGCAAGCTACAAGGACTCGCTCAAGGGCGCAGACGGCGTCTTCCTCTCCACCGACTGTGAGCCCCCGTGACCCGATTTAGATCTGTGACGTTGTATCCACATGTTCACGCCCTAGACTGGACCTTTTACAACGGTGACAACCTGCACGACGCCAAGAACAAGGAGACGGCCCTTGCTCGCAGCGTTATCGACCAGATCAAGAACGCAAAAGTTGGTCTTCTGGTCTACTCCACTCTCGAGAGCTGCAACCATGAGATCCCGCACTTTGAGAGCAAGTCGGAGAGTGAGTTGTCGTAAAATAGCTCTCCAACGTTTGGTCGCTGATTTTCAGTTACCGGGTACATCAAGGAGGTCGGCATCCCTTCCACTCAGCTGTACACCTCGACCTGGTACTCTGACATTCTCCACATGCCAGTCAGCGAGATTGATGGAAAGCTCATCCTTCACCACCCTCTTCCGGACAACAGTGTTATCCCGTCTTTTGCCGTCGAGCAGATTGGTCTCTGGGCGATGGTAGCTTTCAAGGACCCCAAGAAGTGGATCGGTAAGGCTTGTGAGGGAAGATGGAACATCGGCTCACTGTTTCAGGTCAGAACATCTACTGCGCCGGCGAGAACGTCACTGTCGGACAGGTAGCCGAGTGCCTGTCCGAGGCCACTGGCAAGCACGTCGAGACCCTCCACCGCACGCGCGAAGAGTTCCTCGAGGATCACCACATGGACCGTGCCAAATTCCTCGAGTACCTTGCCATGCTGAATGGGTGAGTGCCACGCATGTCGGACCAAGATTGACTTTTCCAGCGAGATCACACGCGGTGTAGACGTTGCACGCCAGCAGGTCCCTTACGCGTGGGACCTCAAGACTTGGATCAAGCACAATTCCGACAAGATCCACAGTCTGTTCAACAAGGGCGAGGCGCGCCACCCACTGAAGATGTCAAGTCTGCGCGTTCCATGGCCTCTTCATACCAGTCGGTCTCTGGCGACCTTGGGGAGTTTTCCAGGACCCCCGCCATGGACACTGCCTCCGCCGCTGCCTCGGCGGCCAGGAAGGATCTCGACTCTCCGGGCTCACCAGGCGTGAGCAACCCTGGCGCCACCACTTCGGAGCCGGAGGAGATGGACATCACCACACCCGCTCCGCCTCCCACGTCCACCTCCTCGCCCGCCACAAAGACCTCGTCTCGGCACCAGCTCCCTAAGATCGAGCGACGCGAGTCTCTGGCCATCCTCATGCAGGCCCGCCAGTCCGCCATGATCCAGCGGGAGCAGGCTGTGCAGGAGGAACGCCGTTCAAGTCACGACAAGTGGCTTATCGCCAAGCTTGCCGAGGAGCGTGCCAACAGCAAGATTGAGAAGATCGATACCGCCATTCTGCACGAAGAGCAAGCTGAGGTTAGCGAGAGCCACGAGAAGTGGCTCATGGACAAGCTCGCCGACGAGAGGATTAAGCACAAGGGCGACCCCCACGACCCGGTTCACGTCCTCCCTACAAGCTACCCCGTCAGGAAGAGCACCAAGGATCGCACGGGATCTATTGTAATTTCCCATGCCCACAACCCTCCTCGAACTGCTGAGGAGCTTGAGAAGGAGAGGTTTATGGTTGGATATGGCCCCGCGTAATGTGGCGATTGGTCGGCTTTTACACATATTTCTTCCCGTTGTCCGTACGACGCTAGTTTGACACACGATGCAACGTTTCCATGATCTGTGCCCACCAAGACCTCTGCACATTTGAACAACAGTCCCATTGCGCCTTCGGCTACCCCCTTTGACTTCTCGAGCGTGGGAAGTGCGGTACATTGCGGCATCAACTGCGATGACGAGTATGTCTTGTATGTTCGGGGTGGCGCCCTCGCTTACTTTCAGATCCCAGATCCAGTTTGCCTAGGGAGGCAGTTGCAACTCATGTTCATTATGGACTCAATATTGCATCTGATATGTACGTGATCCGATTCAATGATTTCTACAGATTTCTCGTGGTTGGTTTGTGGTTTGGTTGGTGGTTGAGTGCTTGATATGTGTGTGCTGCGCTTCTTGAGTCTTCTTTCGGTCTGGGCAACTGGAAGACATAGTTGTCGGTTGGGTTCGTGTAACGTCTGAGCATTTAGCCACTGTCCACACAGTATGCGACGCAGGCACCCTTCACATGGAGGGATCCGATGAAGCTCACCTCGAATGCCGGCGACTTGGGCCGCTTGCCATGACTGGGGGCTGGGGTGACCATTTGCTGAGCGAGGGGTGCTGACCGGCTCAGAAGAGCCCACAGAAACGGCGCCTGCGGACGACGACAACAGGTGCCCCCATCCCCATCCCCATCCCCATGCCCATTCCCATGCCCATTCCCATGAAGGGTCGACGACCAACGACCACGGGTACGGGGCGGACAACTGCTGGTCGAGGACGCGGCGGACCACCGCCCATGTGACGACCGCCACCATGGCCACCTCCATAGCCGCCACCATAGCCGCCGCCATAGCCGCCGCCGTAGCCTCCGCCGTAGCCCCGTCCACCTCCGCCGCCGTAGCCCCGTCCACCTCCGCCGCCGTATCCTCGTCCTCTCATTTCGGCTGCAAGTACGTTGGTTGGGGGTAGGTTACGATGTGTTGTTCGATTCGAGGACGCAAAGCTTGTCGCAGTATATGAGGTGCGGCGAAGAGGCTTGGTTGAGTGTGTTGAAGACTGGGATAAAGTTGGTGAGAGTGGTGTAGTAGATGAAGTTTGGGTAGAGCGATGTCTTGATTGCTCTGTGTTGTTGTTGGAGGGAAGGGCTTGTGTTTGTGGGAGAATGGAAGTGGTCAGCTCGCTGTATATGTATGTACCATCTCCACCGCGTTGCCTTGGTGGGGTTTGTCGGACTTGCGACTTGGAATCCCCGGCACGCGTTTCTCGGCACACACAACTAAAACAAAGGAGATGGATCTGGACAGGCAACTTCGGCACCGCAAATGACGAACCTCCATTGTGTAGAGCAGCGACGATATGCCATGCGCCCATGGGTATAAATGGGTATGACGTTCTAAGGCCCTAAGGGCTCAGACATATGATGATGTATTCAAGGGTGGGTGAAACTGCGGGCGATGCCGCAATTGTGTGCAGCAACCATATAAAGCCCAGCCGTGGGGTGGCCAAGCGAGTGTGAGTGCGACGTCGGTGAGGCAGACACAATGGGCGAAAGAGAGCATGGGAGAGAATGATAAGCGACAAATTCAGTCACCCACCCTCGAGTGCCGAGATCGGCAAGCAGTGACAGAGCGAGGGAGGGGGCAACGTACAGTAGTTCGTGACTAGCTGAGCTTCGACGATCTTCAAGCCCCTTGCATCACCGACACGGCCACACGGCACGCTTACCCGGGTCAAGTCCGACTACAGATTTATCCGCAGCCTAAATGCTTGCCATTACCAGTTGCCAGTCTCACAGATGACAGAGGAACAATACGGAACGAGATTTCAAGGACCGCCGCTGCCACCTTTGTCTCGGAAGAAGCGTTACTGAGGACAAACGACCAGATGACGATCAGCCCGGTACCCGGGGGACGACACGACAGCATGAAAGAGTTGGCGTTGTGCCAGACACGCTGGTTCCGGGCGAGCAATGCCTCCTTATCGAGACGCGGACGCAGCACTTCTGCTTCGAAGCTACTCAGACTGCAGGCTACAGATGATACCGCACCACCCCGGAGCCTATAAAGAAATAACACACGCCACAACCATCTGATGATGACACATGTCTCTACCAACAATGAAACGACACGAAAGTGACACAGCCAGAACAACACGGCCAGCACAGGCATGCTTGTGCATGTGTGGATGGAGCCGTTGTGTGAGCAAACAGGCTCCGAGCACGGGAGACGTGTTCGTTGCCATTCCATGCAGGCCACACGAGGCGCACTTCCAGGCAAAGCACCGCGCATCGCGCGCAACTCGGCGATCCTATGAGGAAGCATGAGTTGAACTCGTGGCTGCTTGCATTTGCATACGAGCAAGGGTCTGAATCTTAACCTGGGATATGTGGGAACGCTGTGGGAAATACTGGCCCATTAGACTGATCTGTTTGTTGCCTTGCCCCAGACTGTCGCCTGGGTGATAAGTTTACCCGTTGTGTCCCCCCAAACTGCGTCAGTCGGGGGTGATCAGTGATCAGTTCCGTCTCAGCTCATGTGCCGCATGATACCGGTTCTGCTGAGCACAGCCAGGAGGAGTACGGTTGGGGCGAGGGCAGGTGTTCGACACCCAGTGCCAGACAATGCAATGCAATTGAAGTGAGGGAGTCGAGCCAAAGTGCTCCACCCACGTTCTACGCTCTACTCGGCGGATTCCAGCTCTTGTCCTTCAACTCTGGCAGCTGTCTTGTGCTTGGGTGGTGGCAGCTCACCTGCCGCCACGCGCGCCAGGTAAGCCGCCTTCTTCTCTGCCCTCTCGGCCACCTTCCGCTTGGCAATGACTGCCTGCTCTTCCTTGCTCAGCGGTGCCGGTGTGGATGCCCGGCTACCCGCTACGCTGGTACTGGCACTTCCGGCCGCGCTGCTGGCACCGCTCTTGCGCGGGTTACGGTCCTTGCTATCGAACAGCATCGTGACGGGGCCGTCGTTTGTGAGGCTCACGGCCATCATGGCACCAAACTGGCCATCTGAAGAGGTGAGCTCGGAAGGTGATGTGCAAGTGGTGACGTACCCTTGATCCTGTCCGCGACATATGCGTTGCGGATCTGCTCGAGAAATGTCGAGTAGAACGCCTTGCCAGGGAGCGTAGACATTGACTCGTGGAAGTCTACAGTAAGTCAGTGGTTCAGTCCCATCTTCTCCTGCAAAAAATCACCCACCAGGCTTGAGGCCCTTAAAGTTGGCGTACAGAGTGAACTGTGACACTGCGAACGTCAGCCCAGGAGGAGCTCAGCGGGGACAATTGAGACAAGACGCACCACACAACACTTCGCCGTCAATCTCGACGACGCTGCGCTTCCACGCGCCAGTGTTGTCGTCCCACAGCTTGGCTCCCAGGACCTTCTTGATGATCCATGCAGCATCGTCAGGCGTGTCGTCTGGGCAGGGTGTAAGTGTGGTTCAGTAGGGTCGGCACATGTGTGGTGACGGGCAGGGAGGGGGAGCATCGTGTGTAAAGGCAGGACAACCTCATGCCCACGGGCCCGACAGCTTCCCCAAGGGCTGTCTTTCTAGCTGTGCAGCTGTTCTGCTTACACTTCACACCAAATGTGCCAACACATGCTGCCGACTGGACCAATACTAACTGCGCTCAATGCCAACGAGGACCATGAGTCCCTTTCCGATCTGGCTGATTGTCTGACCATCGACTGTGGGGTCAGCTCCAGCTCCAGCTTGTTGGCCGTTCCGATATAGGACTTGGGCCAAGCATTACATACCGGCCACCGAGGCGTTGAGGCATCGCTGCACGACGGCGCGCATGATTGATTGTGTGGAGTGAGATGGATGTGAGGGATGGTTGAAAGTACGAGGTGAGCCGACTTTTCCGCGGTCAGGCTTCTCAGCTCCTCGGTTGATCGGCGTCTGCCGACCAGTGGCCCGAGTGGCTTATCGCAGCCAAGCGTCACCCACCACATCGTGCCCACAATCTCCTGTCCAGTCCACAGAGCACAATCAAATGTCAACTGAAGCATCTACATCAAAGGGATAGTCTACCAGTACTCTATATTTGACACTGTTGATCCCCATGCACGCCGAATGCCGAACAAGCCTTAGCCCTCTACAACCATACAAGTCGCCACCAGTCATTAACCGTTACCCCAAATCCCCCACAACACTTGTCAATGTCCTGAGTAGCCCTAAGCAGCCTGCCCGGGGAAGCGGCAACGAGAATGACGTGCTGAAGCCCGTGGCGAACGCTTCTCTGGCGGAGATGACACCCGAATAGAGACCCAGGGCGCAAGTCGCGAGACAGCCAAGCGCGGCCAGAATCTATGTAGAATCGCGAGTCAGAACATTCTGCGAGATGAAGGCGGGAAATACTCACGAGCAAGGCCTTGGCGTACCGGTAGTTGCGGAATCCGCGCTTCCAACGAGATGCATCGTGCCACGAGTGGACACGGTTGGACCACGCAATTATTGAGGCACCCACAATCCCAAGGCTGCGATGGCGCCCACTCGTTGGCCGCGTCCTCCAACGGAAAGGCTATTGGGGTCAGCAGGATATACATACCTGATTACCAGACCGTGGGACAGGCAGCATCTTGACGTGATGCATCCCGCTGTGACCCCTGTGAGAACGCAACATGTGCATTTATAACCTGGGGGCTCGAACTGGTCAATCCTTTCCTTCCACTGGCCACTGGAGCGGCCAACGCCGAAAAACGCTGTGCCCGTCAAAACGCAAAACGTCATCAGTCATCATCCAGCTGCATCCAGCTGCATCCAGCATTCACACCCCGCCCACTGTTTTTTCCTTTCTCACATCGCTGCATCGCAACACCGCACTTCATATCTATCATCATCAACCCCAACACCATGCCTCTCATTGAATCCTCGTGAGTGTTGCTATGGTTCCGTGATGTGGAGACAGACACCCTGCTCTCTGAAGGCCGTCGTCAACTCGATATGCAACGACAGGCAGTATTCAGCAACGACCGTCCATGCCGTTTAGATAACGAGGCTCATATTAGCGGTTGACATGCGACCAAGCTGAGCTAATACCACAAGCTACCCTCACGTCCTGGGCGCGCTGAACGGCCCCACTGCCCCGAAGCGCTCCTTCCTCATCTTCTACTCCAACGTCGTCGACGGCCGCATGTGGTGCCCTGTAAGTACATTTTGCACAGCCAGTATGGTTGTCACGCAATCTGACGCTCCTCATAGGACTGCCGCGTTGTCGAGGACGCTGTCAAGAAGGCGTTCCAGGGCGAGGACAAGCCTCGTGAGATGAGCTGTTGCAACCCCACGAAGCTGACAAACAGAGGGTATCATCTACTGGGTCGGCAGCCTTGCGCAGTGCGTACCTCTAACGTGTCCCATTACGGTGTTCAATGACTGACATGGGCTCCAGGTGGCGCGACAAGAACAACCACGCCCGTACGTCGTGGAACGTCAACTCGGTTCCCACCATCCTGCGTATCGAAGACGTGAGCTGGCAAGGCCTTGTGCAGTATGTGCTGACAAACAGGGCAAGGAGACTGGCCGTATTGTCGAGAACGAGATCCTCGACTCTGCCAAGCTCAAGGCGCTTCTGAGCGGCGAGTAAGAAGAGTACGCCGTGTCGACATAGAGATAGATGTTACGGATAACTGCAGCTGGGAGCAGGTTCGAGTGGGGGCAAGAAATCTTAGTCAGGGGGTGATGAGGAATTGGCCCCACCACGCACACTCTGTCAGCAGCTGAGCTCTGTATGGGCTGCAAGAGCTCTTGTCATGAACCTCAAAAGCCTTTTTTGAGCTCGGCAACGCGCTCCATGGCTGCGCGGCGCGCGGTGGAGGCCGACTGGATTAGCGGCGCTCGTTCGATCCGCCGTGCCTGGAAGCAACAAGGCAGCTGAGCGGTCCTTGCGTTTGACTCTTTGGCTCCTTTCTCTCCAACTCACTCCCCCACACGCACCCTTCTACCACCACCACCATGCAGTGGGAGTGTGCGACGTCGGCTCTCGCCACCTTGCTTCACTGGCGCGATACCGTCCTGGCCTTGACGCTGGGACAGATCTGGACGGCCATCTACAACCCGCCCGACAAGTCGTGGAAGGTTGCGGTTCTCGTCATTGCCATCTTGTACAAGACCCCTCAGTGGTGGGCCAAATGGTGCAACTGGCGTCTGAGCCGCAAGGTTGTGCGGTTCAATTGGCCTGTGCCTCCTGTGAGTCGAGTCGCATGCTTTCTTGGCTGACCATGACAGGAGGCTTCGGCGCAGTGGTCGGGCAGCCCCATCTCCGCACCCGACCTGTTTGCTCACGAGCGCGACCCGTCCCTCCTTGCGGGCTCTCTTGCGGCCCAGCACGTTACCTGCTATGACCCCTCGACCGGGTTCCACCTCAAGACCATGGCACTGCGTTCGGCTGCTGGTGTCGCGGACCAGGTTCAGGCGGCAGACGACGCTCAGAAGGGTTGGGCGAAGAGCTCGTTTGCCCAGCGCAAGAGCGTGCTCCGCAGCATCAAGGCTTGGCTCTTGGCAGACATGGACCAGATTGTTGCTGTGGCTTGCCGCGACACGGGCAAGACTAGTGGGTGGAAACGGGCAGCATGGAAGACGCTGACAAGCAGGGGTGGACGCCGTCTTTGGCGAGGTTCTTACTACGCTCGCCAAGATTGACTGGTTGCTCAAGCACGGCGAGAAGGCCCTGTCTCCCGAGAAGCGTGCCATCACGCTTCTCCTTGCTCACAAGATTTCTACTGTGGGTCAGCGGTTACTGGCAGGACCTAACCCTTCAGGTCAAGTACGAGCCTCTGGGCACTGTTCTCGCCCTCGTCTCTTGGAACTATTCGTTCCACAACGCGCTCTCGCCCATCCTCGCGGCGCTCTTTGCCGGCGACAGTATCGTCGTCAAGTGCTCGGAGCAGGTTGCTTGGTCCTCGGCGTGGTTCATTGGCGGTGTGCGCGCCTGTCTCCGTGCATGCGGTTGGAACGACGACATTGTCCAGCTGGTCGTCTGCCTCCCCGACGTCGCCGAGACCCTCACACGTAACCCCACTATCAAGCACATTACGTTTATCGGCTCGGAGCCCGTAGGCAAAAAGGTCGCAGCCGCAGCTGCCGAGATCATGGTCCCAACTTGCATTGAGCTGGGCGGCAAAGACCCTGCGTTCATTCTCGAGAGCGCCAACCTCGACTTCTTCGCCAGCACATGGATGCGTGGTGCTTTGTGAGTTTGACCTCAAGACAGAAGCTGACTTGCCTTCAGCCAGTCGGCCGGCCAGAACTGCATCGGTGTCGAGCTCTTCATGGTGCCTCGCAAGCTCCAACAGCGTTTCCTGGACATTATGACTCCTCGCATCCAGGCCCTGCGTCTGGGCATCGACGTCGGCTCGCTCATCTCCCACACACCGATCCCGCGCCTGGAAAAGCTTATTGCCTCGGCCAAGGCTGACGGTGCCCGTGTTCTGGTCGGCGGCTCGCAGTACCACCACCCAGACAGGCCCCAAGGCGCGTACTTTTCACCTACGCTCATTGCCGACGTGCGCATGGACATGGACCTTGCTCGGGAGGAGCTTTTCGCGCCAGTGATGACCGTCGTCCCTTACGACGATGTGGACGAGGCCCTCGCCTGGCTGCGTGGCTCGAGGTTTGGCCTCGGTGGCGGAGTCTATGGCGCTGGCCGGGACGAGTGCATGCGCGTCGCCAACGAGCTGCAGTGCGGCATGGTTTCTCTCAACGAGTGAGTGTGGCTGTCTTGCGATTGACATCGAGGAATATCTGCGCTAACGCAGGACGCAGCTTTGGCGTCTTCTACCTCAACCAGGACATGCCCTTTGGCGGCGTCAAGGCCTCTGGCCATGGTCGCTTCGCGGGGCCCGAGGGTGTGCGCGGCCTGTGCTACCCCAAGGCTGTCATTGAAGATAGGTGGTTCCGTGTCATCCAGACGTCCATCCCCAAGCCTGTCGACTTTCCGTTGCCAGAGGGCGACAAGCCGTGGGTGTTCCTCAAGGGCCTCGTCTTTTTCGCCTATGGTAGCGGCGTCAAAAGGGTCACCGGGCTGCTCGACCTGATCCGCATGTCGCTGTAGCGTAGCTGCGTCGTGGCACAACACCATATTGCATGATATTCGGTTTACACAACGGCCTAACCGACCACAACTGCTTACGATCTCTCATGATATAATGCCAACTAACTCGTCCCTACTGATCGACTTCTTGTGTCTTCGTATGCCCCCGACCGTCACCGCGCCGCTCACTTACCCCCCTTGGCATTCTCCAAGAACTGGCTATACTGCGCACTCGCGGCGTACGCTGCGTACGCCGCCATCGGGTCCTGGGGATTGGCCTGGGCCGCAGCACTGGCCTGGGCCGCCTGGGCATACAGTTGGTACGCAGCAAACTGGGCTGCCTGGTCTGCTGGCGAGAGCGTGGCCGGCGGTGCTGGTGCTGGTGCTGGAGTCGCCGGCTTGGGTGGTGGCTTGGAGATCACAGCAGGGACCTGGGGGAAGCTAGGCGGGAAGCCGACCGCGCCGGGCATGCCGGGGTAGCCTTGCTGGGCGTAGGGGTTGTACGGGTTCGCATACGGGTTACCATACGGATACATGGCTGCCATGTCAGCATACAGCGCCCGTTGTGTGATCACTCACCGTTCATGGCAGCCATGTACGCTGCCATGGGGTCTTCCTTCTTGGGATCGGGCTTTTTGGCTTCGTCCTTCTTGGGTTCAGCCTTTTTGGGTTCCTCCTTCTTCTTCGGCGCGAGGTCCGGCAGCATGCCAGGGTACATGTCGTTGAGTGTGTTGCGCACAACGCCGACCCAGGCTTCCCCACCCAAACTCTTCGGGTCCTCCTTTGCGCCAAAGCCCTTCTTCTTTATCGCGTCGTCTTGGGCATTCTGCTCCTCGTCGGCCGCCATCTTGAATGTACTCGAGAACGAACGGCCGTTGAGCGCGGCAGGTGGGCCCTTGGGACGCACGCTCACCCAGCCCGCCGGCGGGCCCGAGGCAGAACGCTGGCCCGGGTCAGCTGTCGGCGGGCGAGGGGGAGCGCCCTTGCCCTCGAGACCGGGCTTCTTGCCCATGTCTGTGGGGTTGGCATCAGCCATTGGCGAGTGTGCAAAATGAGAATGTGTGCTCACTGATCACTGATGGGGGCTCACTGATGAGGATTACTTGTTGGCTGCAGGAGGTGGACGCGGCCTCGGGGTCTGTGCGCCCTTGTTCTTGACCGTATCGCCACCGGACTAGTGCTCGTCTTCTAGCAGAGAATCTGGAAGGTCAAACGTGACTGTTTTTGTTGCAACGACTTTTGGTATTGCGACTGGTTGCCTCACAACCTTTGGGGCTGGGGCCTTGGGCAGAGGGTCGGGCAGCCGCCAGTTGACGATGTTGGGCACAGCGATGATCTCGGGCCACGGCTCCACGACCTTGGGTTCTGGCTTCTGGACAGCTGGCTTGGCCGCTGGACCGCCCTCGTCGTCGTAAGGAAAGAAACGGGTGTTGTTGGCAATGGACGGCTTGTCCTTGTCGGCTATGATGTTGCCTTGCCAGTACCACGGGTCGCCCTTCTTCACCCCGCTGGGTGGCGAGTTGGGTGCGGATGTGAAGAGCGGATCGAGAGGTTTGACAGGCGGTTCGAGTGGATCGTCGTACGGGTAGTGTTCCGTGTTGCTCACGACTCTGCGCTCAGGCAGGATACGTTCGGTGTATGCCCACGGAGAGCGAAATTCGGGGTACCCAGGCTTCTTGGCGGTGGTACTGGCCTTGAGGATGGGCTTGGGCAGTGGTTTGTCGGTGGTGGTGGTGGTGGTGGTGGTGGTGGTCTTGGTAACAGTTACAGCTGCGGGGGCGGACGCTACGCGGTTGGTGGCGTGGAGTAGCGGCGTTGGCAGGGGGCGTGTGGTCCTCGAAGTTGAGGCCGACGATGGGTTGACCTGTGCATCCTTGGACTGATTGTCACCACTGTCGCCCTCGTCGTCCTGTACAGTGACGGCACGGTGTTTGGTGGCCTTGGTGGGTTGCTGTGGAGACGGAGGAGGCTCGTTTGTTGTCGGGGAGGGTGGGACTGGCGAAATGACTGCCATGGTGGTGTCCGCCCGCAGTACCGCTAGTTTGTTGTGATGAGTGCAACCACAGGCGCACAGACGCACAGGCTCTATCGGACAGCGACACCACGACGACGACGGCCAATTGCTCGTCAACAGGCGCTCCGTGCGCGCGCGCACGGTGTTCTGGTGGCGTTGGGGCTCACTTCCATGCCCGCTTCGTTACATGGAACAGGATGTGTGATGCCAGCGTACCAGCGTACCAGCGTCGTTGGCGAAGACGGCCACACGGCCACACGGCCCGGCGCATCGTGGCTGCCTGGCGGTGGGATATAGACGACAATGGGGACCTGTAGAAGACGCGCGGACGGAAATGTTGTTCGCTACGCAACTGGCCCGATTTGCTCCAGCCGAAAGCCACCTGAGCGGAGCTTGCTCGTCCGCAAGCCGCAAGAGCGTCGTGAGACCTGCCTACCCCATGTACGATAAGCAGGTCTGGAGCTATCTGGAGTACAATGTGGTGGGGCACCAAGGCGAGTGTTTAATCTGGCCTCTGGAAGCCGGCCTGCTGCTCTGGGTAACGGAGCATCAGAAGCAGCACCACCAGCAGCAGCAGTGACTACCTCTGTTCCTCGTCAGCCACCGCCATCAATACCTTGTCTCCGGTCCGGACATTTAAGCTCCTGGGTGCTGGGCTCTTGGGGCGGCAGCTCAGTGGCCCAGTGGATCTGTGATCCACTCACCAAGAGGAACGAACGACGGGGACCGAAGACCAAAAGGCTAGCGAGCTATCGTGGGTGGTTCTGAACGGACACTGTGGCCGCCGCGCCCTCGACCGTGCTCCGCATTCGAGTTGGAATAGGTGGACTGCGATACTGAAGTTAACAGGGCCAGATAAGGCTGACCCGTCCTTGCTGCGCATCAGTGTGTACCAGAGTGTCAGTCTCAGGCATGTAGGTTGGGTATGTTCTGCAGTTGCGCAGTGTAGAGCTTGTGTAGAGCCTGTGGACAGGGCGAGATTGGGTAGTGGTAAAAAAAAAAACAAGACTTGTGCAATGTTCATCCCCCGACATTCAATCTCCCACAACATGGTTCAGCTTGCTTTCATTGCGATCATTTGCCCTTCCCTGACAGGCAGTGACGTAGTTGGGGAGTGGCTTCAAATGCAGGCCGGAGGGCGTTGTGGCCCGTGGAGTGGAGGGGGAGTGTCTTGGGCGTCGTGCCGAGAATGCTGCTTCGATCTGGTCGTGCGGAATGTTGTTGTCGCATGCTGGTTCCAGCGTCACCAGATCACCAGAGTCACTGGACCAAAACTGCGCGGCCTCTGATCGTACGCGGTGTGCTGGTACACTTCAGTACGTCCTGAACCGGTAAACATGACTGCATGACTGGTGTGGTACGTGGGCCATACGTCGCGGTTGGGTGGAGTGGCCGTTGCGTATAGTATCATGTGCTCGGCCAGTTGTCGAGCTGAGCAGGGCGGGGTTGATAAGAGGATGGCGGGAACCCCCGATCGCCCGGGATCGAGCGGCTATCTCTCTCGCTGTGCAGCAGCAAGGTCAACCCTCTCGTCATCCTCGGGCTGTTGCTTGGTGGGTACCGAGTAGACACATGGTGCATGGTGTTTGTGCCCGAGACACACCGACGACGCCTGTGCACCACACCATATCCACCCACCACCCACCGCACCCCGCTCGCATCTCAACTCAGCCTGGTTGCTCCGTTTGTCCGCCCAGGCCCGCGTAATGTACACTCACCCACACCACATATTGCGCCACTGCTTGTACGCCAGAGAGCTCGGCTAACAGTGGGGGCACTGGCGCAAAGAGAACCCAGCCAGCGGCCAGCGGCCCAAAGGGGGGGTTTGGGGCCTCAGGCTTTTTTGTGTTATGCGAAGCGAGGGTGGGACATGCACATTCTGGACAGGTCATTCACAGTGAGAGCAAAGAGAGGTACGAAATGCAAAGAAAGGGTTTTGGTGCTCGGCCGAAGCAGCCTCAACATACCGGAAGCTTGTTCCAGCCTGGCCAGCCTGGGCGCCTGGGTAGCTGGGTTTGTCACAAACGAAGAGAGCAAGAGACGCGCGCCACCCTCTGGCCTTTGGTCTGTCGTATCTGCGTCTACACTTTCCTTTTTATGCACACTGCCACTGAGAAGCAACATGCACATGTGGGATAGCGACTTGTAGGGTAGGGAGGTAGATGGCGGCGATGCTTGGTCGCACGGGGGGGGGGGGGGGGGGGGGGGGGTGAGCTGTGAGCTGCCATTTGTATGTGAGTGGCGCGACTGGTGCGCGCATGTTTACGAGTGTCCCGGACGGGTCACGCCTTTGGCGGCGGAGATGATGGCGTCGAGTACGCCGCCGCCGAATCGAGCAGTTGGAATCACGTCACCCTCATCGTCCTTGTCTCTCTTGTCCATTCACCCTTGTCTCTGTCTCTCTGTCTCTCTCTCCCCTCACCACTCATTGGGTCTCCCCCACCAACACAGCGTACAGCGTGCACACTCCACACGCACACCTGTCCGTCCTCTAGGCTGTGGCCCCCCGCCCCCCGGGTCGCGTCACTTGCTGTCGTCCCACACACGCCGTTGCCTCCCCACCACCCACTCGCTACCCGTCGAGGTCCTGCATTCGACTCACAAGTGTAGCATTGTAACACACCCGCCAGCACATCGCCCCCCTCCCCCTTCCCCTTTGTTCCATCCTCTCTCAGGCTGCACAGTCGCCGCCGACGCTTTCGTTCCGAGCCCTGTGTTGCCACCGCGCCCGTCCTCCCCAGTGATCGCGGGATCGTCAATCCCCACTAGCACACGCACACTTGACACCTCTCTCCTCCTCTCTCCATAATCACCTGAATCGCGCCGCCAACGAATGTCGACGCGACCAGCCCTGTGACCCCGGGCCCCCCCTCTAGTGCCATCCACAGCCCCGCTGCTTGATAACACCCACATCATCGCACCCTTCTCCAACTAGCCGCCAGCCGGCACCCCCTTCCCACCACCTCCCTCGCGCCTCCTCACCATCTCTCATCATGTCCGAGGGCGAGTCAGCGCGCAAGCGCGATGGCGATGGGCATAGGACTCATCGCGAGCGCATCGGCAACTACGTTGTCGGTGCCGAGATTGGCCGAGGTAGCTTCGCAACCGTCTACAAGGGTCACCGCTCTGTGAGTCATCGCCTTCGCTGCAGCCACCGCCGCCGCCGTTGCTGCTGTCCACACCGTCGTCCCAGTGCTGACTGCTATATGAAGAAGTCGCGCGTCCCAGTGGCAATCAAGGCTGTCTCGCGCCAGAAGCTCACCTCCAAGCTACTCGATAACCTCGAGAGCGAGATCAACATCCTCAAGGCTATCAACCACCGCAACGTGGTCGCCCTTTCAGACTGCTTCGTGAGTAGTGGCTTGGTCGGGACCGGTGTGCGAGCGGCGTACATGCGCCAGCCAGCTTCTCTCCAATACACATGTTCCAGCAGAGTTCCACAGCGACTCATCACCGGGGGGCTGAGCTTGCCCTGTGCCACCGTGTTACCTGCTTCGCGCGTGCGATTCGCACATTCATGGTCACTGACAGCGCGCGTCCATGCGTTCCACAGAAAAACGACACCCACATCTACCTTGTTATGGAGTACTGCTCTGGAGCCGACCTGTCCATCTATCTCCGGAACCGTGGCCGGATCGAGTCGCTCGACTTCATCCCGCGGGTATACGAGTCGGGCATGGTCGCGTCCCGCACCGAGGGCAAGGTCTTTTGGCCACACCCTCCGACAGGCGGCCTCGATGAGCGCGTCACCCGCTGCTTTCTGGGCCAGCTGGGTGAGTATCGCCCCGCGACAAGATCCATGACTGACTTCATCTCAGCCGAGGCGGTACGCTTCCTGCGATCCCAGGACCTTATCCATCGAGACATTAAGCCTCAGGTGAGTCTCACGCATGGTATGCTGCCCAGAGCCCAATGCTAACAACCAGAACCTCCTCCTTCAACCGGCCACCCCTTCCGAGGTCGCCGAGGGCCACCCCCTTGGTATTCCCATCCTCAAGGTCGCAGACTTTGGCTTCGCGCGCATCCTTCCTGCAGCCGCCATGGCAGAGACGCTGTGCGGCTCTCCCCTCTACATGGCGCCCGAGATCTTGCGGTACGAAAAGTATGACGCCAAGGCAGACCTCTGGTCTGTCGGTGCTGTACTGTTCGAGATGGCAGTCGGACGCTCTCCGTTCAGGGCACCCAATCACGTCGAGCTGCTACGACGTATCGAGCGTGGTGAGGATCGCATCAAGTTCCCTGACGAGTCGTCCCGGGTCCCCACACCTGGCCCAGATGGCGCTGTGCCTATCCCCCCAATTCCAGTATCCAGCGACATCAAGACGCTAATCCGTGGTCTCCTCAAGCAGCGACCGGCAGAGCGCATGAATTTTGACGAATTCTTTGCCGTCGGCGCTGGTGTTTGGGATGGTTTCATGACCGAGTCGGTCGGCGATGTGTCTACCAGCATGGACGTGTCCACCGACAGCTCTGCCATGATGGCGACTGCATATAGCGAGAAGGAAGCCTCACCGGTGGCGGTCGAAGCTGCGGTCCTTCCCCCTTCGCCACCACCTCCAGCTTTCAAGCGCGACCTGTCGGCAGACCTTTCAGAACCTAGCACTACAGCGCCAACCCCCACCCCTACTCCTCTGGCGGTCGTGCGTCGTTCTGAGCCAAAGTACTACGTTGGCGATGAGCCCGCTGAACCTGACGCCACCGTGCTCCCATCGCCCACTGCCCCCACTGGCATTGCTGGCAGCACGCGTGCCGTCTCTCGTCCAATCAACACCACACCCATTGTGACGAGCAGGCGCACGTCTCGCGCTGGCGGCACCCTTGACGACGCCCCGGTGGTGACTCCCACCGGACCGATTCACGGACCACGCCCCGTGATTGGCAGTTCGCCGCTTGCGGCGACACCACCTATTACCATGACAGGCAAGGATGAGAGCGCCCTGGGAGCCAGCGACTCTGTGGGACGCGAGTATGTGGTGGTCGAGAAGCGAACGGTTGAGATCAACGAGCTTGCCGATGGTGAGTGTGCTTCGGGAAGTTCGCCGTGTTTGGAAGCAGCTGACATGAGCGCAGAACTTGAACACACCGCACGCCGGCCTTCCATTGGTGGTGCTGTGGTTCCACAGCTCATCAAGCGCAACAGCGTCGTCTCGCGCCCCGTGTCTGCGTTCAAGCCCGTTGGGGGGAGCCCGCCGACGCTGCAGGCCGTGGTTCCGACACCATCTTCGTACTCGCCACCGTTTGCCTTTGGCTCCACACCGCCATTTGCAGTTCCTGCCGTGCGTCAAGCCATGGTCCGAACCAGGCAGCCTTCCCTCCCGCAGACACCGACCGTCTTCCCTCCCCCTGGCGCGTACGCAATCTCCCCTGACCGTCACTCCTCCCCATCCTCGCTGCCTTCCAACGCACTCACACGTGCGCTCACAAACACGGCTGTACGACTTCTCAACTCGGCTGCCAACACTTCGGCTACGGCCATTGCTCGAGCCACAGGCTCGTCCAACAAGCGATGGCCCCTTGTGGAGCGCTCTGGAGAAATTGACCCCGATGAGGGTGACATTCTCGACTTACTGGAGGACACGGCACGCAAGGCGTTTGTGCTCTTTGACCTCGCCGACACGCGCCTCTTCCAGTGGTCCCAGACAGTCCGTCCCTCGGCTACTTCGGCGACCATTACTCCTCACACGCTGGCGCCATCACCTGGTGCCCCACCCTTCTCCATCCCGCCGGTCGGCGGACGCCGCAAGTCGTCGTCTTCGTCGACCAACAGCGAGCTCATTGCGCTCAGGCAGCAGGAAGATGCGGCTGGAGATGCTTGTGCACTCTACTTCAAGTCGCTTGCGTTTATCTGCGCCGGCCACGAACGTTTCAAGCGTTACTGGGAAGCAAGGAAGATGCGCAGCGTAGACTATGAGATTAGCGCCGAGCTTAACGAGAGTGAGTGCTACGTTCGGCTTCAGTTGGGTCCCTGCTAACAGGCCAGTGGTCCAATGGTTCCGTGCACGCTTCAACGACGTTTACGAGAAGGCCGAATGGGCCAAGGCTCGCTGTGCAGACGAACTGCCTTACGTCGACCGCCTCGTGCACGACCGTGCCAGGGACATTGTGAGTTGCGTTCCTGCTGCGTGGTACTGACCTACCAGTCTCGCCAATCTGCCCAAGCCGAGCTCCGTGGCGACCTGGTTGTCGCCGAAGAGGGCTACGAGACTGCCATGTGGCTCCTCAGCACGCTTCTCGACGATGTCATGTACGACGGCGCGCGTCTCTCCGACACCGACGCCCAGGGTTTCGAGCGCCTCATTGGGTCCATCCGCGACCGCCTGGACGGTGTCAGGCGCAAGCTTGACGCCGGCCGCAAGAATTAGAATACCTGTGGCTAGCCCATTCGGTCCCCCGTCCCCCTTCCCCCCTTCCCCCCCCCCCCCTGCATCTGGACGTTTCCTTCCCGCAATCTCCGCTCCGCTTGGTCTACAGTTTCCAACTTCAACACTTCCCATCAGCCCCAGTCTCATCGGAATCCACTCCACTCGCCAGGATCCATCAACGCTACCTTGCCATTTCCCCCTCATATCCGTCCCTTCCCCACTCCACCGTCCACTACAGAACTGTAGTTTTCCCTCCGCCGCACCACGTCCCAACTTTCCCAAACCATCTCACCCTGCACCCCCCACCCCCAATCAACTCTAGAAATCTGCTTGTGTTGTCCATCCCGAGCTCGTTGTAACCCATATGGTGGCCTTTGCGCCACCCGATGCTACTTGTGTCACAAACTTGATATGGTTGACCAAAGCCGTGAGGGTTTGCAAGCGAGTCATGAGTGTGTTTGACACTTTATGGGTTTGTTTGACACTTTATGAGTTTGTTTTAACACCTTCAAAAGGACCAGATAAGCCACTCAAATCTCATCCAGCAATGCTGTCCTAGTCTTAGCTGTCGCTGCCTGTCAAACCTAAGCTCCTAACTCTACAACGCGCTGGGCACCTAATCGTCCCTAGCCTCAGCGGCATGCTTGCTCTCGCGCAACTCGACCTTCTCCCTCTCGGCCTCCTTCTTCTTCTGAGCAGCGACCTTGCGCTGGCGCTGCCTCCTGCCCGCACCGCGCTTTCCTGCGTTGCTCGCGAGGTTCACGTCCACGTAAAGCTCACGCCGGCGAGAAGCGGCGGCGTCGGCGCGCGCACGCTCCTTCTTCTTGTCGCGCTTGCGCATGTGAGGTGCCATCGAGGCCTTGAGGAGTGCTCCGTACGCGGCGTGGAAGGTTGGGAGGGAGGAGGCGGGCACCTGAGGGTCGTTAGAACATGTTGACGAAGGAACGGTGCACGAGGGAGATACGCCTTCACCGCCAGCAAATCAGCCAGCCAGGAATGATTCAGGCCGACCGTGTGGACAAGATTCCCCTCGGTATAAGGGAGCCTGGCAGCTAGCCGCCAGTCGAAACCCATGCAAAGTCGTAAAAACCGGTCGACCTCCATCCTTGCCAATAAGACAGAAACTTACCCTAGCGCTGAACTTAGTCTCGCCCTGGGTACACCTCAAAAGAACATCGTGCTCGTCCTCGGGGTCCATGCGTGCGTCGCCTTCGGTGTCGTGAGGGAAGCGCTTGTGCGAGAGCCAGATGGCGCTAGAAGGGGAAGCGAACGCGGCCGTCAGGCGGGTGAGGAACTGGGAATGGAGGGTCAGCAGACGCAAACGGCATTGGATCGTATTGGCAGTGGCTTCTGAGAATGTCGCAGCGTATGAACCGTTGACATTGGTCGACAAGTGTGTTGATGTCGCAGAGAGGATGGCAAAAGCGAGCCGGGCGACAAAGGGAGGAAAGGAAAGACCCACCTCGTCCTGGTTCACGAGCTCCTTGGGCATGTTGACTTGCACCTGGGGGATGTAAGGAGGATGTAGAGGGCGGAGAGAGTGAAAAGGGTGGAGAGGGGTGGAGGGCCCGCTGTTGTCGCTTTGTGTTTGACGCTTTGTTGGTGCTTTGTTGGTGAATATAGAATGAAACCCAGAGTCGTTGTACGAGGTCGTGTGTCTGCCAGGTTGGCCACCGGAGCGGACGTCCCAATCTCCCACATGGCCATCACGTGGCCCGGACATGGCCATCACATGGCGGTTTGGTGGAGAGTTGCCAAACTCCGTGTTTTTACGGCCACCTCGTCAGAATGTTCGTTCCACCCGACCAAAGTGTGCCCGACGCGTTTACACACATCTGTCAGACCATCAACAACAACAGCAAATCATGGCCTCCGCCGGCCCGAGTCAACTCGACCAACAGGTCCTCTCTTGCCTCGAGGCCACATTGAGCCCCGATGAGGCCACACGCCGTGCCGCCGAGGCACAGCTCCAGCAGCTCTACCAGCACCCTGGTACGTGTCTCCTCTTGTCTCGCCGCCGGCCGTCGTCGTCATCGCCGTGCACGCTCAGATCATCTGGCGGCTGAGACGTTCAACCTCATGACATGAATGAAATGAGCTGATGGTTGACAGAGGGTGGCCTGAGTCTGACGCGTATTCTCGGCTCACACAGCGTTCCCCTCCCCCAACGTCAGATAAGTGTCTGCCGTTTGTCGTAAATGCGCTGGACAGGGTACTGACGATTCTCTTACTCTGCCGGTATCCTCCTGCAGAAGTACATTTCAGTCCACTGGTACCCCGGAGCCGACGCGTACGAGCAGCCCACGACGCCTTCGGAGGTCAAGGATGCCGTCCGCCCCTTGCTCCTTTCCGCTCTGTCCGACCCCGAGCGCAAGGTTCGCGCCGCCGCTGCGTTTGCTGCGAGCACCGTGGCACGCTTCGACTGGCCCGAGGATTGGAGCAGTCTCTTGAGCTCGCTCATCACCCTTCTCCAGACTGGCAACCCCGACGCCGTTCATGGCGCGATGCGCGTGGTCATCGAGTTTGTCAAGAACGATCTTAGCGAGGACCAGCTCCTCCCCGTTGTCCGCGACCTCGTCCCGGCCCTGCTTGCCATTCTCGGCAACACGGCGTACGGCTTTGCCACTCGCGCCGAGACGGTCGCTGTGTACCGTCACGTTCTCACCATGCTCACCACTGTGCGTGACGAGCACCCCGCCGCGGTCAAGAACGCTCTCGACCAGATGGCGCCCGTGTGGTTCAACGCCTTCTCTCAGCTCCTTGGGGTCGATGCCGCGGCCGAGGTCCAGGCGAGCTGGGAAAGCCTTGCTTTGCGTATCCAGATCTTCCGTGTTCTTCTCCAGTTCCAGGCCAGCTTCCCGCGCTACCTTGGCCCGCACGTCCAGAGCTTTGTCCGCATGTCGATCATCAACCTCACCTCCCTTCTGCCGACGTTCAATGCCTACTACATCTCGACCGACCCTGACGCACCGTCGCCTCCCCAGCCATCGCCTGATGCTGCGTTCACGACCAAGATGGACCTTGACGACCTGGCGTGTGCCATCTTTGAGTTCCTCGAGCCCACTGTTCGCGTCAAGGAGGCCAAGGACCAGCTCGTCAACGCAGACAGTACCGCCGGTACTGCTGTGCTCGAGACCATTATTGGCCTGGTCCTCACCTACACTCAGGTGACCCGTGAGCAGGAGGAAGAGTGGATGGAAGACGCCAATGCGTTTGTCGAGGACGAGGATGAGGACAACATTGTCTACTCCCTCCGCATTGTCGGCCACGACCTCATGGGGGTGAGTATATAGCGACCGCACTGTGGAGCCCACACTGACACTCCATCCAGTCTCTCATTGACAAGTGGGCTCGCCCTGTCGGCAGCATCGTCAATGACATTGCCAAGCGCCGCGTCCAGGAGTCTGCAAAGGCTAGCCAGACTGGCCAGAAGGACTGGTGGAAGCCCCTCGAGGCCATGCTCGGTCTCCTTGGCGGCATCGCCGATGACCTCACCATCCTCATGGACGACGACAAGGACATGGGCAAGCCGCTCACTCTCGACCTCCCGTTCTTCTTTGACCAGGTCATTCCCGGCCTACTCTCGCAGTCTAACGCTCCTTTCCTCCAGGGCCGTGCTTTCGTCTTTGCTTCGCAGTTTGCCGGCCAGCTCCCAACTGCCGTCGCTGAGCAGTATCTCGGAGCGGCTGTGCAGGCCCTCGCCGAGCCTTCGACCAGTGTGCCCGTCAAGATCTCGGCCGTCAAGACAATCAAGAACTTTTGCCGCCACGTTGACCAGAGCGTCATGGGTCCTCAGGCTGGCAAGGTTCTCTCCCTCCTCGTTCCCATCCTCCCCGAGACCTCCAGCGAGACGCTGTACCTCGTCATGGAGACTGTTCACTCCGTAGTCTCGCTCGACAAGGCGTCACTTTCGGCAGAGAGCACCACCGCTATTAGCGAGGCAATCTATTCCGAGTTCCTCAAGCACTCGACCGACCCTGTTCTGACCGCCATTGTGACGGAGCTTGTCGAAGCCGTTTCCAACTCGCCTTCGCCTGCTGTTGTCTCTTCCCTTGTTTTGTTCTTTGCGCCCAAGCTTGCCGCTGTCATCACTTCACCTGTTGACGATGAGACTGTCCACCTTCCTGCCGAGGCTGTGCAACTTGCCAACGCGCTCATCAAGTCGCGTGGTGGACCGCTCGAGGCTGAGCTTATCGGCACAGTTACTGTCGCCGTCATGCAGGTGCTCCAGACCACCGACGACATGGACGTCATCCAGCATGGCATGATCCACCTCACCCTTGTTGTGCGCAAGGACTGCGACAAGCTCATTCAGTGGCGTGACCCCAACGGCCGTAACGGTATCGAGGTCATCTTTGGCCTCCTCGCGCGCTTCCTGGCGCCCACGTTCTCCGAGTCGGGCGGCGTCTTCATTGGCGACCTCATCATGCACCTTTTCCGCAAGGCCGGTGCCGTCATTGCCCCCATCCTTGGCGAGCTCCTCCAGGCTGTTGTCAACCGCCTCGCCACTGCCAAGCTGCCCTCGTTCATCACCTCGCTCATCATCCCCTTTGCCTACCTGTTTGGCACCGAGTTTACTCAGCAGACCATTGAGCTCCTCACGTCGTTCCCGGCTGTCACCGTGGCCGACGGAACCTCGGTTCCGGCTCTGAACCTCGTCCTCGCGTCGTGGTGCGAGCAGGCTGAGACCATTACCGGTTCATGGAACATTCGAGTCAACGACCTTGGACTGTCCAAGCTCTTTGCTCTCCCCTCGGCCCCTCTTCGCTCGGTCCTTGTCCGTGGTGACCTGGTCATTACCGACGCCAACCGTAACAAGATTATGACTCGCTCGCGCACCAAGCAGACCCCCAACCAGTACACCCAGATCCCATTCCCCGTCAAGACGCTCAAGCTTCTGCTCAAGGATGTCCAGGCGGAGGGCAAGGTGACCGACAAGGACAAGATCAAGGCCGCTGGCCTTGACGTTGCGGAGGATGATGGCGACGAGGAATGGGACGACGACGACCTTCTCGGTGCCTCCAACCCGGCCGACGAGTTTGGCTTCCTCTCGGACTGGCTCGACGAGGGTGGTGGCGAGAACGATGCTCAAGATGACGATGAGGATCTCCGCCAAGACCCGCTCGCCCAGATCGACATGGGCAAGCACATCACCGACGTTCTGCGCGAGTCCTACCTCTCCAACGCCAACGGCATGCATGAGATGGTCGACGCTCTCGACGACACTGAAAAGGGCATTCTCCGCGGTGTTCTCACCATCGGTTAATCTCCCCCATCACTTTTACACACATGTTTAGAATGGCTTCAGGCTTCTCCTTGGGCTCGCTGTCAAAACGTCTGGGTCCCTCACATGCGCTCGATTTCTCTCTCATACACACACACACACAAACTCTCTCTCTCTCTCTCTCTCTTTACTCTCATGCATTATTGTACAGCACACCGTCCAGTTATTGTACAGTCTGTCTACGTCTCTCTAGCACGGCAGTACGTAGGCCCGTCGTTTACTCGTCTGGAATGTCTGCTGGCTTCTTAATTCCCCGCGAGAGCTTGTAGTACACGACCGTCGAGTCGGTTGCGCCAATTGCGACGTAGAGAGTGTCCTTGTCAAAGACGAGCTCCTCGGCAATGGTCTTGGCCTCTGCAAGTGGCGCAAGTTCAGACGCTGTCTCCTCGTCACCGTGGCCTTCAGTCTCCTTGTCCACTGTTCTCCGTGCCAGCTCTTCCCTCAACTGTTCAGGCGTGGCTGCGAGGGGTGGCAGAGGCTCAGGCAACGACTGGACGGTGAGGGTCTCGAGCGCTGAGAATATGCTCTTCAGCTCGGGCGGGGTGAGCGAGTTGGTGTGGAAGGGAAGTGGCAGGACAGCGCGGAGGGGATCCTACGAGCAAAATGTCAGCTATTGGGGATCTTGGGCCACAAAAACAAAATGAGATGTATCCATGCTCATACTCACGCCTGCACGCTTGCGGCCGACGATGACGGCCCACTGTGTTCCGGGGAGGACGAGGGGGCGGAGCTGTTGCCACTCGACGGCGAGGGACAGGTCGCGCACAGTGGCTGTGAGTACGCCTGCCTGCTCTGGGGCTGCGGTGACGATGTGGTCGAGGAGGGTGGGGAGCGGGGTGGTGGGGTCTTGGACCGTCATGGTGGTGGTGGTGGAGGTGGTGGTGGTGGCGAGCAGTGGTGGAGAAAGAGTTGTGATTGTGTGGAAATCAGGTGGATTATCCACGGAGAGACGGTGCATGTCCGCGCCGCACGCGCCTGCAGTCACGTGATCTGCCGCGCGTCCGCGCACAAATTGGTTTGAAAAAGCGGCGAGAAAAAATCGGGCCCCTGGCCCCTGGTCACACCCACGCGCACCACGAGAGAGGCGGCCAGGCGGCCCAGGCGGAGGGTGCGGAGCGTACGACGGCCATCCGAGCCGCCATGCCCCAACGAACCAACGTATCCACCGCCCGCCTTGCCGCCGGGTGCGCACTCGCTCGCTGAAAGAAGAGAGAAACCACCACCGTCTGCTGCTGGTAGTGACCTCGACATCATCCACATCCACACCACCCCCCACCCCTTCACACCATGGCCTCCCGCGCAGCCCTTGCCCGCTTGACCTCGGTCGCCGCCCCCCGCGCGCTCTCCACCAATGCTGTCGCCGCGACCTCGCGCGCCGCTCTCGCTACCACCCCCGTGCCGCGTGTGCCCCGTTCCGCCTCGCGCTACCTCGTCGGTGCGGGCCAGCGCCGCATGGCGAGCTCGGACGACGGTGCTTCTACCATGGTCAGTACACACTCGTCAACATCTGCAAGGGCCGCAACCTGTGCCCTCCTTGGTGACAAAGGGCGGCCCCGCAGTGATGTGTTGGATGCTGCCGGCGGCATATCTCGGATTCGTCCGCCCGAGAAGAAGACTGTCTACAACCAAACCTTGGCTTGCAATGACGACGGCAAAATGAGGCGCTATGAGACATGCATGCTGACAATGGGAACAGACCGTCCGTGATGCGCTCAACGTCGCCATGGAGGAGGAGATGCTCCGCGACGAGACCGTCTTCGTCATGGGCGAGGAGGTCGCTCGTTACAACGGCGCATACAAGGTACGTCGTCGTCGTCTCCACTCTTTGGCCTTTTTTGGGGATTTGCGAGAAACCAACTGACATTTCCCGAAAGGTCACCAAGGGCCTTCTGGACAAGTTCGGAGAGGACCGTGTCATTGACGTGAGTGTCCACACGCTGCTGGCCAGCATCAGCATTGCTTACTGCCCCTCCAGACCCCCATCACCGAGATTGGCTTTGCCGGTCTCGCTGTCGGCGCCGGTCTTGCTGGCCTCCGCCCCGTTTGCGAGTTCAGTGAGTTACTTTGGATAACGCTCCCCGGCCCGCCGGGCCGGCATTACGTCCCCGCACTGAACACCTATACACGAATACACGACTGTGTGATGGGTGTATGTGTCTGAAGGTAGTCCACTGACACCCGTAATAGTGACCTGGAACTTCGCCATGCAGGCCATTGACCAGATTGTCAACTCGGCCGGCAAGACCTACTACATGTCGGGTGGTAACGTCCCCTGCCCCGTCACCTTCCGTGGCCCCAACGGTGCCGCCTCGGGTGTCGGTGCCCAGCACTCGCAGTGTTACGCTGCTTGGTACGGCTCCATCCCCGGCCTCAAGGTCGTCTCGCCCTGGTCGGCTGCCGACTGCAAGGGTCTCCTGAAGGCCGCTATCCGTGACCCCAACCCCGTGAGCTTGGCTGCCTATTCTATCCTCACGTTGGTCATGGTGACTAACCAAAATTTCTAGGTCTGTGTCCTCGAGAACGAGCTCATGTACGGTATCTCATTCCCCATGACCAAGGAGGAGATGTCCGACGACTTTGTCCTTCCCATTGGCAAGGCCAAGGTTGAGAGGGAGGGTACCGACATCACCCTTGTCGCCCACTCGAAGATGGTCACCCACTCGCTTGAGGCTGCTGAGATCCTTGAGAAGGAGCTGGGCCTCAAGGTTGAGGTTGTCAACCTCCGGTGAGTTGGAATAGCAAAACATGTTTGATCGCAAGACAAAAGCTAACAGCACCAGCTCGATCCGTCCCCTCGACATTGACACCATCGCCGCCTCGGTCAAGAAGACCAACCACCTTATTACTGTCGAGGGTGGCTTCCCTGGTACGTTTTGTGGACTTTACTGAAGTCCAACAGCCTGCTGACCCTGCAAAGCCTTCGGTGTTGGCTCCGAGATCATTGCCCAGATCTGCGAGTCGCCCGCCTTCGACTTCCTCGACGCCGCCCCCGAGCGTATTACCGGCGCCGACGTCCCTACTCCCGTATGTTTTTTTCAGCCCCAACACACTGTTGTTGTGGCAACGTAACGTCTTGTTTCATCCATCTTTTGCTGACACTGTTGCACAGTACGCCGAGACTCTCGAGACCTTGGCCTTCCCCGAGACCAACCTGATTGTCAAGACTGTCAAGCGCCACCTCTACCGCTCATAGATTATTCGTACCGTGTTTCCTGTACCTTAGTGCTATGCATCACTGGGTATCTATACGTTGGAGCCGCGTATGGTAGCGTCGACGGTGAGCGTGGCGCTTGGCTGACTGCCCAGGTACTTTTTGCTCGGGCCGCCGTACCGCTGGTGCAGTGGGTGAGACATTGCGACATTTGCCACCGAAGTGACCCATGACCCGGACCGTGCCGCGAGTGCGCGGGGTGTGATTGTGTGCGGTGTGTGTGCGTCCGTCGAGTTTGCATCTCTTTCCCATCCCATCTCGGCCTTCTTCTTGTCCACCACCTCCATCTCCCTCCCCCCCCGCCCCTACCCACCCCTCGGCGCTGCCTTCAAGCCAGCCAGATGCCACCGCACGAGCGCGGTAACGGCAGGCCAGCGCGGCCCGCGGCCCAAGCGCACAACACCCACATTCTTCTTGCCACCGTCCTCGCCGTCGCGATAGCACTCACGTGCCCAGCCCTTGCGGCACCGACGTGGCCCCAGTCGTCGTCAGCAGACACTGCACAAAGCCCATCCAAGCAAGGTCCATATGCGCTCCCCGATGATCCGTCGCAATGGACGGAGCGCGACACGCGCGTCGCATTCGCCCGCGTCGTCGACCCGCTGGTACCGTGGGGCGCCGCCCTCGGCGTCGTCGAGGAGGACAACACCAGCTGGCTCAATCACTGGCTCAGCATGGGCGGTGAAGGTGTGCTCACTGTCATGGTACGTAGCTTTGTGTCTCGGAAATGATTGACTAATGACACGATGCAGCTCGCCAATGTCGACAATGTGACACTCCCCCATCGCCCCGCCGCGTTCCCATCTTATCTCGAGTCACACGCCGACCTGCCTATCACTGGTACACTCGTGCCGTTTGTCGACATGCCAAAGCCCAAGCCTGACGTGCACGAGAATGGTGATGGTGCCGGTGTATCGCCGCTTCCCGCACACACCGTGGCGACCAGTCAACCTGATCAGGATACCAACAGACCCACCTCTGATAGCGCCGCTAGCAGCGCTTCCTTGGACGAGACGTGGAGCTGGAAGTCGGATTCTGCCCGTCCTACACTGTCGTCCGCCCCCATACCTCCTGAGCGCGCATGCGTTCCGCCGTCATGGCCGCCGATCCGGCCGCACACGCCCAAGGCGCCCTTTGTCATCGCGCTGGTTGAGCGCGGCGGGTGCGACTTTGCCACCAAAGTGCGCGCCGCGCAGGAACGTGGTGCTGCGGCCGTGGTCGTTGGCGATAGTGTCGCCCGTCCCGGCGAGACAGACGAGGAAGGAAGGAGACGCGAAAACCTAATCACAATGTTCAGTCCCGAGGACACGACCGGCATCATCATTCCCTCGGTCTTTGTCTCACGCGCGAGCTATCTTACGTTGCGCGACCTGCTGTCCAACCACAGCAGCGGGCTCTACGTCGAACTTGGAGAGCCGGCTGATGACGGAAAGTGAGTCACTACTACGCGCACGCGCCTGTTTGTTATTCTCTTGGGACCTAGCCGCTGACGAATGATCCAGCGCCCTCGGCTCCCTCCTGACGTTTGCCCTCCTGATGCCGTCTCTGTTCCTTCTCGTGACCATTGCAGCACACCGTCTTCGTGTGGCCAGGTGAGTTTACACACAGAGAGTTCTGGGTTAGCCACACGGGTCAAACAGCACTGCTTTGTGTCACCGGCACTCTGGTAACTCGTCAGCTGACATTGCTTTTACAGACAACGTGAGGCCAACCGTGCACCCCCGACTGTGGTTCTGTCCCTTCCGGAGCGCGTATGGTCGCCAGACATTGTGTGGGAAAAGGACGACTCCGACGAGTCTGACAAGGACATTGAGACTACGCCCGTTGTTGCTCGATCCCCAGCTGTTCCAGTTGTTGCAACCGAGGCAGCCGATACTTTGTCCGAGCAGGACGTCACGTCAGCCAGTCCTCGTGTTGACTCGGCCAACGAGTCGCCGGCCGGTGTGGATGCGGATGACGAAGCCGAAGCTCCGACCACATCGCCTCGCACAGCAGTCCCCAAGCCAACACCCGTCGTCCCGCACACTAGTCGCCGGCGCGGAAAGGAGCGTCGCAAGAGCCAGCGGTACTACTCCAAGGATGAATGTGCCATCTGCATGGATAATTTCCACCGCGGCGAGGTAGTCCGTATTCTCCCTTGCGGTCATGTCTTCCATAAGGACGAGTGTGACGAGTGGCTCCTCAAGTGGCGTAAGCTGGTGAGTAACATGCAGAACTTGGCATCTTGTCATGTTTTACTTCGGGTGTGGTACTGACCCTTCCTCTCTCTAGTGCCCCACATGCCGTGCCGACGTCACTGTGTCGCCTGGCGATCTCGCGTCCTCTGCGACGCTTACACCCGTGGTGGATCGTACTGCTGCTCCAGTCCAACCAGGCTACGGAGCTGTCGATGGTGGCAGTGACGCGGCCCCTCCAGCCGGCGATGGGTGGCGCGATCAACTGGGAGCCGGGTTTGGCGCGATTACCACGCGTGTGGGTGCTGCCGCACGCTCGTTGAGAGACTCGGTTAGTGTGGCGCTTGGGCGTGCAGACACTGCTCGAGCGGACGAGACGACACCCTTGATCGGTGCTCCCGGTGGTGGCGATGGTGGGCATGACGTGTGAGTCGGCACCGAAAGGTCTCGCAACGTATGTTTGGGCGTCCGACATCTAGATCCTCCGATTGAGGGTCGAGGATGACGGTGTCCTCGGCCAAGCAGGATCCTTGTCGCTAGACACAAAAGACACGCCTCGGGAACAAGGCTCCTCTCCTCCCATCTCCATAATAGGCCTCCCGCACTCGTCCTTTTCACATACCCTGCAACCACGACTGCTTCACACGTCTCTCTTTCCACACGTCCTCGTTTATCACGTCTACGATCGCCTTTTATTTTCTTCCTTTTACCCAATCCCAGCCAGTCTGGTCTGCCCGCAGCTCCCCCCTCCGGCCGGCCTTGGCCGCTGTTCTGTTGTACGTCGTCTGTTATGCCACGCCATTCCATGATCCCTCAGCTCCCAGGCTTTGAGAGCAGTCCTCCTCTGGAAAGCACGGCGATGAGCTGCGCGCGTGTGCGGTGTGTATGCGGGGTGTGTGGGTGTGCTTGCACTGATCACGAGCGCAAGAACGACGAGAGGGACGCACTGGGCTTCTGACGGACCTCTCCGTCTCTGACGCTAACACGCTGAGACGTGTGTGTTACTTGGCACACGGCTCCTGCAGGGGTAGACGGGGAATAGGCCCAGTCACTGATCACTGAGAGTGTGCGTGCATGGGGAGCGATGGTCGATGGAGGGGGTGGCAGGTAGGGATTGGGAGGAAGGAGGCAGCAAGGAAGAAAGAGGACGGAACAGAGATCAGAGACGGTTGGAGGGGGGGGGTGGCCAATGCGCCGCGGGGGCAACGGAGAGACGAGGGACGACGACGACGACGAGTGTGGCCTGTGTGCGGCCATGTGGTTTGTGTGACGGCGGCCTGCAGCTGGCAGCCGAAAGCCTGTGTGGCGATCCGAGCCGACAGAGGGACCAGCGAGACGACGAGGATCGGATCTGCGCGGGGCCTCTGCGTTGCACATCGTCGCCCACACTGCCCGCTGCCCACAAGAAAACGACCGCACTGCAAAGCGCGCCCCTGGGAGGGGGAGGGTGCATGCGTGGGGCTGTGGGGTGGGGTGGACGGGGATCATGACGGATGTGCAGCAGCAGACACTGGCACTGGCCCAGAGCAATCACGGGCAATGGCTCGCCAGTCTCTGTCGTTCGCGGACGGGGCGTTGTGCACACGGGGCGCGCGCGGGGGGGGCACCAAGGACGAAGACGAAGACGACGACGAAAAGGGGGGGAACGGGGGGGAGGAAGGGGCGTGTGAGTGTTGCAGGTGGAAAGTGACGACAGCAAAGCGACGACGCACCTTTGTGTCTGTCGCTCGTCCTCCTCATCCACACCATCATCGTCTTCATTCCTCTTTCCCCTCCCCGATATCCTGCTGTCCTTTTCCTCTCTCTCTCTCTCTCCCTCTCTCCCCCTCTCTCTCTCTCTCTCTCTATCTCTCTGTCTCTGTCTCTTGTGGCCCTCCAGTCCACGTCACAGCTTTTATCCCATAAAGTACAGCGGTGCACCCCGCTCCCCCACACCCCCCCCTCATGAGCTTCACCTACCTCGGCGACACTCTCGCCGCACCACCCCCCCTTGGAACCCACACCTCCAACTCAACCTCCTCGTCCCCAGAGCCTGGAAGCACCACCCCGGCAAGCAACCTGAGCGCGGCTCCCAGCGACACAGCCAACTCGGTCGACATCACCACTGCCGGCGGCACCGTCTCATTTCCCCACCCCCACTCCCAAGCTTTTTCAGCGCAGGGACCTCCTCAGTATCTGCACAAGCGCACGACGCGCAGTGCCGCACGCTCAAGCGCGTCTGCAAGCACCCCCACAGGCTCGAGCGGCAGCCGCCACATGAGCGTCGACGTCGATCGTTCGACACCCCTTGGCGACACCGGCATGAGTGTACACGCTGCTACCACCAGCACCACCACCCACAGCAACAACAACAACAACGCCTCGGCCCATACCGGCGCTACCACCCCAGCTGGCCTCCTTGGGTTGACTCCGACAACCACTCCACCCACCGGTACGCCGTCACTCGGTCCACTCGCGCCTCCTGGTATCCTTCAGCCAATGCTCGGGCCTTCGACCGTGTCCACCACGGCCCCTCCTTCCGCCACGGCCCCTTCCACCACCGTGGCCAACGGCCTCTACGGGTTTAATCAACTTGCCTGGCCTACCCCAGCCAACTCTGCTGCTGGCACCGGTGCAGGCGGTGGCAGTGGACTCGAGGAGTGGCGCCACGACAACAACATGCTCTTCTTTGGCAACACGGCCCCACCCAACGCGGCCAGTCCTCTTCAGATTCTCCGCCGCCAGCCAAGCACGGGATCGACGGGCGGATTTGGCACCAACTCGTCACGGAACGACATTCGTGACCGCGATCGCGACCTCAACCCCCGTGACCACACCCGTGACATGAACTTACGCTGGAAGGAGGAGCGCATGGTCAACGGTGACGCTGAATACCACAACAACGTGCACCACCCTCATGCTCACACCACCCACCCCACCCACCCGTCCACCCACCCGTCTCAGCACTTAACCCACCCCCTCGATTACGAGTACAACCGTTACCCTACTGGCATTCGCGACCAGGACTTGGACTACTCCAGTGGTGGCGGCGGCGGTGGTAGTGGTCTCGCCAACGGTGTACGCGACCCCCGTGAGCCACCCGTCATTGATGGATACGTTCCCACTCTCCTCCGTCCTCAACCTCCACGCCTCAACCAAGGCCCTCACCATTCGCTTTCCCCGTCGCCTCTTGGCCACCAGCTCTCTCCACACATGCAGCATGGAAACCAACCTCAGCATCCCAGCCAGCACCAGCACCAGCAGCAGTCGTCCACACACGCCCATACCAACAGCCACATTTTTCCTCACGCGCCACACGCTGCTCACCCTAGTCACCTCCAGCCCATCGTTCCCGTTCCCCAGCAACAGCACTCGTACGGCTGGCCGCTCCAATACAACTCCATCGCCGACATGAACGGCAATGGATACCGCGAGGACCCTTGGGCGACCCCTCCCGGTGCTGGAAGTGTCAACAGCGGTGGTGGACCCAGCTCGACAACCCAACGTGTTCCCGGGCCCGAACATGAGCGCATCAGGGCACCGGCTAAGCGTGGAACAAGTGCTCCAGCCACAGTGAGTACCACAATCAGAATCTACCCCTCCTCCGAGGAAAGGGCGTGGTTCTCAAAAAGGCAGACAGGCCTGTAGTCGGCGCTCTGACCTTTCGCGCGTTCCACTTTCCATTTGCTATTCTCCTGAGGGTCAAACTTTTTTTTTTCTAACATGCAGCGACGCTTCCCTTGCCCTGATTGCACGGAGGCCTTCACCCGCCGTAACGACCTTGTGGTAAGTGAATATTTCCCGTTTGAAGGGAATTTAATTGCTATTTTCTTGCTCTGTTGTAAGCTAACAGACCAGCGCCACCGCCGGAAGCACAGTGCGTTCCCAGTTTTCTCATCCTCCCTCCCATCCATTATTATCGCACCTTGTTGTGCTCCCCTTGGTCATTTCTGTCAAGGTTGCGGCCGTCCCCACGCTGCTCACCAATTGGCCGTGGGCTGGGGAACATTCTGCAGGCGAGCGTTGACTTGCCTGTGGCAAATGTCGGCCCTTGCCAAACCTTGCCATGCTGCTCCTCACCTCTCCCCCGTTCCCCTAAGGCGGTCGCGCTTTACCCGCCCTCTAATTTGTGTGCAGGCTGTGTGCTGACGTTCACAGCCGGTGAAAAGCCATTCTCCTGCCCTGTGTGCGACCACGCCTTTGTGAGTACACAAAGCAACTGCCCTGTTTCACTTTCTGCCTTCTACATCAACACGGCTGTCGCGGATCTCAGCCTGCGATCTCAGCCTGAACTGGACGTATCCTGCCGCACCATCGCGCGTATGACACGCGCCTTTTTCTGGAACCACACACTCTCCGGTTCGGCCTTTATCCGCCGCGCCGCCTGAGAGTATTTCCTTCCATTGCCGCGATGGTTGTCACTGCCCCCATTTCGTCTACCCAGAGACATGTTAACGTACAGGCGCGCAAGGACAAGCTCCTCATGCACATTCAGCGCTCCGAGCCTTGCCGTGCGCGTGCCCCACCTCGCCAGACCCGCGGTGGACGGCGCGAGAGGATCAACAACTAAGACGGCTCAGGATGACTCTTTGCCCATATGAACCTCCCTCCACGCCTGATCTATCCCTGTCTATGTCTCAACACATCCTATCCGTGTTCAACCCCACAGCCTACTGCTCTGTCCGCTTTCAAGAGAGTCTGGACCCCAGACGCACCAGACGCACTCTCGGCGCCGGCGCCGGCCACATGCACCATAGCACAGAAGAAGGTCCGAAAAACGAAAACAAAAGCAAGAGTGCGCCTCCACAGCGTCGGGCCATGGGTCAAGAGAATCCCCTACCTCACACAGCCGGCTGGCTCTTGGGCCGCGAGATCGTTCTTCAGTATGTTCATAGCCACCTCCTTTTTCGAATTTTTGCGCAGCGATCCAGGTTTCGGCTTTCAGCAGTTTATTTAGTTACCCAATAGTCTAGCAAGCGAGAGGAGGAGGGCCGCAAGGGTAAACGCTGTGTTCAAAGCTGTACAGCTAGTGTTGTGGACTGTAGCAGTGTTTTCCTCTTGCAATGGCATATATCATACACGTACACCCTTGAGGCAATCTGCAGAGTCTGCAACTGGCTAGGATGTTCTCCGATTTCCCGCCCACTGCCTGGACGAACTCGTCACATTAAGCACCAAGAGGTCGGCCCCAGACTGACCGAAACCCTGTGGTGCCGTAGGGTACAACTACATGCCATGACGGCCTACTGCTGCCTGGTCGACTACGCTTGGAGCGCAGGGGCGTTTCGCTTTCTATTACCCCAGAACACACACCACACCTTACATGACAACACAGCAAGAGTTTTGCTGAGGAGGGTCAGCACATCCCTACGCATGGCGTCGGAGCACGGGGAACTTTCCCGAGCACATGCAACGTACCTTCTTGGCAGTCTTGTAGAACATCTTGCTTTGCGTCGAAAGTGCGTTGGAGCGCTCAACGAGGTTGTCAAGCTTCTCTCCACGCTCGAGAACGGACTCGATAGTCTTGTGCTGCACAGCGTCAGTCCCGTCTACTCGTCGCTGACATCATCCAGGCCGACGGGCGCAACTAACCAGAACGATCTTGGTTTCGTCCAGCTCCTGCTGAACCTTCATGATGGTGTCGGCCTGCTTGGGGTCCTGGTATTTGGCCAAGTACGAGGCAAGGGTGCCCTCAAGCTTGCCCTTCTGAGCAGGGGCCAGACCGCCGGCAGCAGCCTGCGAAGGGTTGCCGCCAAATGCCGCGGACGACGCAGCGCTGAACGAGGGCGCAGCAGAGGGGTTGGGGAGAGACGAAACGAGACCTGCGTTCTCGTCAAGGAGCTTGGTAAGAAGCGAGAAGGCCGGGCGGTATGGGTACTCGGTGTCGGTGATCATGACGGCTACGCCCGGTTAGCAAAGAACGGGCAGTAACAGCTCGGCGTCAGGCGGCGCGCTGTCGAGGGCTCTCACCAGCAAGACCAAGACCGCCAGGGGTACGGCCAGCAGTACGGAAAACGTGAGCCTTGTAGTTGTTCTCCTCGACGGACGAAGGCTGGTTGGCAGGCGTCCTCTCCGCGACGGTCTGGTCACCAGTGTCAGTGTTCGATGCCATGTCATGGTGTTGACGTGTTGAATCAGGGCAGAGTGGAACGAGTGGAAGAACCCACCTTTGTGAAAAAAGTCATGAACTCGCCCACACTACCACGCTGATAGAAAGAGAAGCTGCTCAGGTCCTGGGCAGTTCCCAAGAGGGTGGCCTGCGACGGGGTAGAGGGGGAGACGGAGAGGAGGGAGAGCGAGTAAACCTTCATGGTGAATGGATCGAAAGGGTGCGCTGTGCTGTGTAGTGTTGGTTTGTAGTGTTTAATACGATGTGCGTTTGTCTACCGGGCCAGATGGGATGATGCTTGCGGTTTGTTGGAGGTCGATTTAGTTAGGAGGACGCGAAGAAGACGCGGGGTGTGGAAGATGTGGATGGATGGATTGGCGATGAGCGAGAGCTGCGATGCACCATGGCCGAGAGGGTGTGCGTCACAGTGGCCACCGGCCACGGTGTATGGCGTGGGCGGAGGGGGGCGGGGGGGGGGTGGGGGCCGTATAGGCGCCGGGGCCGAGTGGGCGGTCGGTGCGCGGCGGCGGGCGGGGTGTGCAAACTGCCCGAAAGGGAAGGGCGCACTCCGCCCGCGCGGGGATGACGCACACACACCACACACACACGCCCACAGACAACACACTATCCAGCGACCACGTCCATCTGTCTCCACCTATACTCGGTTCTCTCTCTATCGCCCTCGCTCGTCTCTCCAGCACTCGTTGTCTCTACCGCACTTGCGCTCTTTGATACCTTACCTGTCCTTCACCCAGGGCGCCATCCCCACCCTCGGCACCGTACCACAGGAACTGCCTTGCCAGACTCCCCCCACAGTCCCTCGCCGGCTTCTTGTTGGTTCTTGTTCGTCATGCCGCCAAACGCATCCGACACCCTCCCAGAGGATGCTTGGGCCAACGCATTCAATTCTGCATCCACGCGGCCCGTCCTAAACGCTCTCTCCCGCCGTCTCCAGGCATCGAATACGCATGTGCATGCTCTCTCCGAACTGTACCGCGAACGTGCTGTCATCGAGCAAGAATACTCCACCAAGCTCGCAAAACTGGCGCGGTCTGCTGAAGCAGGCCAGCTGAGCGGTAAGGGGAGCGTGGAATGGGAGCGCCACAGTGCCGAGGCAAAGCTGTTTGACGCAGTTGTTGCCGACCTGCAGGAAGTGAGCTCCAAGGTTACATGCGTCGTACTGACAGGTCATTAGACGTCGTCCGTTCACTCGACGTTGTCGGCAATGCTCAAGTCCGATTTTGAACAGCCTGTCCGTGACCTCCCCAACAAGGTTGCTTCCTGGAGGCGTATTCACGACCAGGAGGCATCCCTTGACCGTACTCTGAAAGATTACGAAAAGACGTCGGGCAAGCTCGAAAAGGCCACGGCTAAGAAGGGGTCCTCCAAAGCCGACCAGCTGAGCGCAGACCTGGGTCAGATTACAAGCAGTCTGGCATCCCTTACTCCCATGGTCTACACCACTTTCCAGAAGCTCGACGAGGAACGCCTGCGCAGCCTGAAGGAGATTGTTGTTCGTTGGGCAACAGCTCGGGCAGACATGGCCACCAAGGACGGCGAACGTGCGGAGGGCAGCCTCACAAAGCTCCTTTCTTGGGAAACGGATGACGAGGTCACCTCTGCTGGTCTCCGCATTGCATCTGCTTGCGGCGGAAGGCCCGGTGCACGCTCCAACACGGTCAACACGGTCAACACTACTGCCGGAGCCTCGTCGGTGTCCTCCACCCGTGAGCATGGCCCCTGACACTATGATGCTGACCTCGAAAAAGCGGCTCGGCGGATGTCTGTCCATACGACCGGAACCTCAGGAACGGCCGACTTTGGTCCACGCAAGGCGAATGGGTCCACCCACACCGTGTCATCCACCACGGGCGGCGGCGGCGGTGGTGGCTTTAGCGGTATCAAGTCGATGCTCACCCGAAAGGCGACAGTGGCTGGCCGCCAGCGAAGTGGCAGTGAAGCCCCGTCGATGCGTAGCACCACTCGTCGGCCAACAGACGAGATGTTCTCCCCGCTCGAGGAGGGCGAGGACGAAAGTCGCAGCGCCGGCCAGCAGCCGCCGTCTATCCACCGTCAGCACAGCGACCGTCCCGGCGGGGACGTCAGGCCCCAAACGTCTGGTCCTGTGAGTCTTGGGATGCTTGTTTTACTGTTGCTTTACTGACCATTTCCAGCCTCCTCCTGTTGACGAGGAAGGCTTCTCTATCGCCCCAGCCGACCGCCACAGGAACCCATGGGAGGATCCAACCGAGTTGGTCCCTATCCCTCCCGCGCCGTCTGCTGCTGCTCCTGCTGCTACTCGCGAGGTGCTCACCAGCAGCAGCACCGCCAACGGCGTCTCACTGCCTTCTGCTATCTTCGCCGAGCAGCGCTCAGCATCTCCGGACGCTTCGCAACCGTCGAGCGCCGCTGGTTCTATCGACGGTGGCCCAGCCCGTCTCAACCTTGCTCTGTCATCCACTCCGATCAAGGAAGATGAAGCGGAGCGCAAGGCTGCCCTGGCCAAGATGCAGCAGACCCTCCAAATGGCACCTGGAGCGCCAACGCGCCGTACTACGATTGCCCGTGGTCGTCGCGAGGCTCGTCACACGATCCAGGCTTCGCCTACAGAGAACAGCCCCGTATCGCCTGAGCACATGAGGGCTCTTGCCCAGCTTGGCGAGGACGAGGAGCATCTCCAGAATGTTTCCCCTACCAACACTTTGTCCGTGCGACAGGATGTTATCCGCAAGACCTCGCTCAGCAGCCTCTCGTCGTCACGCAACCCCTTCGAATCGCCCGCCCTTGGTTCTTCTGCCCCAACTTTCAACCCTACTATTTCGAGTACCACTGTTACTCCACAGGTCGCTGGCGCTGCAGGAGCTGCCCTTGCTGGCACGGCGGCTCTTGGTACTGCTGCGCTTCGCCACTCGTCTACCGGCGCTGACCCGGCCGCTTCCGCGGGCCTGTCCGCCACACCAACCGAGATCCAGAGCCCCGCAACCAAGGCAGCTGCTGCTGTGCCCACTGCTACCACTACCTCAATCAACGTTGCACCGGGGCTGCGGGCAACAATGGTGGAGACTGTCCACGCCTTCATTCGCCAGTTTGCCTCGCAACGTACGGTTGTCACTGGTGAGGTTCACGTCTCGCTCGCCGCCTCTACTAGCCGAGCTCTCCCCCCAGCTGGTTCGGCTCTTCACATCCGCCTGACGGAGTTTGATGCCCTCGAGTCTGTTTCTCCCAACCCCGCGTTCCTTGTCCAGGTCCCCGACAGCCCCGGAGAGTACTATCTCAACACCGACGCTCTTGCCCAGGCGACTACCTACCCTGAAACTGGCGAAGGCTTGGGCCCAGTCTTGTTCAAGTACCACGTCCTTGTCCCCGAGGGCGCCGAGACGACTGTGGCGCCTCTCATTCTCAACCCGGCTTTCCAGATCAAGAACGGCGAGACCCGCATGATTCTCCACTACCGAGCCCAGGGTTCTACGACTAGTGACCTTGGTCTTGCCGTCACGTTCCCCGAGTCGCCGGCCGTCACCACTACGCAGTCCAAGCCCGTTTCTGGTGTTTGGGGTGCCCCTGCCGACGGTTCAGACGGTCATCAGATTTCGTGGTCTTTGGAGGAGGCCAAGGTGGGCGCCGAGGGCAAGATTGTCGCTCGCTTCCTCACTGCGGCTGGATCCGGACAGCTGGCGCCGACCAGCGTCAACGCCCACTTTGTGGTACCCAACCACCTCATCTCTGGCCTGGGCATTGAGATTGTTGATGGCGAGGGCAAGGAACTTCCGACCTTGCACGGCTGGTCATTTGATGACGTGAGTCGTTCCACAGTCTCGGGCACGTATGTCGGAGACGTCAACCTCAACCCTTAAACTTCCTTGTTGTCTGGCTGGCAAAGTATTTTTTAAATAAACGTTTTTGCGATGCATCTCATTTTGGGATAACGTAAAGGTGAATGAAAGACAGTCCGAGACGATACAACCATAGAACTGGGGAATCTACTTGCCACCGCGCAGCTCCGTGTTGACCTCGTCCAGTCGAGACTGCCACTGGTCCACCTCGTTGCCGAGAACTCGCTCCAGGCGTTCAATCTCCTTGTCCAGCTCGAGCTTTTCCTCGTCCGTGCCTGATGCCAGCTTCGTCAATTGCCAGCCGTGAGCGGCAAGCGGGGTGGTCGGCGTTCCGAGAGTGGCCTGCAAATTGGCAGTGGACAAGGATGGCGCAAGAGTCGGCTCGCCGAGGCGCAGGTGACGGTTGTGGTACTTCAGGAGAGATGGACGATGACTGCTGTTAACTCGTGTGCAGCTGCTTGAAACTCACGAGATGGTGATGAGAGTAATACCAAGCGATTTAGCGTGCTCGTACATCAGTCCCTCGACGTCTGTGGAAACGGCGGAGGTGCACTCGTCCAGCACTGCATAAGTTGGGCGGTGATAGCTTAAACACGTCAGCGGGCATCCTGCCTCGTAACAGTCGCAACTCACAAGAGGCGAGCCATGCCCATCTGTGGCTAGTTAGTGTATCAAGCACACCAGAACAACCATCAAATCCCTCACCCTTTGCTTCTCGCCACCGCTGTTGATGTTAGCTTTGGGACCAGTAACGTTACGCACGACAAAACATCCTTCCACTCCTTTCTGGTTCCCCAACCGCCCTCGCGGCCAGGAAGGTAGGCGAGGTGAACATGTTCAAGAATGCTCATCAACTCGCTGTCGGTTCTGCCTCGCGCCTTCATCTCAGCATAGGTGTGGGGGCTGAAATTAGCATGTGACCATCCTTCTTTGTGAGCTTGGGGCTGAAAAGGGCTCACTAGATAACCCTGTCACCAAGTTAGCCATTCGTCAGGCATGAAGTACTCACTGGTCACGCAGACTGCCAATGCAAAGGTAAGGCTTTTGAGGTAAGAAGAAGATGCCGCCCTCGCCGTGACTGGGGCGCTCCAGAAGACCTGACCAGGTTGGCCACAGCTCAGCAATGACACGTGCAATCGCGGTCTTTCCAACGCCGCTGAAATAACACGTCAGCCAACAATCCCTCTACACAAACACAATGCCACACTCACTTGGGACCAGTGATGAGGGTGTGCTCGCCCTTTTCGACCCGGAGGTCGAGACTGCGAATGAGTTCCTCTCCTCCGCGCTCCGCACCTGCTGAGCCACCAGCAGGAGCGACAATGGGAACACCCTTGAGAAGAACGTGGCTAGGGCCGATTGTAACACGGCCGTGCACGTTCGACAAGTCGTAGAATGACTGGTTTGCAGGCAGTGCCGCAGGACGGGGGTTCTTGGGGTAAATATTGTTGTCTAAAGCATGGAGAGAGGCGAGAAGGCTGTAGACGCGGCTAGTGTAGCCGGAAAGCTCTGCAAGCTCTTTGCCCGAGTACATGAGCCTGCCTCCCGCGTCACCAAGCGAAAGAAGAAGACGACGGTTGGACACGTAGCCTGTGAGAGGTCAGTAGTTGGCTCACGAGAAGCAGCTCAAACAGTCTACTCACTTTCCGTGCGTGAAGCCACCTCGTTGTGCACTGTGGAAGGGTCTGCGCTGGCTTGTGTGGAATGACGGGCGACGGGGAAGAAGACTGGAATGGACATGAGACCATATCCAACCGCCGACCAAAAGTACTTGATGACAAAGTCCTCCGTCATGCTAAACGGTTGGCATTGTGTCTTGTCATTTAGTTACTTACCCATAAGGAATGCGAACTTTGTAGACGGAATGGACATGCTTGGCGAGCTTCTGGTAGGCTGTCCAAAGGATGGAGAGCTCGCGCTTGCCACCATCGTAAAAGCTAGAAATACGTCAGCTCATCGTTTCCCTGTGACCACATCAACCGGCACTCACGCAATCTCTTCGCTGTCGCGGCCGATGCGTCCCAGCCCTGTCCGATACTCTCCTTCTAGGCGAGCCTCTGAGGCAGCCATACGACCAAAGGCTGGCGTGGCCTTTCGCAGAACCCAAGCTGTAAAGTAGTACTGGGCAAAGAGACCAGCGGTTCCCACTGGCCCCAAAGAATACGCCAACTGGGAGCTGAAAATGGCCATGTCGAGAAATGGCTTACCCATGTTGCCGCTAGGGAGGTGATCAGCCTGTGAAAACCAAGCATGCGTGATTGTTACTCACTAAAGCGCAGCAAGAGTGTCACAAAAGCGCGCCAGGTCGGTTGTGATAAGCCTGTATATTAGCCACTTGTGACAGAGCCCCATTTCTCACTGGTCCGCTCCTCCACTAGCGGTATCCGAAGCTTCGCTACCTTTCGACTTCGAGGAGCCCTTCACTTCGGGCAATGGAGGGGGGGCACCCAACCCCAAACCCAGTTTATAGTAGTTGAGGTTTTTGTTGCTAGAACGGGTCAGTTTGGGTAGACAAGTTGACGTTGCACTCACAGGTAAAGGTCGTGAATGTAACGGGTAAGGTTGGTGCGGAATGCCAACGCCAGTTTGTGCTCCAAATAGCGAATCATGGAGTTGGTGTAGGTGCTCGGCACGGCTAGCACGAACCACCATCCCAACCCACGAAGGAAGCCTTTGCCATCGGCAGACACCTATTGAGAAAGAGAGATGTAAGTGCCAAACAGGGGGTTAGAGAGAGATATACTTACAAGATCGCGAACAATACGACCATCCAATCGAGCGACAAGTACACTTAGATATGTGCGACCGACGAGGAAGAAAGTGTGAAGCAGTAAAAGAAATGCTTCCTTTCCTGTTGCACTGTTTTTCAGTCAGCGTCATGTTGTCCTAGTAAACCAGTCTATCCAACACACCTAGGGATAGCAACAGTCAAGACAGCACGAAGCATTTGCCAAAACCTTTTGTTGACGCCGAGCTTCTCGCCCGGCCGGAGAGGTGGGAAAAGCTCCTGATGCGCTGAATAGACCTCGGGGGCTGTGGGTGTGATGCGGACCTTGGAGATCTGGCCCCGATGAGGGACGAGGAGTGTGCGCGAACCGGAGGGGTCAGGAATATACTGGGAACATGTCAGTTTGGAGAGGGTGTATTGGATCACACACGAGGTCAACCATCTTCTTCTCCAGAGCCGGAGTGTTGCTTAAGCAGTCAGCACGTGGCTTCTCACTACGTTCTGCTACGAGTGACCGTACAGAGGGGTTTCCCGTTCACGTCGTTTGCGGGCTTCGCGAGTCTGGCGCCTGTTCTCGCGCCACGACTTGAGGGTCACGGCGTCGTTGACATGGGTGACGGAGGGCAATGACGTCGAGCGCACGAGGGCCAGGGCGACGACGAGCAGGAGGACTGCCCGACGGCGGTTTGCCTGTGGGAAGGAGAGCGATGGCACGCTCGTTACACTCATTGTGACGTGCGTGGATGTGAGATGTGGAGAATGGTTTGATGTTGAAAAGAGAAGCACATAGCGTTGGATGAAAGCGGCGCGTGTGTGCGCTTATTGTCGTCCATCACCGTATCACCGTCCGCAGACCCATGCACCCAACATCCACAGACGCTCCGCCAGCGCCGGTTATGACAGGCCCAGGTGGTTGCCGGCAGCAAAATGCGGCAATGTCGTCACTGAATCCTGGCGTCTCGTGGGGGCCCCAAGTGGCCACAGTGGAAGCACCATGGGACGGCAAGCACCGTCCGGGCGAGACGGCGCGCATGCGGCGCGACCACCAAAAACAAAAGCATCACACGCCCGCCGCACAGCACGGTACACGTTGCGCACGCTGCCCCCGCCCGCGCGCCCGCCCACACCGCCCACGCGAAACACGACACGTCCATCGCACCATCTTCTCCATCCACTATCCACAATGGCCGACAGGGAAACAACACCTACCGCCTCGGTCTCAAATGCGGCAAAGTACCGTGGTGCAGTTGTAGAGGTGTGTCCCCCCCCACCTCCCACCACCCCTTACTATCACGTTCAGACACTCATACACCACCAGGACTTGCAGCTTCCTCCCGCGTTCTGCGTTCCTCAAGATGCGCCGTTGTCGCTGGCTCTCGAAAAGGCATACGAGCGCGAGTTTGACCAGCTCCCGTCAGTTTGATTTGCATCTCTAGCATGTCTGATTATGGGTTGTTGACTGGTGGCCCAGCGTACTGAATGACAATCGCAAGCCCGTTGGCTACCTGAACGTGCAAGCTATGAAGCGCAAGTTCGAGAGCGGTCAAGCTGCTGAAGCCGATCCCATCTGTGGGTGTTGCCAGGCGATGAAGACATCTCGTATTGACCTACTTTCAGCCTCCCACACCACCCACTTCCCAATGACCTCCAAGGCGCACCCTTACACGGTGATTACACCTGACACTACACTCGAAGATCTTGAAGCGTTTTTCAATAGCCAGGGCGTCGAGTTTGCGCTTGGTGAGTTTCCGCGGTTGAAGCTGAGTGTTGACATGTGTCAGTGACCGATGACGACCGCAAATGGGTGCTGGCGGTGGCCACACGCTCGGACTTGGAGGTAAGCAACGGCATAAGGGATGCCCTTCTACGCAGCCGCTGTCATGCGACAAACCGTTCACGCTCTGACGCAATAGACGTTTGTCAAGCGCCGCGGCACGGCGTAAACGTTTGAACGGCGATATACCCACCGGCAGAGGGCCTAGATACAGAGCGGCCCCGGATCGTTTGTATCTGTTCCGTCAACAGAGAGAGAGATTTCAAACATAGTAGTGGATATTGATTTGTGCTCTGACATGCTCCCAGCCCAAACCGGCTATCAGAACACCTTCACGTCTGGCTCTGCATGCATATATATGTAGTCAGCCGCCTAGCTTTTCCTGTCGTCAGCCGATCACGAGCACCCGGAGGCCCAGAGGCCAGAGGCCAGCGGCCAGAGGCGTTATCACAACGCTGATCGTCAACACCTGACTGAGGCTTGACAGGCCACAGGCTTGTAATTATCGAAACGCTCCACAAAAAGCAAAGGGCTGGCCGCCACTCGGTGGCGGTGTGAGTGTGGAGCCGGCCTCGAATTCGCGGAAACCAATTCGTAGGCCATTTGGTCTATCGCTTTAAAGCAAATGGGGTTAAGGGGTATAAGGGGCCTCGGTTGTAATTGTTGGGCGTGCGCGGATGGTTTAAGGTCCGGACCGTGCCCTAATTATGTTCTGTTGAGTGTGGAGCCTGGGTGCTGCATCGACAAACTGCAGACTTTCCCTTCTCCCCCGGGTTGTTGAGACGCCCGTTTGCATATTGGAAGCACTACTGGATCTGCGCTTCCTTGTCACGGGAAGCCGATCCTCCCATACAGACTGGTCATGGGTTTAGTAGGACAAGTGGAAACGCCTCGTAAGGAGGACAGAGCACGCCACAAGTCTTGAGGCGCGCCGTTTCAAGGGAACGTGGAACAAGTGATCATGTTGACCTGTGGGTCCCATGTAAGTAAGTACATGCGCTACTGACTAAGGCATTCGCTTCCAGTGGTGTGGATAAGTAAGTGGGGTGATGCTCCTGTCTCTGCTGGAGCTGACGGCAAGTAGATGGCCTGGAGTAATTATCCCCCCGACGCCTATAATTTGATGATCGCAAGGCAAAGCTACGCTCACTACTCTGTCTCGGCAGCCACAAGGCCATGTGTGAGGAATGAACCGCTAGGGCCAAGAGGGCATGGGACCGAACACTTATCCTACAGGGATGAAGGGAAGCACCGGATGCGTGCACTGCACACACATGGTTCCAGTCGCCGGACCGACGGCACACCGACTGCGGACGTCTTTTGATGACTTGAGTCTTAACAAGAGGGGTGGGTGGACCAACCAAGCAAGCGAGCTTTATGGCCCTGGAACCCTGTGCTGTACCTTGTAAAGGGGTTTGACCGGCCAACAGGCGAGTGGTGGCTTTAGCCTCAAGCTCTGCGTGCCGCGCGTGCCACCCAGAGGCCACACTGCAAACGCTGGGCCCGGCCTGCGGCCGCATGTTCGGTTGCCCGCAGCAGCAGCAGTGCCAACATGCAACATGCGCCAGGGAGCATCGTCTATCCGGGGTCGTCCCTGGTGAGCCCATGGATGCCATGGACCCATGCCCCCCATGCATTTAACCAGCACTTACCGTAAGCCCAACTTTCTCGGCCCGGCCACGCCTTTGCTCTCTGCTGGGATCTCTGGATCTCTGGGCTGGCGCTCCCACAAACGGCCAGAGCGCTCCCAGTGCGCCAGCGCCGCCTGCTGCCTGCGCCGCCACGCTCGCGCTCCACATCTCTCTGTCTCAGTTACGTACGTGTTCCACAGGGAAGTGCCAATTGGTGTGGCCAGGGTGGTGGACGCTGCATCAGGGTGTCCACTCAAACGGCGCGTGCTACCCCCGCCTCGCCTCCTGCCGGCCTCTTGCGCGCAACGCTTGGCAGCCCGACCGGGGGCGGGTCTTCCTCTCCTAGGTCCTGGATGCCTGCTGAAAGGAATCCCCCATCCTCATCCCAGCAGTGACATCCGTCCTTTACATCGCCCAACTCCTGGTTGGACACCATCTCCAGTCCTCAGGACCTCTGATCACCAACGACCCTACTCTGGCCGCTGCGACAGCGTCTGGTATAACACTCGACAGCACAAGTGGCTCTTTCCCCCCAGCTTACAACACCCCTGTTACGAGCCCGCCCAACCATCCACCCACCCACCCACCCCAACAACACTCCCCTCCCACTGCTATCCGCTTACGACCACTCCATCTCCCCTCAACGTTCCATTCGTACCACCCCTCCTGCACTTACTGGGTGCGCAATGTCCCATTCTTCTGGCTTCTCGGGCTCGTCCCTCATTCACCTCAACCGTCCTGCTCAGCTGGGTTATGAGCCGTCGCCCGCTCTCGAAGTTGTTGTTCATGACGATGCCGACAACGAGGCTCCCGAGTCCATTGCTTGTGGGTTTCTTCTTCCCCCCTCCCTCCCTGGCTGACTTTCCAGCATCTCCCACTTCCTCTATCCTCCACAACGCTACTGTATTTTACCCTCCACCTGCCGGACCGAGCATGAAGCTCGACACAGCCCGGGTCCATCTCCAAAGACCTCACGCATTAAGGCGTGCCTCGTCATTCGGCCATATTTCGACAGTTTCAACCGTTAGCTCAAGCCCGGAACGCATCGAAGGATGCGTCGACCTCCTCCGCTCTGTCAACCCCTCTGTCCGCGTTGCCAAGGCTTCCAATGAATGGCAGGTGAGTGCAGTGCTTGCAGCACCCAAAAGGCCAAAAGGATGTGACTGACACGCGTCAGCCCGATGCCGACTCTGCGCTCTGCAACCACCCGTTCTGCTCAACCATGTTTGGCCAAACTACATTGTCCCTGGGTCCTCGCCGCCACCACTGCCGCCTGTGCGGTCTCATCTTCTGCAGCCGGCACTCGACTACCCGGTTGGCACTGCAGACCGTGGACTCTAAGAAACGACCCGTCATCGCATCCCTTCGCGTGTGTGACGGGTGCCGTGTCAACGTCGAGGACGATCGTGCTCGTCGACGCTCTAGCGATGCCACACCCAGCCTCGCCAGCTCTGAGGCTTCGGCCAATGACGATTTGTTTGTCAACCCAGAGACCACATGGGTGTCACCGCTCACTATGGGCCGCTCCTTGTCCCACACTGCTGTTGCGGACCTTCAACCGCGTCTAGCTCCCATTGAACACTGGATGGACCGCTCTGGTGTCTTGTCACTGTATCCTCTCGCCGTCAAACCCTCGCACTCTCGTCGTTCTGTGTCGCCTGCTGCCACCCGTGCTGTCGGACCCCTCTTCGCACCGACACTCAGCGAGCGTCGTTGTGCCCAGGAAAAGGAGATTGAGCGTCTGACTCTCCGTCGCCGGCGAAACGTGCACCTCTGGGTCTCGACACCTGTTGGAAGTGACGCCGAGTCAGAGGGTGACGACAGCAGCTCCATGACTGGCGCTGCTCCGAGTGGCACGAAGACGCCCCAGGAGCGCGAACTCGACTGGTCGACATTTTAGAACCTGGTTGCATCCTCTCCAGTGTTTTGGTTTGGGGACTGTGCATCCGCGCTGCTACTCCCCCTCCTATTCCCCCTCTCCTTCTCCTATATTTTAGACTAGATTAGACTTGTGTTTTCCTTGTGTCTTGTTGTTGGTACGATATGTGATTATGTGACACTCTCATTGCAGGCTGCAGCTCCCCGCAGGCCGCAGCTGCTCGTGTGACTGATCGCGACTGACCTGCCAGGGGTACTCAACCTCCGATCCTCCGACTTTTTGATTCCGCCGATGGATCCCGTCAACCTTGCGTCACCACCTCCACCAGCTGTCACCGGGTGGCAAACAGCACAACAACGGTCAGTCACTGGATATCACAGTTGCCAACTCACACTCTCGCCATTGGTTTTGTTCCCCTTACGCCGCAATGGCTGGCCTTTATCGTGCGTATTATATACTCCCTCAGCCATACTTATCCACTTCAGATGGGCACTTGCTCGAGTTTCCACTCATAAGAGTAGACAACTTCACCAAACCGCCCCCGACCGGTCAGCCCTGGCTACTGCCAGACCCCAAGAACCCCTCCTTACCACCTAGGCCCGCTCCCAATGCCCAGATCTTCCTCCTCACGCATATTCACACCGACCACTTGGAAGGTCTCAGCAATAAATTCAGTGGAAGAATTATCTGCTCTGCGGATACGAAGCGTTTGCTGTTACGTCTGGAATTCGAGCGCGATCGCCAGGACCTGCGTGATGGTACCACGGAAGTTATCCGCCGCAAGTACCCGGGTCTGGAACCTCGCCGCTACTCAGCAACATCGACTGCCGACGTCTTCGTGGGTACAAGAGATTGATACAGCGGCTGACTGTAAGCAAACTTTGAACTACAATGAGCCAACATCGTTTTCTTTGGGATCCTACCCCGACGGCCGGCCCTTCGAGGTGACAATCACCATGCTGGACGCCAATCATTGCCCTGGGTCATCCATGTTCATATCCCGAGCACAGAATGAAACTGACCCCCAGGTTTCTGATCACTTCCCCCGACACGGCTGTGCTTCACACTGGCGATGTCCGTGCAGATGGAAGGTTTCGCGACGCTTTACAACGCAGTCAAGTTCTTCAGCCGTTCCTGATGCCATGGTCGTTCACCTCACAGATCAATCCAAAAAAGCGACGTAGACTTGACCGAATTTACCTGGACACCAGTGCTCTGTAAGAATGATGATTTTTTGTGTTTGCTGACGGCAACCTAGACTCTGTACTGTCGACATGCCCAGCAAGGTTCGTCTCGGATTGCGTTGCATTGCGTTGCATGGACTGACTGAGGTACAGGAGGACGCACTCCAGGTGCTTGTTAAACAACTGTCCCTCTACCCCAAAGACACCATCTTCTTCTTTAACATTTGGACTCCGGGATGGGAAGAAGTAATCAAGTTCGTCGCCCAGGTGTTTCATGACAAGGTTGGCGCTTGGTTAGTGGCCTCGCGTCTGACATTAGGTTCATGCCGACCGTTACAAGCGCACGCTGTATATGGCTGTGGAAACAGACCCGTTCCTGTTCAATTGCACAACGACCGACGAATCGAGTACCCGGTTCCATGCTTGTGAGCGTTATGCCAGGTGTGGCAAGTGCGACAAATCCCTCAAGCCAACGCAAGAGACCGTCAATTCGAAGCAACCTGGTCTCATCGTTGAAGTCTCCATGACCGAGGTCGGTGCTGCTAGGTGCGCCGAATCCCACAGCAAATTCCTCGCGGACGTCGACAATATGAAAGCTGGCCTCAAAGAATGGCCAACCGAGATTGTAAGTTTCTCCTTTACATGATTCGGGCGCCGGGAACTGACCCTTCTCAGGAGGTCCCAATCGCTCGTCACGCCTCTTTCATGGAGTTGCGGGCCTTGGTTAATCTGTTCCGCCCACGAGCTCTCTCACCAAACACACTCATCGCCGATCGACAAGGTATTGACTACTTTTGGTTTGCCGACTTGTTTAGGGATGTTCTGCCAGACGAAGCGTACGAGTTGGGTCTTGCCGAGAGGGACTACTGGTTCTCGCGTCAACCGCGTTTTGGCCCCCAGTGGCTTGCAAGTTCCAAAGACGGCCCATTGATGCGTCAACTTCTTGGTCGATTCGGCTTCACGTTCCAAGGCAGCAGTATTCGTCTCAACACGTCTTCTGAAGGTAGCAACGACAAGCGTAAGACCACGAAACGGAGTTCTTCCGAAATGGAGCTGAACGACAAGGCTGAGACCCCGAAACGACATTCTTCCGAGATGAAGCTCCCCATCCCCGACGTTGTGTCTCCAACCGGCAAATCCTCGCAACGAGATTTCTCCTCCCCCTTCTCGCTTGGCAATAAGCGCCGCCGCCGCAAAACCTCGTTTCCAGTGAACATCGCCCACCTCAGCTCCCTTGCCCATTGAGGAAAGAAAAACGCCACACTACTGAGTTTGATGTCTGCTTGTGTTATTCGTGTGTTTGTACATTTCCCCGCTGCATATATGTAGTACAAATGTTACATGTCATTGCCAAGAACCTAATCACGGGAATTGTCGGCCTCGAGCAATCGGCATTGCTCTTCCAAGTCTTGGAACCACCGGTAGTCCTGTGGGTCAATATCTGCCGCGTACGTTACTTCAAACTGGAGACCAAACATACCTTGTTCTGATAACCCACGGTGTCCATCCACTCAGTCACCCTGTCCACATCCCTGTACTCTTTCGGAAGAGGGCCCCGCTGTCGTAATTTCCTAACCCGCTGTTGCGTCCTTGCACGACGTCGCTCGCGGTCTTGCCGGCGCACTTGTTGTTCCTCTGGATCCGATTCGGAATCAGGACCCGAGGAAGTGCTGGCCTCCGAATCACTTGGTACAGGCTTGTGCTTTGCTCGCAGGAGGTCACGGTAGTAGCCGCATATCCGATGGTACAGATTGTCCTCCCAATGACACAGAGCATGGTATAGCTGAGCTATTGTCTTACAATGCCGCCCTGGTACGTCAGCTGGTTGCGCAGTTCGATGCGGGACTCCAGTACCAACCCATGTGCATTGGGTCCAGCTCTTCGTCATCGCTGTCACTGTCATCCACCATCTGATGACTATCCTTGTCGTATGGGAAGCCACCGAGCGCAACCTGATTATAGCAGTGTTGCTTGTGTCGGTTACAGGCGTCGCAATGGTCCTTTGGCTGGTCGAGCTGAGTGACCTGATCTGTTAGTTGACCGGCGCTAAAATGGCGGCCAGAACGTAACTCAGAGGTTGGATCTGGCAGCACAAGTGATGCTCACCAGGAAGTTGGGAAATGTCTCCAGGTCATGAACTAACTCGAGCTTCCAAATCTGGCTGCGCACTCGTAAATTCTTGAAACCATCGACACGAGAGCGCAGTTCTTGCAAGGGTTGAAGAAAATACGTCCTCTGTTCACCTTTCAACGGTAGGACTCGAGGTCCCTTGATTGCCAGCAACACGAGATATTGAAAGACCACCTTGAACTTGAATTCGGTTGTCTGGGCAGCATTGAGGGAGAACTCGGCGGGCATCACACCTTCAGCTAGGGATTCGCCGCTGTCTGTGAGGAAGTCCTGGCTATCATCGCTGTCGTCGCTGTCAGAGTCCTCATCGGACGAGGATTCCTCTGTTGATGATTCAACGATCCCACGGCGTTTGTTTTTCAGTTTGCGCAGCTTGCGTTGGTATGAGGTTTCTCCCCGATGGCGCAGTCGCGTGTCCGACTGGAAGCGCTCAGGCTCGTCCATCTCAATTTCTGCGGCAATGTCGCCGTCGTCTTCGTCGATGTTTCCCTCATGGCGTGACCTTCCCTTGGCCTGTCCCTCGTCCTTCCTCCTGTGACGTCCCTTCTCACGCTTCGTCTTCTTCGCCCCGTTGTTGTCAGGCCGCTTCATGGATCTCTGCTTCAGTGGCTTCCGGCGAGGCGGCGCTGGAGAAGACGACATGGCAGGCGGGGAACACACATGTGGGATAGGTGACGCCGGTGGCGAGGCGCTAACAGGTCGCGACGGCATGGACTGGGAAATCGGGAATGCAGCGGGGGAGGTCGTGCGCGGAGAGGAAACCAGCTCCGGACTGGGACTGTTTTTCGCAGTTGCGGGCGGCGTAGATTGTTGCTTCAATGGTGGTGATGCCACTGGGTCCGATAATGTCACAGGGACTTTCAAAGGAGGGGAAGCAATCCTGGCCTTTGGTACAGTTGCAGGATCCGAGTCGTAGCGGAGCAGGGGCGGCGGCGGCGACGGTGTACAGTTCTTTCGCGTCCCAGTAGTCGCATTGTAAGTTCCCGGGGCTGTCAACAGTCTGCTTGACCGGGGGCTAGATAATCTTGCTGAAGATTCCAAAGGCTCCAAAGACTTCCTCGCTGCTTGTGTTGCAAACGACCTCCTTGAAGTGAAATCCACATAGCGGGCTTTGGCAGCCTTCGACAAAACCGGGACGTCGACGTAAGCTGTCAATCGACGCCTCTTCTTCAAGTCTGAGCTCTTGTTGGAAGCTGCAGCGACCAGGCGCCGTCAGCGTCGAGTTCCCTGCGAAGATTCGGCAACACCATCGGTTGTGTCATGGAATGGTGACGCGGCACTGCCCATCGTAGCCAAGCTTGAGGGCGTCGCGTTTACTTTGCGTGGGTATGTCGAATCCTCAGGGAATCGAGTAGAGACTATGTGATCCCCCCGGATCGCTTGAAGTGGAAGGCGACGTCGTCGGGATGGCAGGACGTAGTTGATGGATGGACAGATTGAGAAGTGCGCAATTGCCAGCCAGGCTAAGAGTTCATTTGATGACGGGTGAGTGGAGGCCGCAGCATGGGTAAACATTATTACGTAACGGGATGGCAATGCATTTATGTCGTTCTTTTGCTACTTTTTTGGTTGCCACTCTCTAACTATAGGGCCAAGTGAACTACGGCAAGAGCAGCAATTCCCAGGATACCAAATGTGATGGGGGTGTGGGCGTCGGCAGAGCTCTTGGCAGTGGTCGAAGCAGAAGCAGTTGACGGGGTCGAAGTCTGCGAAGCTCCAGCCGTGGCAGTGTAAGAGGCAGCCGTGTCGTTGGAGCACGTGCGGTTCGAGGGCAGGGTGTAGTTGGACAGGAGAACCAAGTCGGTACATTGATAGAGGGGGCCATCACCCTGAGCATTGCGTCAGCAAAGGAAGCGAACATGGCAAAACTCTGTTGCTCACGCCGTTGAAGAGAATCTGGAGAGTGACAAGGGAACCATTGGTGAGGCCAAGGCCGAGAGCCTCGAGGTCGATATTCCAGCAATCCTCGCCCTCGGACACCTAGGACATGTCAGCAGTGTTGTGGCAAATGCTACATTCAGCAAGAAGGAGAGACACCTACTGGGAACCAGTTCGTCACGGCAGGAATGTTGGTACCGTTGCTGGTGGTGTTGAAGTCTGAAAACGATGTGGGGTTCTCGCTAGTCGAAAGCATGGCATACACACTTGCCTGGGTGTGGTGGCTGTCGATCCAGATGGGACCTTTGCCAAGAGGGAAAGGCTGACGAGCTTCGGTGGTGTTGAAACCGCCACAGAACTGCTGTCAAAACATGCTTCTTGCCGTCTAAACACAGGTGCGACTCCTAGGTGCATGAACTCACTTGCGGCTCGATATCCTCGTCAAAGCCACGCGATTCCTGGGATTGTCAGTCCCCAGTTTCAGGCATTCTTACCATACCGGAAAGTCGAGAGTAAAGTGGGCAAGAACGGTCGACGCCAGCAGCGAAGAGGTGAGCAGAGTCGTCGTGAGCGAGACCATTATGACCGATTGAAAGTACGGCGCGCAGGGTTATGCTGATAAAGAAGCTTAAAAGAGACGCGCCATGTGGACGAAGGGACCCTCCTATATATGTCAACGTATGGCGGCTGGCTGCATGAGGCATTGCATGTTCGTTCGCAACCGGAGCCACACGCGCTGGACAACTGGTGCGGAGGTAGGTGCTGATTGGGCGGTTGTCGCGTGTCGGCCGCCTCAGGCACAGAGGAAGTCGCTCGTTGACATGAGCCATTTTGACGCGTCCCATTGTGGCCGTCGGTGGGATCGGTGGGGCGCGGCCTTTTCCTGGTCCAAAACATGCCAAAAATGCCAACGATGGTTTTTGCCGCGTGCGGGAAAGCGGAAAACCCTCTCATAACCGATCAAACTCTCGCAATCAAATCCGCAAACGAGTGCGTTTTGGCGATTAGGTACATACAGTATGTAACTGTGACAGCGTGAACGTGACTTGCACAACTGCCACCGTAGCCTGTGAGCAAGCCAACAGCGACGTTGCAAAGGCGGAAACGGCAACATCGTGTTGTCCCGCGTACCCGAACAACCTGCTGAACGAAAGATAGGAGTGACGGAGACAGGTAAGAGCTGTATGGTCGTGTACAGTGTGCATAGTCCATGAAGCGTAGGAGGGGCGTTAAATCTAGCCAAACTAGTAGTGGGAGTTGTACTCCTGGCCATTAAACTGGTCATAAGAAGAGGACTTGGAGTAGCCCTGGTTGTTGCCGTACATGGCGTTGCCGCCATAACCACCGACAAGGGAGCCGCCGGCACCGCGGAAGGCCGATTGGGTATCGTCCTCGGCATACTCGGGGTTGGGCTGCACAGATGTCAGTTCAAATGGAGCGGCAAACAGGGGGGGGGGGGGGGGGGTAGGGTGCCACACTCACAGCAAGAAGAGGGTCTTTGACTTCCCACACGGCGACCTTTGAGCCAACAGAGAACTCGAGGTCTTCCTTGGTAATGGCTGCGTGTCAGCTCGGGATCAAGAGCACGCCCACTTACAATCCCAGTATTTGTAGACCATCATAACGGTGAACAGCATGCAGAGGGTGAAGAAGAAGACGCCGTCGATGTAGTGTGACACAGCGTCACAGATCTCGATGCTGAAGGCGAGGAGGAGAATGCAGCCACAGGCGTAGAAGCCAACACCGAAGACAATGTCGCCAATCACCCAGCGGTCGTCAAGCGTACGAATGACGAGGATGAGTTGGGAGACAATGTAAATGACGGCAACTACCAAGGGGTAAACGAGGTAGGTGATGAACAGGCCAACTGGAGCCGTGGCGCTGAGACCACCAGTGTTCTTGAATGTGCCAACTGCAACGACAAAGCAGATTGCCCAGACAACAAGGCAGCTAAGACGCAGAGACTAATTGATGCTAGTCAGCACTAAAGCATGGGGAGGGGTTCAAAGCTGTCAGCTGTCGCCACACGTACCCAAAGGCTCACGGGCGTGCCGTCCTCGTAAAGCTGGAATCCAACAAAGCCGTTGACCAGGAGGCACCAGTAAAGTGCACCAATTGCGCCGGCGTAGACTCCAGCAAACCATGGGTAAACGGCGTTGGAGGTTGGGATGACGGACGAGTCGAGAAAGATGGCCAGCAGCGAAACAAACATGTAGATGTAGAAGAAGAGCACAATCTCCTTGCGTCCAATGGCCGTGTACTTTGACCGCACGTGGAACAACATGATGAGCGTCATGCCCAGCGCGGCAATGTGCACAAAGCAGGTAGCTACACCATGTTAGCCATGCCAAGGAAGGAAGTGGAGTCTCGAGGTTGGCTCTCACCTGGCTGGAAAATAATCTGGCTGCCGAGCTGGACATTGCGCGCGTAGCATGTCGGTTCAATGCCCGACTCGCCGAGCATCGGGCAGACAACAAGGGAGGCGCGCTCGCAGACCCATTCAAACGAGCCAAACTTGAAGGAGGCGGTGGAGAGCGACATGTCGATGGACTGACTCCGCGGAGCGGGAGGGATGGAGGTTGAGACAGGCGGTGTAGGTGTGTGTGTGACAAAGTGTCAGAAAAGCGTGGGCGAGGTCCGGCCTGTGATACGCTTGTTATGGGGGGAAGGGGGGGTGAGGCGGGTTGTGTTTGCGAAGAACCGCTCGAGCAAGGCTGGTGTTGCGTTGCGAGGGTGTTGGATGAAGACGGCAGTGGAGAGTGGGTAGAGGAGGTGTAGAGAGAGAGAGAGAGAGAGAGAGAGAGAGAAGGAGAGAGCAGCGAGAGAGTGTGCGGTGTCGGTGAGGGATCACGGGAGCGAACGTGACGAGCACAGAGGCCAGAGGCCAGAGGCCGCACCCACAGAGAGTCAAAGGCAAGGCAGCAGAGACCCAAACAAGGCAGCAGCAGCGCCACCAAGCGGGAGCAAAATCCTCTCGGGTGGTTAAAGGGGTGCGGTACGCGTCCCTGAGAGGGAGTCTGGCACACCGCGGCGCGGTTTCCTCGCACGCCTTCTGGAAACGGGCATGCAGGCATGCAGGCATGCAGGACGGTATAGGCATGCGACTGACTAGGCAGGCTCGCGCAACGGCAGCTAAGGGCGGCACCCCCACGGCACACGCACCACAGCCGGCGGCAGCGGCAGCGGGACCACACACGCCCCAAAAGGATCCGCGCCCTGCGTACACACGTACCCGCTGCCCCACCCGAGACGGCCACTGCCACTGGCCACTGGCAGGCCATGGTTCAAAACCACCCCTATCTCGTTCATCTCTCTTCTTCCTCCTCGTCCTCCTCCGCTTCTTCTTCCTCCTTTACCCCGTTTAGAACCTATAGACCACAATGTCCGCCCGTGCCGCCGAAGACCCCCAGCACGACTCGAAGAAGCAGAAGACCACCGTTCAGAGTAAGTGTCCAAGTGTCCCTTCGTCACCATTTTCCACTACTACCAAAGGTCGTTATCGCTGACCCCAATGTCCAGAGAAGGTGTGCCTCATGTCAGTAATACATACGTCAGGCTATTCTTATTACAGAGACTCACTCCTTCCCTAGCGTTCACGATGGTTGGGGTCTTTCCGACAACGAGAAGGGCAACGCCGTCTTCCACGGTGACTCGACCAGCATGGACGCCATTCGCGACAACCACAACTTTGTTCCCCTTGCCGCCCACGGTCTCGCTGTCGGCCTCAAGGATGGGCTTATGGGAAACTCGGAGGTTGGGTAGGTAAACAGAAACTGCCCGCGCTGACCGTTGAGCCACTTGAACATTGGCGCTGGCCGTATTGTTTGGCAGGACATTGTCCGCATTGACCAGTGTGGGTGATGGCAGTGGCTTTTGTGGGCAGACAGCACCACTAATCTTGCCTCGCAGCCATCAAGACGGACGAATTTAAGAACCAGCCCTCTATTGTCGCCTCGCTCAAGCATGCTAAGGAAACCAACGGCCGTCTTCACCTCATGGGTCTCCTCTCGGACGGCGGTGTTCACTCTCACATCACCCACCTCCTGGCTCTTGTTCGTGCGGCCAAGGAGCAGGGTGTTCCCCACGTCTACATCCACGCCTTTGGTGATGGCCGTGACACTGCTCCCAAGTCAGCCACCAAGTATGTCCAGGAGCTCCTTGACGCTCTCAAGGACATTGGTTGCGGCGAGCTGGTCACGTTTGTCGGCCGCTACTACGCCATGGACCGTGACAAGCGTTGGGACCGCGTGAAGGTGGCCGTCGATGCCCTCGTCCAGGGCGAGGGTGACAAGGCCGACGACCCGGTCAAGGCTCTTGAGGAGTCGTACGCCAACGGTCTCTCTGACGAGTTTGTCAAGCCCCTCATCTTTGGCGATGCGTCAACTCGTATCCAGGGTACGTCTTTTTGATCATGCGCTGGTGTGGCGGCTCCTGCTGATAAATGTATCCAGACAATGACACCGTGTTCACGTACAACTATCGCTCAGACCGCATGCGCGAGATCACCTCGCTCTTCGCCTTTGAGGACAAGCCCATCGATGTCGAGATCCCCAAGGGCCTCGTGAGCATCTCAAACCACCTGCGGGAAGCTGACAATGCAGAACATCACCACCATGTCTCGCTACAACCCGGAGTGGACCCTCCCCGTCGCTTTCCCTCCTGTGTCCATGGACAATGTCCTGGCAGAGTGGCTCGGCAAGCAGGGCGTCAAGCAGATGCACATTGCTGGCAAGTTTGTCCTTTTCAACATTATGCTTACAGTTGCTCAGAAACTGAGAAGTACGCCCACGTCACCTTCTTCTTCAACGGCGGTGTGGAGCAGCAGTACACGGGCGAGGAGCGTGGCATGGTGCCCTCTCCCAAGGTGGCTACCTACGATAAGCAGCCCGAGATGAGCGCACAGGCTGTGGCCGACAAGGTCGCCGAGGTCGTCAAGACCAACGAGTTTGAATTTGTCATGTGCAACTTCGCGCCCCCCGACATGGTGAGAAGAAGCGCGTGAGACCGTCGCGCTGACCACCTTATAGGTTGGTCACACTGGTGTCTATGACGCTGCCGTCAAGGCCATCTCTGCCACCGACGCTGCTGTGAAGACCGTCTACGATGCCTGCGAGGAGGCTGGCTATATCCTTTGTATCACCTCCGACCACGGCAACGCTGAGCAGATGCTGGACCCCGAGACTGGAAACCCACACACTGCCCACACCACTAGTGAGACTTGAAAGTGACGCTTAATTTCGCTGACTCTGTAGACCCTGTTCCCTTCATCGTGACTGGTGAGAAGGGTCTCATCAAAACCGATGTTACCGACGGTGCCCTGGCGGATGTGGCGCCTACTATTCTGGCTATCATGGGTCTTCCCCAGCCTGACGGTGCGTTGGCTGACCAGCTTCAAATCACTGACACACCACAGAGATGACCGGCAAGTCGATTGCAAAGTAAAACCTGCAGTGGTCTCCCTTGATAGCTAGACCTTGCAGACGAATATGGATACGGATATGAATTGTCTCCATTGACCACTGGTTTGCATTGTGATCATATGGATCAATAAGTTACGAAATTGCCATCGCTCCCCAATGATCTATCTGGGTGCTCGACGCAGTTGAAAAAAGCTGTGGCTCTCGTTCGTTTTCTCCCTGTGTTCCAGAGCCTGCCAAATCCGCCCACGAACGCGTTTTCCATTTCCAGATTAACTTGTTCAATTGTTAGGCGGGCACTTAGAATTCCTATTGCTTCCTGGGCCCGCACAGTTAGCCCACTTGTGGCTAGTGAGTGTGGGCGAGTCACGGTGCCCGGTATAGTTTCGTCTCCACGCTATGGATGGATGCTTCATTGTTGCAGACATGGCTGTTGTGGTCGGGACGGCCTCCTCTTGACCTCGGCCTCCTCTTGGCGTCGGCAGCCGTGAACGCCAGAGGCCCCGGCGACCCGGAGAGAAGGAAACTCGAAACGCATCCCGAGATCACCCAGGCAAGACGTCGTGTGCCCTTTGCGGCTTGGAGCGAGCACGGGCCACACGTCAGCTGACGTAAGCATCATTATTGCCTCCACGGCGCACATGCGGACGTGTTGTCGTCATTCAAGTAGCATTGCCTTATGGGTTCATGGCCTTGCCTCGACCCTGCTCCCCATGTCTATAACCCTGCGGTCCAAGAGGTCACCTCAACCATCCTCGACCGGTCCACCAGTCTACTCAGATTCTGGTGACGACTTTGCGACCCCCCTGCGGTTGGATTTCAACAAAGCCAAGTCGACCGACGTGGCAATCTCGCCGCTCAAGCTCGACACACCTCGCCTGGTGATAACCAAGGACGGCAGCCCCAGCCCCACCGATTCTCCCGAACGTCCTAGTGCAACCTCAAGATCCAGCGTCCTCAGACTCGAGTCAATCATGTCGCGGGCCGCAGAAGACACAGACCTTTCGCTCTCCATTCCGCAAGGAGGGGATGGTCGATATGACGGCAGAAGCGTCCATCGCGACTCCATCGTTCAACGTGTGGCTGAACGTCTAAACTCACCCAATGGCGATGGAAAGAAGAGTCGTTCCAAGCGATCGCGCCGCGCTTCGACCTCGTCTGCCATTTCTCAAGGCAACACTATTGCTGCTGCCTTGGCAAAGAGTAGTGTGCAGGTCGTCGCCCCTGCTCCGGTTGAGGACATTGTCGCTCGACCGCCGCTGGCCGGGCAGACGCGAGCTGTCTCGACTGGTCGTTCGCCGTATCTCATCCGCGCCCACGACATGGACAGCGACGACGGGTACGGTTCCGAGGACGACAGTGAGGAAGCCATCGATGTGGAAGGCATCGACCATCTTCCTGTAACTGGGTTTGCGGTAGCAAGTAATCGGCGTAACACGGAATTCCATGCTCTATTCCCAACAGTCGATGAGGGAGACTACTTGATTGAAGGTATGTGCACCGTAATCGCCTTGGGCCACTGGTTGACTCTTCATCCAAGACTATGGCTGCGCGCTTGCAAAGGACATCCTTGTCCATGGGCGTCTTTATGTTTCCGAAAACCACATTTGCTTTCACTCCAACCTCTTTGGATGGGTCACCGACGTAGGTTTTATGAGGGTGGTAAATGCTGAACTCTCAGCTAGTGATTCCATTCTCGGACGTTCAAGAAATCGAGAAGAAGATGACAGCCCTTGTTATCCCCAACGCGATCGGCATCGTCACTGGGAAGGAGAGGGTGAGTTGCTCGCTTGTGACCCGATCCTCTGCAACTAAGCTGACCTGGGCAGCATACATTCGCGTCACTGATCTCGCGCGATTCCACTTTCGACGTTCTAATGAACATTTGGCGTATCGCACACCCAGGTGCAGTCATGGCTCCTTCGGCTGCAGTCAACAACGCCTCGCGACCCCCGTCGATTGTCGATACCGCAACTCCACACGTCACCACCGTTCACCGCTCGACTGAATGTGCTTGCGGTAAAGGGGGGAAACATTACACTGAAACCGCTCTCGACACGACTTTCCCTAGTTCACCAGAGAAGGTCTTCAACCTCATGTTCAACAGTGGCTGGTACCGAATCTTCCTCTCAGACAGCCAGAAGTTGCGAGGTGAGCCCAGCTATATGAACTAACGCTAACTGTAGACATCGAAGCTTCCGATTGGCATCCGGACAAGGATGGCAAGCTCACTCGCTCCATGTCGTACATTAAGCCGCTGAATGGATCAATTGGACCAAAGCAAACCAAATGCCATATTGTGGATGAGCACGACCACTGTGACTTTGAAGACTACATCTCAATGGTGACGACAACACGAACGCCAGACGTTCCCAGTGGTGGCGTGTTTAGCGTCAAGACCCGCACCTGCTTTACCTGGGCAGGGGCATCCTCCACCAGGGTGAGGGTCACGACCGAAGTGGAGTGGACTGGCAAGTCATGGGTCAAAGGTGAGTGCTGCCTTGCCTGTTGGACGGGTGACTGATTCATAGGCATCATCGAGAAATCGGCAATCGACGGGCAAAAGCAGTACCACGAGGACCTTGCGTCGGAAATGCGTGCCCACATGAAGGAGCACCCTACCGAGTTCGCAGTGGCCGGTGCTGAGAATGCCGAGGCCGCCGAAGAGGAGGAAGCCGGCGGGCAAGGCGTTCCATCGCCAACCGAGGCTCAAGAGTATGCCGCTCAGAACCGTCGTTCACGTCAAGAAACCGACTATTGGATGCTTCAAGGTGCCTTTGACTCTGTCTTCTCTGGCCTTAAATCGATTGCCAATGGCATGGGTACTGCCGTCAACACGATCAGTGATCTTTTAACCGATGCTCCAGTCAGCAAGACGGCGCTCATGGCAACATTCATTGCCATTCTCCTAGCTTCCAACATTTACACCTATCTCACAAGGCCCATCTCTCAGCACAAAGTCAAGCGTCTGCAGCGATTTGGACCATCCGAGGAGGAAGTAACCGAAGCAGTTCGACTTATCATGGCCAAGCGCGTTGCTGCAACTCCAAAGGAGGAAGTGGCTGAACTGGTTCGACTGCTGGACGAAATTGACTCGCGGTCCGCAAGCCTCCGCAGCTCGCTGCTTCAGTTGGATCACCCCAACAGCGGCCGTGATGGCCTTGACGACCTTGATTAGTACCTTCTCCTTCTATGCCCCGTCCAATATACCTGTGTTCTACATTTTTGTACTACGGGGAGCATATATGACGATGCACACCACCTTTTTGAATGTGCATGTAGGCTGCGACGACCAGGGGAGCCTTCCTCCTGTGGCTGCCCCCCAGCCACCGGCCACGGAGACATTGTTTTGATTTCTATTGATTCCGCCGACGCGTCGAAGTGGGGACGCGCGGTACTTTAGTGTCCCTGACCGCCCTCGTCAACTTCCAATCTCCCTCATCCCCCTCTCCCTCCCTCCTCCCTCCTCCCACCTTCCCATCTCCTGGTCCTTCATAGAGCCACCATGAGAGACCGCAGCGCTGTTCAGCGTACAGGAACAACCGCGCCAGCATACGCTGTTGACCTGACGCTGGACTCAGACAGCGACGCCGAAGTCGTGCCCCTGGGCAGCAGCAATCGGCACAACAAACGCAAACGCGTGAGTCGGAAACTGTACGAACGTCTCTCACATACCAGTCCCCAACCCCAGATGAAGCCGGATCTGAGAGCGATGGCAGTGCCCCAGAGCTAGGCGACGAGGAGTACGAGATTGACTATATTGTCGACTCGCGCTTTCGCGCCTACCGTGGCAAGGCCACTCTGGAATATCTGATCCATTGGAAAGGTTATGGTGTAAAGGACCGTACCTGGACACTCGCAGACCAGCTCGACGATGACGACCCACCTGTGCTCGACTTCTATAGACGATGTCCTGGAAAGCCTCGTAAGACCCAGCGCACGCTTCTGGATGTCCTCGGGAAACGCCCTCCCAATGCCAAGAAGGCTGAAGTGAAACCCCGTCCTCCCAAGCGCACCGCACAGCCCACGCCTAAGCGCGCCAACAATGACAACCGCTTAGAACGCGACGACCGCTCAGACAAGGAGAACTACCGCACTTCGTCGAAATCACTGCGCGTGGAGTCGGACGACGATTTTGTCATGTCGGAGGGGGTCAGTGAAGACGCCGCCAGCCTCCACTCGGACCCCGAGGAGCCTGAATCGAGTGTGGCCTCTGCAGATGAGGTCGATGACGGTGAGTCTTTTTGTGTGGTTGCATTTCTCACGCCAGAACCCAAGCAGCCTGCCAAGAAGATGAATGGAGGCTGGGGCAACCGTATCAAGGGAGTCAAGAAGGCTGCCGTCAACCTGTGAGTTTCCTATCACAACCCCGCACAGTGCCAATGGAAGTGGACACTTCAAGACTGGTGTTCTCCCTCTCGAAATCAAAGCCGATGGAAAGGGCTTGGCCAAGAATATGAGTGAAGACCTACCGCCCATCAGTGACATTGAGGCCATGTTCGCGCACCTGTCGTCAAGGGTGAGGATACCAACCCGTGCTAATGGGTATGCTAACCACCTAGCTCCCGGCCATTGCCAAAGTAGCCGAAAGGCTCAACGGTCGCAAGCTGCGTGTGGCGACGATGTGCTCGTAAGCTGCAACCATATCTTGTCCGTGGCGTTACTGACAAGTCAGCGGCACCGAGTCCCCTTTGCTAGCCCTTGGGATGATCGCTAGGGCGGTCAAGGAGCAATACGACGTTTCCCTCCTCTTCGAACACGTATTCTCGTGTGAAATCGAGCCCTTCAAGCAGGCCTACATTGAGCGCAACTTTGCCCCGCCCATTCTGTTCCGTGACGTGACGGAACTTGGTCGCAGCAAAGCTCACACGGCCTACGGTTCTTTGGTCAAGGTCCCAGGCAACGTTGACGTATGTAAATTGACAACGTTGAAAGGCTGACAAGACAGATGTTGATTGCCGGAACATCTTGCGTCGACTATTCTGGTCTCAATAACGAGAAGCAGGACATCGATGCCAACGGCGAGTCGGGTCGCACTTTCCGCGGTATGCTTCAGTGGGTCAACAAGCACCGACCACCCATTGTCATCCTGGAAAATGTTTGCAGCGCCCCATGGGATAAGGTGGTCGAGTATTTTGCCGAAATCGACTACGACGCGCAATACCAGAGACTTGACACCAAGGAGTACTACATTCCCCACACCCGCACCCGTGTCTACCTGTTCGCCACTCCAATGGACAAGGACACTTCGCACCTACCCGAAAAGTGGGCTACAACGGTTCGAGACCTTCGACGCCCTTGGTCGTCTCCCTTTGAAGCCTTCCTCCTTCCCGCAGACGACACCAACATTCATCGTGCCAGGCTCGATCTTGCTGCCGCCAAATTCTACAGGGACGGAACCCAGCGCAAGGCCACCGACTGGGGTCGATGCGAGTCTCGTCACGCTCGCGCTCGCCAAGAAGAAGCACTCGGTATCCTTCGTCCTCTAACATCCTGGCAGGAAGCGGGCGTTTGCAAGGGCCTAGACTGGACGTGGAACGACTGGCTGCTGTCCCAGACAGAGCGCGTTCTCGATCTACTCGAGATTTCAACTCTGCGCATGGCTAAAGACGGCATTGACGCGGGTTACAAGGCATGCATCTGGAACGTCAGCCAAAACGTTGATCGACAAACTGGTTCCTCCAAGACTGCACTTGCTCCCTGCCTCACTCCCAACATGATTCCTTGGGTCACAAACCGTGGTGGTCCAGTCACTGGCCGCGAGGCTCTGGCTTTACAGGGTATCCCTGTCCGCGAACTTCTGCTCACCAGCGAGAGCGAGGATCAGCTCGCCGACTTGGCCGGCAACGCCATGACATCTACGGTCGTGGGTGCTACCATGCTCGCCGCTCTTCACCTGGCTGTGAGCAAGCTTCCAAGTGGCGCCTCCGACAACTCGGAGCCAGATGAGATGGACGCCGCCGCCGCGAACATTGTTTGCGAACACGACTTGCATGAGCAGGCTCTCGATCTCGCCAAGGTCGACAGCGCCGACCTCGTTCAGATTCTGCATGCTGCGCAGCGTAGCTCGCGCCACTGCGAGTGCGAGGGTCAATCAGGAACGGCTTCATCGGCTGTCGACGAGTGTACTGCATGCGGTTACCGGTCGTGCAAGGCGTGCGGTGGTCGCCCGGAGCACGTTTATGCGACCTGCAATACCAAGCGGATGGAGCCCGCCGAGTTTGAGAGGACCTTCAAGGACCTTTTGCCTATGCGCGTCACTATTGCCGGTTTGACCCAACAGTCTCTTTCTGCTGCGCGGGAGGCCGCCAAAGGCAGTGGCAAGGGCTCCGTCAAGTCATCCGACTGGGATTTATGGAGCAATGCTGTTCTGGACGCCGTCGACAACGTCGAGTTCCGCTTTAGGTTCCTCAAACGTCAACAGACTTGGACTGCAGTGTACGAAGCTCCCTTTGCCACTCTCGACCTGTGTTTCAAGAGCCCTACACCAGAATGGCGATTGACCGTCAAAGCACCAACATCTGAGCCTGTCAAGAGCCGGCTGCGCGAACTGGTACTCCACCCGGTTGCGCGCATGCGCCTCAACGTCCAGGGCAACAACGTCCTCAGCGGCAAATGGGAAGTTTGCATCCCCTCAGCCCAGACCTTTGACATTGAGATTGCTGGTTGTGGCGAACTCGTACCAACTTGGCAAGCCGCCCTCGGACTGCAGGGGACTCTCGAGGGCAAGACTAGGTGGTCCCAGATCCGAGTCACCGTCCCGTCTGCAGCCGATCGCGCTTTGGACCGCGAGTTGTCCGGCGTCTACAGCCTTCTTCCTCTATGCGGACAAGCTCAAAGCTCTCTCCACATTCAAGAGTCGAAAGACACAACCCAGCCCCCCCTGTTTCTCTTCCTTGATCCTACGAGGTGTGGCGATGCTTCAAAAGACCATTTCGTTTTCTCAACTTCAACCGAGCGCCTAGACTACTACACCGAACGTGATACGATAGCCTCACTCAGCAACAAGTGGCGCGAGTCAAGCAAGCCCAAAGAGACTGTCACCCTCAACACTCGCGGCAGCTGGACAATCTGCCGTACAGTGCGCCTAGCCGCCGTTAGCGGTCAAGCCCTTGCAGTTGGTGACTCACCTGCACACTGCGACGAAGCTACGTATGCCATCCCGACATCACCAGAGGCCATTTCGTTGGCCACACGGGACTGTACCCAGGCGCCTGCTATCCTGTCTGTTCGCGTCCCCCTTGACGCTGCCCATTCGGAAGACATGTGGCAGAAAGGCAGCTGGGGAGAGGTCGATCTTCAACACCATGGCAACGGCACGTTTGCCAACTTGGCTTGGGTCACAGAGCGATTGCCTCTTCTGGATGGGTTCTCCTCTTGGAATCGCTTAAATGTGACTGAGGTAGGTCTCTCGCGTGTAACGCGGACGGGCCCTAACGGATACAGACGGCTGGTGCGGCTTGCGACCACTGTGCCCCGCTGCCACCTACCATTCACTGGATCAAGCAGCCTGGCAAGTTGAACAAGAATGGTGGCAAGACCAAGAGCACCATCATGCCATTTGAGGACAGGCTGGAGGCTGGTCGCTACGAGCATGTATGTCTCGTCGAAATCACCAATGTTTTAGGGCTAACGATCTCCGCAGGCCTTGAAGAATCGCCCCGCTCCCTTTGTCCTTCAGCTGCGACTTGATGATGACATTGGCTCTTTCCGCATTGGCCTCAACGCTACATCACTTGCCCACCGTGCCCTGGCCAGGCTTCCGAAGAACGACTCAAAGGGCCGGGTGCAAATGTCCTGGCGTCTCACTCCTGGGCAAGTTGTCGACGTACCGGAGCCACCCCGAGTGTTTGTTCTGCCCAGCAATAAGCGCGATCCGGAAGCTGCCACGCCGAAAGATTTCCTCCTGCCCCTCCGTCGAGAGCAACGACGTTCCCTGTCGTGGATGCTTTCGCAGGAGCGCGCAGAGGGCAAGTCTCACACTTTTGTTGAGGAGGAGATTTCTGAAGCACTTCTGCCATCGCTTGGTTGGAGAGCCGAAGGCAAGGCTGAGCGGCCGGTCATGGTCCGTGGTGGTGTCATCGCCGACCAGGTTGGTTACGGCAAGACTATCATTTCGTTGGCCCTCATTGCCGAGACTAAGGGCCAAACCGCACCAGAGTCCGCACCGCCTGGCCTCATCGATCTGAAAGCGACGCTACTGGTGGTACCTGGCCATCTGAGCAAGCAGTGGCCCAGCGAGATTGAACGTTTCACCGGCAACCTGTTCAACACCATTGTTATCCAAAACATGAAGGACCTCCAGAAGAGAAGCATTGCCGACCTGACCAAAGCGGATATCATCGTTGTGGCATCGGAAGTTTTCGACTCGGAGTCTTACTGGGAACGGTTCGAGTACTTGTCGGCCCAACCCGAAGACTGGCTCAACGACAAGCAGGGCGGTCGCTTCTTTGCTGATCGACTCGACACAGCTATGACGACTCTCCGTTCCCAGACTGAGAGCCTACAAACAGAAGGCGGAGCTGCAGCTCAGCAGGTGATGGACACACACCACAAACGTGCCATCAGAGATGCTGAGAGCAAAACACAAGAGCTCAACGCTGCCAACTTCGGCAAGCGCCTCAAGGGCGCGGCGTATCGTGACAAGTACGACGATAGCCAACCTCCGTCAAAGAAGCTGAAGGCGGGAGGCAGTCGGTGGGCCGCCGACGACGAGGAAGACGACCCTCAAGTTGCTGTTCCGAAACTGGCGTTCCGTCGCGCGGCTGGTACCGATTCTTTAACTAGCCCCGCTGTGGGCAAGAACTACAAGTTGCTCGGTACCCCTGTGTTGCACATGTTCAGGTTCGTCCCCTCCCCTTCGGCGTGACTGACTCTCCAAGGTTCCGTCGTGTCATCGCCGACGAGTTCACCTACCTGTCTCAGCGTCCACTTGCCTCTCTACTCCGCCTCTCGTCGTGTTACAAGTGGGTGTTGTCGGGCACCCCTCCCGTGGAAGACTTTCCCGCTATCCGGAGCATTGCGACGTTCATGGGCATTCACCTCGGTGTCGAGGATGACACTGAGGGCAGTACTGCCTCTCAAAAGGCTCGCGCCAAGGAGCAGACAGCCGCTGAGCGCTTCCACGCATTCCGTGAGATTCATTCAGCCGCGTGGCATCGTCGCCGCCACGACCTTGCGCAAGAGTTTCTCGACGGGTTTGTCCGCCAGAATATTGCCGAGATTGAGGACATCCCGACTGTCGAGCACATCCACGAGATCAAGCTTCCAGCGTCTGAAGGCGCAGTCTACCTCGAGTTGGAACATCACCTCCAAGCACTGGAGATGCAAGCGTAAGTTTATTCACATCTCAGTTTTTTTTTTTTTTACCTGACACCATTAGTCGCAAGGAGACCAAGTTCAAGAATGTTACTCAAGGTGACCGTAACGCACGACTCGAGGAGGCTTTGACAGACTCGAAAACCGCGGAAGAGGCTCTTCTTAAACGATGCTGCCACTTTACTCTCGACTTGACGGACAAGAAGCGTGATGCCGCATCAGCGCTGGAAGCGTGTCAACACATTGCCAGTGCACGCAGGAGCCAACTGGAGGGCTGTGAAGACGATCTTCGTCGTACCATCAACAACGCTGTGGGACTTAACGCTCTCGTTAGGAAGAAGGGCGGCTTCAAGGCCAAGGACGAGCGACAGCACTTCCGCGAATGGGTCGATTTCTGCTTCGATACTAGCCAGCACCACGGAGACGCGGAAGCTGCGAAGCGCCTGGTCAACGTGCTGGTCAAGTGCAACTTCCGCTCGGGAGCAATTCCCGACGCGCCTGCCGACGGGAAACTGCCAAAGACCGATGCCAAGAGCGGTGCTGAAGACCTCAAGTGGGAACTGCGTGAACAAGCTCACCTTCTTCGTCGTCTGTCGAAGGAGCTCGTGGCCCGTGTCCGATCCCTTCGCTTCTTCGAGGTCGTTCGTAAGCTGCAGCACAGCGGTGACGAGCGGGTCAGCGTGTTGGAAGGATCCGAGTGCGGCCACCGTCCATCCACCAACCGCGGTATTGAAATGGCAGTTCTCAGCTGCTGTGGCCATGTTTCGTGCCACCAATGCATGGTCGAAGCGGTCAATAATCAGCGCTGCGTAAATGGAGACGACTGCCACGCGCCCGTCCGCCACACCAACATTGTCAAGGTTTCAACGCTCGGCATTGAGGGTGAACTGGAGTCTGGCAGATTTGGTGCCAAGCTCCAGCGTTTGGTCGACCTCATCGACTCGATTCCACGCCGCGAACGCATTCTGGTGTTTGTTCAGTGGGCCAACCTCTTTGGCAAAGTGTCCGAGGCCATGAAAGACGCAGGCATCAACCATGCCACACTCACCGGCAGTGTAGCAAAACGCGCCAACACACTCGACAAGTTCCAATCCACCGACGCCGACGGTACCAGGGTCCTCTTGCTGAACACTGTGGATGCCTCGGCTTCTGGATCAAACCTTACCATGGCCAACCATGCCATCTTCCTCGGTCCTTTGTTCACTCCGACGCTCCTCAACTACCGAGCTACCGAAACTCAGGCCATCGGTCGAGTTCGTCGCTTTGGACAAACCCGAACTGTCCACATACACAGGCTTCTCGCCCTCGACACCATTGACTTCACTATTTATAACTCTCGTGTGCAGGAGTTGCGTGCCAAGCCCGACCATGTGGAGATTCCCAGGGGTGACTATGTGCCCAAGACGAAGCCCAAGAAGTAGTAGCCAGGTTAGGACGACATGAGTAGTATGTAGTTAGCTTTTTATGCAGTATCATGTGACTTGTCCAACTTTGCTGCTTGTTGGTTGACATTGGGCATTTGGATTCCCTACATGGAACTACATTCGTCACGGGCTACGATGTGACAAGCGTACCAATTTTAAGAGCCGTTGCGCAATTCGAGCTTGCTCACTACAGCACATACCGGGTGCGTTTTCTACCATCAGCCACCTCGCTGGCAGCCAGTTTCGCGTTTTCTCGCTTCAAACACATCCTGAGAATAAGACTTAAACAGATGGCAAGTGCAGTGCAGGCAGCGTTGACACTGAAGGCCTTGACGTATTGTGGACCGTCGCTGGAGGGGTACAAGTATGGACTCCAGATTTGAGCCACTGCCGGCGAGTCAGGGCATGCGCGTAGAGTCAGAAGCACGTACAATTTCCTAAGGTGTTGACTGTCCCGAACGCAAAGGCCCGCTTCGTGCGTGGGCGAGCAAAGGTCGACCCGACCCAAGCAAGCAACACTGTGAAGCTGCTGCTCATCCCACCAGTCATGAGGAAAATGGAAAAGTAACGCGGTGCCGTAGAATGAGTGGTAGCTGCGACGATGAACCTGGAAGCATGAGTCAGCATTTTCAGTCTCCGCGACGCATACCCTGTGATACCAAGGAGCATGGGGGTAGTGTAGTGGAAGCATCGCTCCGGACGGCGATCAGAGGAGAAGGAGACTATGAGCTCCGAAAATGCGGGCACCAAATATGGGGGAGCAGTAAGTAAGAGTCTGCAAGTTAGTGGGAAGACATTGGGGCAGGTAGACATTGGGGCAGGTAACTCACGTCTTAACGTTAGACATGCCGAACGTCTTGACCACAGTCGGCACAAATGATGTATAGCCTCCAGCAGTGGTCATTGCGGCATAGATCAAGCCCATGAGCCAGAGTTTGTAGTCTCCAGCACCTTCCTTGACAGAACCCCAAACGGACAATGTTTCCTCATCGTACACTCCCACGTCCCGTTGGAGACGTAGGGAAGCGATTCGTTTCTCATTGTCGCTTAACCATCGAGTGCTGCGCAGGTTTAGGACCGCCTCCAACAAACGCTGCTTACGTCTTGGGGTAGTCAGGGAGGATGATTATGGCCAAGAAACCCGCAAACACCGTGATACAGCCCTCGATGATGAAGAGCCACCTGAATGTCAGCCATATGTACGCAACGACGCCCGCGCCTGCCCTACCTCCAGGATTCCAGGCCATGGAGGCCGTCCATTCCACTTTGAATACCCGCTGCTATGAGGCCAGCAAACGCCCCAGACAGATGGGCCCCAGTGTACAACTGTGAAAGAATCAACTTCATGGTCACATGGCGTCAGCATTTCCACCCACCACTGAGACACGAAGCTGAGTCGTTTGTCAGCATTTCGTTCCAGACGGGCTGGGCGGCTCGTGGTCACACTTACGGCCAACTCTTGTTTAGTATACCAAGAGCTGAGGAAGAAAAGGATTCCCGGAAAGAACGGGGCCTCGCAGACACCCAAGAAGAAACGGATGGCCACGAGATGTCCAAAGCTGTTCGCAGCAGCGGTTGTCGCGCTGACCGCACCCCACAGAACGGCAAAGCCGGGTATGTACAGGCTGGGACGCGCACGGGTGAGAGCAAGGTTGCTGGGAACCTGACCAATGATATAGCCAACGAAGAGCACTGAAATGGCTGTGTTGAAATTCCGACCTGCCATGCCAAGGTCGGCTTCAATGCCTTGCACGCGCGCGAGAGCGAGGGCGTTGCGGTCCAGATAATTGAGGATGAGAAGGATGAACAGGATGGGAAGGATACGAATGTCCATCTGCCGGTCAGTGTCTGCACAATCAATGGTCTCTGACCTTTTGGCGCAGCTGTTTTTGCTGCAGATCGTAATCGTGCGGGACCTCATCTGGATCTTGAGGCATGCCTGCGGAATCGGCAAGGTCGACTTTCTCGTTCGCGGCCAGGTCTCCTCGCGGTGTTGGGCCTGAGGAGGCCATACTGCGTCTGTTCGGTGGGGCAAGGGGGCTGGCTCTATGTAGATGCACTGAGCGCTCCTTCTAGTCGACGGCCGATGGTGAGAATGGTAGAAATAGACGATTGTTGCTCTGACATTCGGGTCGGATATCTTGACTTTGACACGCGGGACGGGCGACGGGGCTCCGAGAATACCCCCCCAATCAGTGTGTTTTGCGTCGGCCGAGATGAATTCGGTCGCCCGACGCGCTGATAACACTGAAACAGCCTGTCGGCAGAGCGGCGGGTGCGCTGCACTGTGGTCACCGACATTTGTAATAGAAGCTGAGCTACATGGCAGCTGGGACTCAAACAACAGGGCTGTGGCTCATAGATCATGACGGATAGCCGCGCACACGCGGAAGCATATTTCCTGCCTGATATCCGGCCTCGTCACTCGGATCTCTCTGAGCTCCGATTCTGATCTCTGGTCTATCTGATAAGCTCCGGCCAGCACTTTGGCGATGCTTCGTCCAGGTAGACGTACAGTACATACAGTACAGTACAGTACTTATTTATTTATACCTGCAACAGGGGCTTCCTCAGCGTCACGTATAATGCTAATCTCTGTGCCGCTTATTCCCCTGCTGCTCAGCATACCCGTGTGAGCACCAGTCTGCTTGCTTGTGGTAACACCACACAAGGAACAATTTCTGTTGTGGTTCGATGGACGTCTGGACAGGGGATCCCACCGGCAACCGGTGGGCACAGCAGTTAGTTTCTAATCGTTTGTCCTTCTTATGCGGGCGGTACTGCTAGCAAGCTAGTACCCTCCTGCTACGCGAGCGGACAATCAGTACGATAACCCAGAGGCGCAACAGGCAAGACACAGTAGAAGCATAGATAAAGTCCAGTCTTTTGCCCCTACGCCATTCATGGAACGCCAACGTCATGAGTGCGGGCTGGCACATCTGAGATCGAGGCGCCCGGACCAAGGATGATTGAACCTAGAATGGACTTCCCATGACGCTGCATCTGTGAGTGGAAGTCGGCAGCTGTGACGATGCTCTCTACCTTGTATAGCTGATCAATGACGCTACAGGCCCCAGGGCTTCGCTCGAGCGAGCTGAGATAAACTCTCAGTAGCCAGCAGCATCAGATGCTGTATACAAGGGCCCGTAAACCGACAGCTCTTTTTGGATCTACTCCAATTGAGTGGCGGCGCACTTTGTGTCAGAAACAGACAATGATGGAAAATAAGCCAGTAGTGCGTGTCATTGCTAGCCAATGTCGTGATTCTCGCGGGGAGTGCGGCCTTTCAAACATCGTTTTGGCGTATCCGCCGTTTCGGGATTAATCCAGTCCAGACCACTAAGGGGGGGCACCTTCGACAGCCCCTGTTACCAAATACTAGGCTTTTGCATTGTGTCGTGGTGTCTCTATATGCCTGCCCTAACCGTCGCCGTTGCCTTCCGTCTCGACCAACATATATATCATACCAACCTTTACTATATTATCGTCCTAAGTAAACGCGATAGAAACCTAGGGATGGTCCGACCTGCTTCTCCTTGGCTCGAGAAGCAGCCAAGCCCCTCCCCTCGCGGAACCTGGCGTACTCTAAACGAAATAATTTATATACATCATATCTTTGAGCCTCACCCTGGAGCATCAAGGTGGAAACCACAAGCCCTCGCAGTTAAACATTTACTTCCATTTCATTAAATATGGCTTCCCAACCCAGTTGACCGCAGGATCCTACATGTCGTCAAACTAAACGGCCATCAGGTTCAGTGGCATTCGGCCCACCCAGTGCAAACCCACGCCAGTCTGAAATCCTCCGTTGCAATATGCTTCGTTATACATCAGACTTCGTTGCTGCGAAGGACTGGGCAAATGCCCCCCCCCCCCCCCCCCCCCCCCCCCCCCCCCTTGGACACTATATTATATTCGCAACAAACTCTACCAACTTGAAACAGTGTTCCAAATTCCTACCAAAAGAATCCTTCCCCAACTAAATTTTGTTAAATATCTTCATGAATCTTATATATACCTCTCAGAGGAGGAGGCTGTCCTTGACGTGAATGTCGAGTCTCAGAAACTTCCCAAAAGCGACAGCTGAAGAGTTGGTACAACCGCCACAAAGCTTAGCAGGAGCTTCGCTATACGGCCTCCTAAGCCTACCCGAAAGTCCTTCATTCCGGCTGTCGGCCAGCCCATTCAACTCTCCCTCACCCCCAAGTTGTTGGAAACCGCATTGCGGAAGTACCGGTTGGGCTTGTTGATTTTATCGTCCAGCATTGCTGAAACAAACGAAAGTCTGAACGTCGCGAGGTTTACATTGTGTCAAATGTAGTTAATTGAGAATCTCATTTTATTTTGCTTGCATCCACAGTTGGATGGTTCGGTGGATGTGCCAAATGTTTGTACCATCGTCTACGTAGGTTTTCTTGACATATAACATTGTCGGAACAGTGTGCTCTGGTGGAACGAACCAATTAGTTAAGTAATCCCGCTGTCTTGTATTTAATTCCGCTTCCTCAGTGCCTATACAAGTCTGTAGTACGTTGTAGTTGTTGTTCCTGCATCGCTCTTTTACTCAAAGTCAACGTTCATGGACCATGTGTTTACATGTACGACTGTATGCTACCGGATAAATGGCGAGTGATGCTCCCACCGTCAGTACACAGTAGTTTGTTTAAATTAAATCAATGAATTCCGCGGAAGAGTGGAGCGCTTCATGCACTTTGTTTAGATAGAAGCGCCCTCCCATTTTGGATTCTTCAGCATTCTCAATACCGTTTGAAGGCCCGACGCGGAAAGAAGCACCCGCCCATGCTGCCTTGCCAACTGCATACCACGATCATAGAAATATATTTGAGATCCTATGTGTAGATGAGGTGAGACCTGAGCTGAGACCCCACAATGTCGAGTTACCACACGGTACACGGACGACTTGCCATTTGGTCGATTCAAACTACTGCATTCTAGGACTATTGGACGATAGGGTACAGAGCAACCGGTCACAACGACGGAATGAGTGACAGCCATTACCTGATGTGTACGTTGTGAGCCTCATGATATTGTCAATGTCAATGAGGCCGTCACTGCTGAGTACCTTTTAATCGTATCAACTTGAAACTAATAATTGCCTGCCTTCACAGAAAATGTACATCTATACTGCACACCGTCTCTTGCTATGAGTGCAACAAAAAAAAACTAGAAAAAAAAACTGGTTAATTTGTGCTTTCGGCAATGAAGAAAGAAAGCAACCATTGATGTTCTTGGGATAATGCTGTGGCTGAATTACTTAATTAATACCGCCACTATATATTCGATTCCGCTTTGCCTATCCAAGTCCGTAGCTTTTGGCCTATGTGGACGCCGATTGAGGTGATGATCTCGGTACCCGACCCTCTACAACTGGCCACTTTTTCAAAGTAGGCGGCAGGGCACTTTCTTGGAAATCAAGAAGTCAACTAACTGTTGCTTCATCCACCACATTGCTTGAATACATGCTTGCAATTCGACATGCCTCTGCCCTTTGGCTATCGCCAAGGAACATTTCCAATTTTTAAATGACATTGCGGGTTCTATGGAACTTTCCAAAAATCCGGTTCATCATAAGAAGAGACAAAACACATTGAGATGCACCATTATCTCCTCAGAAAGAAGATCAAAATTGGGAAATTGACCTTCAACATGTATTGTCCTCGGTTGAAAATATTGTAAACTTCCTCAGTAAAGTACTGCCAGGTAATAGAAATATTGCTAATCTATAACTTCTATTAGGCATGGTTGCTATAGCATCAACAGAAGAAGTGTGGGAGTGTCGGAACCATCAATGGTTTGGTTCAATTAATTGATTAATTGTGTTAGGCCCGCGTATGAGACAATACGTCACGGCCAACCAAACACTAGAAGTCTAGATTTAATCTGGACCAAGCTCGAGCCAGCACGTATGATCATGCGCTCGCTTACGCAAGATTAATACATGTTATGTGAGTTCCGTCTAAGGAGGTAAGGAACCCAAGGAAGCATGCTACTGTACATAGCTGAAAGTACAGCTGGCCGTTAATTAACAGCCATGCACGGGCAATCATAGGACTCGTTTTCCAATACCGGGTTTAAGTGCACTGTCAGTAAGTACAGTACAGTACTGTACGGTAAGACTCACTGTTTCGCAATCAATATTACGTATTGGGCTTAAGAGCTGTGATCTGGGCATATTGCAGAAATGTAATTGGCAGCCATCAAGGAAGGCCAATCAATCAATTGTACAGCACAGATCCGCGCAATCCGCAGGGAAGCAAACATGGCAATGGTTGTTTCGACGTGTCAATACCCCCCAGTATAAATAAAGCTTGAATTTCAGTAACTATACTCACACCAAGCCAGTGCTAGGCTACCTGATCTGACCATCTATAGCACAGCATTTTAAAAATGTTGCACTTGGTTACGACGTTCACATGCAAATCGTAGACCCGCACACAGCATTGACGCCATTAAGACGTCGGCCCGAATAAGACAGAAGCAATGACCACAATCGTTCTGAAAATAAACAGCACATAAAACGACATCGAATCCACACGCGGCCACACGGCTGAGTCGGAACCGGAACCGAGTACACAAACCTGACTGGGGAGTGCATTCGGAGGGTAAGTGCATTCTAAGGAGATGTACCTGTAAGACATTTCCCTCCATCCGAGTATTCATGTTGGTGGTGCTGTTCGCAGTTTGAGGTAATAACAGGTCTATGATGCCCTTAGATTTTCTGGGCGGCATGCGCGCTACACTGACTACGCCAGCGATAACCTAAGAAGCTTTGGTAATCTTGTGAAATTCAGTTGTGCTGGGGATAGAGAATTGCAATTATTGCTCTTCAGTCAGTGAGCGTGAGTTCACCAGCTCGCCTTGATTACATCCCTGCGCTTTGTAAGTACAGTACTCACCGCCCGTCGCTACTACAAAGTGAATGGCTTAGTGAGATTTCAGGATTGGGGTTGAGAAGCCGGCAACGACATCTCTTGGCCGAGAACTTGGTCCA